TAATATCGGATGTCGAATACTACTATTTTTCTCAAAAGAAAAGGAAAATTTGAAGCGGTGTGGGGATGTTTAGAGAAGATTCTTGCGTGCGTCAAATATGAAATTTGGAAATTCTAGTTGAATGAAGGTCTTGAATTTAAGTTGGACATGAAATTCAAGATTGACGACCTACCCCGATTTCAGATTGTCAGTCATTCAACTCCAGAAACTCGAAACACAAAGTGAACAAAACTATAGTCGAAATAAAGTAGAAAAACTTCCCGTGACTGATAAATACGTTTATTGATTTCTAGCTCTAGGATTTACGTGTGGATGTGCAAGTTTTGAATTTTTATTATTTTTGACTTAGATTGCTTTTTGGTTCAGAAAAAAAAAAAAAAAAACACGTAAAGTTCATATTGGAAGCAATAAAATATACTGAAAAGTATGTTATAATTAGTGACTATAATTAACGAAATGATAATTAAATTGGCGAGAAATTCTGTAACACTACGAATTATTACATGAACTATTACCTAGTCGACGACCTTACAATCTCATAAATAGGCATTGATGAAATGGAGATTACAAAATAGGGTTACAACTGAATTGAATTTATTATACTAAAAAATGATTGTCATTTTCTTTTCTTGTTACAACAAAAATGATAGTCCTTGTTAGAAAAAGAAGAAATATGATTTTTGAGTGGGCTTCGGAAAAAAAAAAATCAAATTGGAAATTAAGGACGTATGGATGTAAAGATTCTAATAGCAACCGGTGCCAGTACAAATTACGGCCTATGAGAGAACTTTCGTTCAAAAGTTTGGTCAAAGTAAAAATATGGAAGAGGAATAAACAGCGGTGTTGACCAGCGATGTTAGAAGGGGTCCCACGAGATAGATTTTCTTACTGCCGTCTGCCGGGAGTCTAGAAGGTTGGTTGACTAAACTGAAAACTTGTTCACCTCAAGTTTTGGGACTTTACAAAATTCACGCTGTTAAACAAAACATTAACGCAAACACTCTCCTCTAAGTGTGAGGAGGAAATCAACTCAGCTCGAGTGTGGGTCGTGCTACGTTTTGATTATTCAAGTGTATATTTGAATTTCCTGTCTCAGATTTAGAGTTGTTGCAAATTTGCAATATAGTATGTCAAACTAAACAAAATCTACATTTCTTTCTACTTCTTTGTTATTACGGAGTACGATAATTCTTCTGTTTCGAAATTATTGCAAATTTTTAAATTTTTTAATTTATTACAATTTTTAACTAAATATAAAAAATTTAAATTGGACAATTATCTAAGGTCAGAGAGAGTGTAGAAGTAATAATTCACATGCCAATTAGTATAGATAACTGCATAATACTCCCTTGTCTGTCCCAAAATTATTGTCCAGTTTGATATTTAATTTTTAGTATAATTTGAACTAAAAATAAAAATTCAAACTGGACAATAATTATGGGACGGAGGGAGTATAATTTGTTTTCTACTTTAAAAAGTAAACATCATACTGTATTTGTTTGGGACAGGATGAAGGATATATCTTCGTAGTCTTAGTGCGCTGTCTTCAAACATATCTTGATGTAACTTTTTCTAATTTTTATTTTATTTTTGAAAATATAGATTTTGATAGCAAAACTTTTGTAGTTTTATGTGTTGGTAATAATAATCTCGTTCTTACCATTTCGCAATCCACTCAGATATTTGCTTCTAAAACCAAAATACAAAAGAAAACTTGAAGAAAATGGATTGTACTGAGGATAATCAACAAGGTCGGTACAGTTTTTTAATTGTTGAGAAATTAATCTGGTCACAGGCGGCTCCGGGGCTTTTCCTCCTATCTCCCAGTCCCAGCCTGCCTACATGGACTCCCATATCGTGTCACTTTTACCTTTCCAATGTACAGTAAAAAATATGAATGAGTTTTGTCATTAACAGTAAAAGAGAGAAAAACAAAACATGTTTAATAAAGTCGTTTTGAGAGTAACTTGGTAATACAAAAATCAACTTAAATATCGTGTATGATTTAGTAAACTGGAAAAAAAAAAAAAAACATGTCAATTAAAGTCTGTTTTTTCTCCTAGACGTTAGATACAAGATCATGTACTTATGATTTACCTTTCAAAAAAAAAAAAAAACTACTTAGATTTAGTAAACTGGGGGGAAAAAAAATCAACTGTAACGGACGTGATTTCTACGACTTGGCTAGTAATCTAGGCCAAAACACCAAAATGAAAATTATCAAACGCGCGTATTACAGAAAAGTCCAGTCAAGAAAATGAACAGGAAATGACCGTTTAGCGTTTACACAACGGACCTAATATAAACGTATTCACTGAGTCCTAAAATAAAACTAAAAGGGCGAAAAAGGAAAAAGGACATTCTTCGAAAATCTACTTATTGAATATTTTCTCAACATTTTTCTTACAATAAACATAGGGATGGGACGAATAATTTTTAATTTGAGAATTCTTGTATGTACAAGGTTTTGACAGGGCCAAGGGAGGTACACGATAGAACCATTAATTGACGCACATGTAAATGCGGTCTATATCTCTTGGAACTTTTGATGCATTTGGAATCGTTCTGTGACAAATGATCTAGAAGGAGAATTAACTACAAATTGGATTCTATTTATATTCGCCAGTGACGTAAAAAATACATTTTGACTTTGCAATTAATTAATCAAAACTCTTTTATGAAAAACTTTTGTTTTTTTTTTCGTTTTTTAACGTATATTTTTAAGTGTTTTTTGTATTTTTGAGAATTTAAAAAATGTGTATTAAAAAATATAAAAAGACATGCTGTGATGGAACCGGGTGACCACGTCCATGACGAAAATTTGCTCAATCATCTAGATGCTTTCCTTCCTTTATTTGGAAGCTTTCTCATTTGGTCTTTTATTTCGAAAACCTTCCATTTTGGTCCCAATGCTAGTAAGTTTTAAAGAAATGAGCCAATTTAGTCAAATCACGATAAAATTTCCCATTGATTCGTATTTAGATACTAATACAATTTATAAATTCCATATTTGCTTAACAAGGTTATTAATGTTCGAACGTTTAGTTTTCTTAGAGAAATTTTCCTCCCTTCTGAATTTGACGAATATTTTTCTTTTTTATAACATCAGAATTCAGAGTATGATTTGATCTCTAAGATTAAGAGACTATAGAAGGATTAGTGAAGTAATCTTGCAAAAAAGAAAATCATGAATTTTCATTTGCTGCTTTGTATCCCGCAAATATTTCAACTATGTTCTCATGGTTGACTGCATCATCTTCTCCTGTTTGTTTATTTCTTTAGTCAAAGGTCATCATCACGCAGTACTACGTTATACTTGTGAGTTGTTATAATTAAGGCCCTTTTAATTTTATTTTGGACACAAAATCTTGTGTACTTCTAGAACCCCGAATGTCCATTGCACCAAGAAATCCCATCTAGGCATCTAGAAACAGTAGAACTACTATTATTTTTAAAGTTCTTTTTTTTAAAATATTTTTAATTGAAAAGAGGACACAAAATTCTGTAAGACTTTTTGAAGTATCATTAAACTATTTTTTGAATTAGCCAACTCTAACTAAGAGACTGTTCGAAAAGTTGCCATACAGCTGCCAACTTATCAACGCTAGCGTGAATGAAGTCAGCTGACGCCTTTGAAAAGTCGAGTATCGCGGAGATTAATTAAATTAATTAATAGTACTAATTAGTTATTTAATTCATCTTTGATCATTAATAAAGGTATAATTTATCCCCCGGTTTTCTCAGATGTCATGTTTTCATTGGAGCAATTGGTAGACAGATTCTCCCTGGATGAAATTATGGTAGCTAGAACTCTCAGTTATTTACTATTTTACCATATTATAATAAAAAGAACCCCCATTAGTACGAAATCCAAAAATAATGATAAAGAGATAAAGTTTATTCAGTTGTACAAACGTAGTTTCACTATTAGTACGAAATTTTTAAGATTCAATTTAAACCAGTCAAATAATTATTCAAGGATTACGGTATTTAATTGCAATTTTTTATACATTAATCTATAAACATAATTACGTAAATGATACAGTATAATCATGTTACTTAATGAAAACATTATTATTAGTACGATCCCATAACTAAATTAATTCAAATTAGCTACAGCCAAACTACCCATGTCATTTAATTAATCACTTCACCAACCCTAATGATACAGTCGCATACTATGAACCTTCGAATTCAAGCAAGTTGGTGTTCCGCCTTTTGGCTGATCATCTCTGAAGTCAAATTTGTACTTATTATTATTATTGTTGTAAGAACGGACAATTTTATCCACATAACCAATAAAGCGCGATGAAACTAGCCACCATAAGAAAATCCCTCCGGCCCACCCTCATGCTCTAAAAATACACGAACTTATTATTTTAAAAGAATAACGTTATGTTATAATAAATATTTATTAATGTGGATGTTTACAATCAGAATAATTATACAAGGAATCAATGTATAGACATAATATTTAGTTAGGTCTCATATTTTCTTATTTATATTCTTGTACTTTGTTTGTCTACAAAAGAGATCCGTCTCTGCAGAAATAATTGACATATCAATTCTTTCTTCCTCTTTTTGTATTCGGTCTTTATTTTATAACTCATTAAATATTTTTTTCACTCATAAATGATTCTTCTAAATTTCCTCCCTCTTTCCTAATTCCCACATATCACTTGTATGCGTATATATAAACCCAAAAACTTTCTCTCCCAAAAACAACAAACTCCCAAAAAACCAGTTCTCTCTGGAGTTAGTACTTAAAAACTTTACTTCCTCTCTTTCTCCAGAAAATAAGGAGTTATTTTTCATACCATTCCAAGAACTTGGTTTTTGCTATTGTGCATATAATAACAACCCATTTCAGGAACTGGGTACAACTTCAATTTCCTTCATTGTTTCAATCTCTTTAATTTTTTTTTTTCTGTTTCCACTTCAAGATATAGATATTTGCATATAGAGAGAATAAGTTAACTGGAAGAAGAAAAAAGAAAAGGATGGAAATAGAGAAAGGGACGGGGGCAGCCTCGAGGAGGCAAGGAAGTACTCGAAACTGGAGTTTTAGAGCTTCAACAAGCAGGAGAAGTTGGGGAGTTGAAGATGTTTTTGCAAGTCAAAGAAGCAGCCACGCGGAAGACGATGAAGAAGCTTTGAGATGGGCTGCTTTGGAGAAGTTGCCGACTTATGACCGGCTGAGAAAGACGGTGTTGAAATCGTTCGAGGAGAACGAGAATGAAGGCAACAAAGTGGTGGTGCATAAAGAGATTGATGTCCGGAAACTTGGGATGAATGAACGTCAAGAGTTTATTGATCGGTTGTTTAAGGTTGCCGAGGAAGATAATGAGCGGTTCTTGAGGAAGTTCAGAAACCGAATTGATAAGTAAGTTTTCAGTTTTTTTATTCTTGCAAGATTAATTCATTAAGATCATCATCAACTGCAAATGAACAATTAAAGTCAACATATTAGTTAGGTTACCATTTAATTTGCACCAAAAAGGATTAATTATTAGTGGGAAAAAGGATTCCTTGTTTGTTTGTCTGTTTGTTTTTTTTCTTCCGGTTAGTAGAAGATGTCCTAAAAGTAGCCAAATGATCCCTAAGATTAACCCAAAGTCCTGCCGGATTGTGGGTTGTTTGTTGAGCCTTTCTTGTTTGCTATGAAATCATTAAAGTGATTAGCTCACATAAGACACCTAATTAAGGCGTCCCCCAAACTTTTTATGCTCCCCATGACTCCATAGTCTTCGCCAAAAAAAAAAAAAAAAAGGTAGGATCTTGAATCCATTAGAGGGTTTTGTCCAAAAACAAATTATCAATGAAGAAATTTGGTGAAAATTTACCAATATTGTGTGACGCAAGAAAAGAGTAGTTACTTTGTGGGAGAAGAATAAGTCCAAAAGCACCGTTGAGGTTTTGACAACTTGTGTTCAGTGACCAATGATGCATGTGAAACGATGACAATTTATTGAAAGGAACCTTAAACTTTTCCCAGAAAGATGATGCCATATTTAATCAGAAAGCTGTATAATTCGTACAGAAAGTGGTCAATTAGGTTACTGCAATACTACTACTAAAAGGTGTTTTTTGGTAGCGTAGCAGTCTTTGTTGAATGTTGAATTTTAGACTAATTAATTGATGCAAATTTTGATCAATTGCAGAGTTGGGATTACCCTTCCAACAGTGGAAGTAAGGTACCAGCATTTGACAATTGGGGCAGAATGTTTCATTGGTGACAGAGCTCTTCCAACGCTGTTAAACACAGCAAGAAACACCGCTGAGTCACTTTTAGGCCTTTTTGGCATTCGATTGGCTGAACGAGCCAAAATTACTATACTTAAAGATGCTTCTGGGATCATTAAACCATCAAGGTGAGCCCAATGAAAAGAATGAACATTTATCCCATATTTGAGATTTCATTTTTGGACTACACTGCTTAAGCATACGCAAACACGGATACCGTTCTGTGTTATTAAATTAATGGACCAATTAAATGATGTTTAAGTGGAGATTATGATTTGTTGATTGCAATTTGCTAACTATATTTGGATAATAATATGAACAGGATGACACTTCTACTGGGACCTCCATCATCCGGGAAAACAACACTTTTGTTGGCTCTTGCTGGGAAGCTTGATCCTTCCTTGACGGTAATTAATTAATTATTTTACGTCAACATTTACGGAAAAATTCTCCAAATAAAATAGTAGTAACAACTGGACTTTGGACTTCAAAACCTGGGCTAAATTTATATAAAGACGAAGTAATTGGGCTTCGACGTCAAACGGCGTCGTTTGGTTAAGAAATTTTTAAGTGTAAAAAAAAAAAACTTCCTCCACTCCAGGTCGTCTTCTTCCCTTCATCCCTAAATTGGGGGCTAAAATGAGTGGCGGAGCCACCAAGTGCTCCGCCGAGAATGCTGAATAGTTGTTTCTCCAGGCGGCCGGAGTCCCCCAACGTGGGTCCGCGCCCGACTTTGACTATTCCAGTTATTGATCTTGTGTGTGATTTTTACCACATGGAAAAAATAACAGGTGAAGGGAGAAATTACCTACAATGGCCACAGATTGAACGAATTTGTGCCTAAGAAGACATCAGCCTACATCAGCCAAAACGATGTTCATGTTGGAGAAATGACTGTGAAAGAAACTTTGGATTTCTCTGCAAGGTGTCTCGGTGTTGGTTCACGATATGGTAAAATATTTTTACACTCTTTGAGTTTCTTCCAAATTTTACAGCGTTTTGATTTCTAATAATTAGTAGTAATTTGTTTCTTGCCAATATTACAGAACTTCTAGCCGAATTGGCAAGGAGAGAAAGGGATGCCGGAATTTTACCAGAGGCTGAAGTTGATTTTTTCATGAAGGTGAACAACAATTTTAAAAATAGTAGTAATATTTAGGGGGAAAAAAGGTTGATCTTAGAACGTGAAACTTTTATTCAAATTATTGACTTTTTTGTTTTTGAATTGCGTGTTTGTGTTTAGGCGACTGCAGTGGAAGGTGCTGAAAGCAGCCTAATTACCGACTACACTCTCAGGGTAAATTTTTTCAAACTGCAACATTATGATCAACGATGTTGCCGCATTTTTCCAGATCGTGTTGAATTTTCTCATTTTTTAGTTGTTTCACATTAGCAACTTTCTTTTTTTTTTTTTTGGTAAATAAAAGAAGAAAAAACAGAGTTTGGACTTTGAAGATTGACTGTTTGACTAACAAAAAAAATAAAAATAATAATAATAATTGCAGATATTGGGACTGGATGTTTGCCGGGATACAATTGTTGGTGATGACATGAACAGAGGAATCTCAGGGGGTCAAAAGAAGCGTGTCACAACAGGTTATTTACCGTTGCAATATTAATACTTTAAACCTTATAGGGTCGGCTACATAGATTATATGTACGTGAAAATTGGCCTGATTGATTAGGACTTGTCAAAGTTTGGCAAGAATGGAAGAACTTATCTGAACTGAACTGAACTGAACTGAACTAGAAGACATGGAACCTAGTGCAAATATAACAATGCAAGTTACATTGATACTTTTATGAGACACATCAAATTGTCTAATTGAGGTTTCATGACTGCATTACAACAGGAGAGATGATCGTTGGTCCAACCAAGACATTGTTTATGGATGAGATATCAACAGGGTTGGACAGTTCTACCACATACCAGATTGTCAAGTGTTTACAGCAGGTTGCACATCTGACAGAGGCGACCATATTGATGTCCCTTCTCCAGCCAGCTCCCGAGACTTTCGACTTGTTCGATGATATCATTCTCTTGTCAGAAGGCCAGATTGTGTATCAGGGGCCAAGAGACAATGTTCTTGAATTCTTTGAAAGTTGTGGATTCAGCTGCCCTGAGAGAAAAGGAACAGCAGATTTCTTGCAAGAGGTAATTTTTTTAATTATAAACGAAATGATTTACTTGCGCAATTTTATCATCATCATCATCATCATCAAGTAAGATACAAACAGAAGGCAGAACTAAAACAAGTTTTATTATGCCTTGTTCATTACAGGTTACATCCAAGAAGGACCAAGAGCAATACTGGTCTGATCGAAGCCGGCCGTATAGATATGTGCCAGTTTCGGAATTTGCAATGAGGTATAAAAACTTCCACGTGGGACAGCAGATTGAGAGTGAGCTTTCAGTTCCCTATGACAAGGCTCGCAGTCACAAAGCAGCATTGGTGTTTAAGAAATACACAGTTCCCATGAGAGAACTAGTCAAAGCGAATTTCGATAAGGAGTGGCTTCTTATCAAGAGGAATGCATTCATCTATGTTTTCAAGACTATCCAAATCATCATCTCCGCGCTTATTGCTGCAACAGTGTACCTGAGGGTTAAAATGCACACCAGAAATGAAGATGATGGGAGCCTCTATGTTGGTGCCTTGCTGTTTGGCATGGTTGTCAACATGTTCAATGGTTTTGCTGAACTGTCTCTCACAATTCAGAGGCTTCCTGTGTTTTATAAACAAAGGGATCTTCTGTTCCACCCTCCTTGGACTTTCACTCTACCGACTTTCCTACTTCGGATACCAATTTCCATAATGGAGTCTCTTGCATGGGTTCTTGTGACATACTACACTATAGGCTTTGCCCCTGAAGCTAGCAGGTACATGATGATGAAAGCTACTACACTGAATGACAGTATAACATACGTGCATACCGTGAATTAACTAACGCTTCTTGTAACTTCCTTGCAGGTTTTTCAAGCACCTATTGCTATGTTTCCTCATCCAGCAAATGGCTGCCGGGTTGTTTAGGGTCATTGCATCTACATGCAGAACTATGATTATTGCAAACACCGGAGGAACTCTGGCTCTTCTCCTGATTTTCCTCTTGGGTGGTTTCATCCTACCAAAAGGTTGGTAGAAATGCAACTTTGTTTACATTCATAGAACACAATCTCTACAGCTAAACAGACAGTATGCATTGGAAAGTTTCTCATCCATTAAGCTTTTGACAGGTGATATTCCGGATTGGTGGGGATGGGCATACTGGATTTCACCTCTCACTTATTCCTTCAATGCTTTGACTGTTAATGAGTTGTTTGCTCCACGTTGGATGAACAAAAATGTAAGAGTAGTCCCCAACTTAAGGCAAAACACAGTTCAAAATGAACATTTTGCATTATGACAGGCCTTCATATGATGTATGTATGACTAAAATTAATTGCTATGTCATCTGTATACAGGCTACTGACCCTAGCAAAAGGTTAGGAATACAAGTAATGGAGAACTTCGATATCCACCGGGACTCAAATTGGTTCTGGATTGGAGCAGGAGCCCTGGTGGGATATACAATACTTACCAACATCATTTTCACCATTGGCCTGATGTACCTTGACCGTAAGTTATCTTACAATGTCAAATTAGTTTGCTGTTGTTTTTAAGGGAAAAAAAATAATTAACCGTATATTTTCCAATTGTTGTAACAGCTCTTGGAAAGCCACAAGCTACAATTTCCAAAGAACAGGCACAGGAAATGAAAGAAGGTCAAAGAGAAGCTAGGGAAGAGTCAGGTTTCAGAACCAACAAGTCAAAGAAAGGTGTGCTCACTCTTTCATTTTCCAATTCTTCGTAAACAATATACATGCTCCTTAAGCTTGAAAATAAACAAAAATTACTTTATGATCTCATCAGGAGAAATAGCAATTCAGCCATACAATAGAAATGCTAATGGAAATGCCATCAGTAGAAATGATTCGAATATTGACACTGCAACTGGAGTTGCTCCAAAGAGAGGAATGGTTCTGCCGTTCACTCCACTTGCCATGGCTTTTGATGATGTGAAATACTACGTCGACATGCCCTCTGTAAGGATTAACATTCAATCCATAGATTACTAACATTTCCGAGTTTTCATTTAAGTTGTTGCAAGGAATTTATTCATGTTACTTTTTCAGGAAATGAGAGACCAAGGGGTCACTGAGGACAGACTTCAACTACTGAGAGGAATAACTGGTGCCTTTAGACCAGGAGTTCTAACTGCTTTAATGGGAGTCAGTGGAGCAGGAAAGACCACTTTGATGGATGTTCTAGCTGGACGCAAAACAGGCGGTTACATTGAAGGTTCTGTAACCATATCTGGATTCCCGAAAGTACAAGAAACTTTCGCAAGAGTCTCGGGCTACTGTGAACAAACTGATATCCACTCACCTCAAGTAACCATTCACGAATCATTGATTTTCTCGGCATTCCTCCGGCTCCCAGCTGAAGTCAGCAAGGAGGAAAAGATGGTGAGACAGCAACTTTCCTATTCCAATTCATTCAGTCTTCAGAACATTGCTTCAATTGAATTCACTTACTAAACCATGCTCAATGCTTTATTCTAGATTTTTGTCAAGGAAGTGATGGAACTCGTTGAGCTAGATGACTTGAAGAATGCCCTTGTGGGACTTCCAGGTGTAACTGGTTTGTCAACAGAGCAGAGAAAGAGATTGACCATTGCAGTCGAACTAGTCGCGAATCCCTCTATCATATTTATGGATGAACCAACTTCTGGCCTTGATGCAAGAGCAGCAGCCATTGTCATGAGGACCGTGAGAAATACCGTGGACACAGGCAGGACAGTTGTTTGCACAATTCATCAACCCAGCATTGACATTTTTGAAGCTTTTGATGAGGTAAGCTTCTTGCAAAATGCAGACCTGTATGCTCTTTTGTAATCTATTCTCACGTCCTCCATATTCTCATATTGCATAATCTTGTATTGCAGCTACTTCTAATGAAACGGGGAGGCCAAGTTATTTATGCAGGACCACTAGGACGACATTCGCATAAGATTGTCGAATACTTTGAGGTACTTTCTCCATCTCCTGATGATCTTGTTGCTTAATTACCGGAAGGGGAAATTATTTAACACTAGAACATGTTTGCAGTCAATACCTGGAGTGCAGAAAATCAAAGAGAAGCAAAATCCAGCAGCATGGATGTTGGAAGCTAGCTCCATTGCAACTGAAGTTAGGCTTGGAATTGACTTTGCAGAACACTACAAGAACTCCGCACTGTTTCAGTAAGTAAAGTGAATAGGCGATGCATTTTCAAAATCTTCAACACTTTGTTGAGCTCTTCTAATTATGAAACGTTTACTTATGAACAGACGGAATAAGGCTCTGGTGGATGAGCTAAGCACCCCACCTCCAGGAGCAAAGGACCTGTATTTCCCTTCACAGTTTTCACAACCATCAATGGGCCAGTTCAAGTACTGCTTCTGGAAGGTGTGGATGACCTACTGGAGAAGCCCAGATTACAATCTTGTTCGGTACTTCTTCAGTCTGGTGGCAGCACTCATGGTTGGAACCATTTTCTGGGGTGTAGGGACGAAAAGGTCAGCTCTCTACTTCATCATTTGAATTTTAAGAAGCCCAAATTGCTTCTGAGCTAAACTGATTTGTTAAAAACATTCTTGTGTGATTCCATCCAACAGGGATAACAGCAATGATCTGCAGAAAGTTATTGGAGCATTGTATGCTGCAGTACTTTTTGTTGGGATCAACAATTGTTCAACGGTACAGCCAGTTGTTGCAATCGAAAGAACAGTGTTTTATCGCGAAAAGGCAGCAGGAATGTATTCGTCATTACCATATGCCCTGGCACAGGTGAGCCTCATTTCCAGCCAAATCTCATCTTTTTCCTACTTCCTCTTTAACTAAGATTAAAAAAAAAAAAGAAGGAGAAATGTCCCTATTACTCTTTATCAATTCTTTGAACTCACCAGGAATTACACTAACAAAGCTGAGATTTACAATGTATGTAGGTTGTTGCAGAAATACCATATATACTAATCCAGAATACATACTACTCACTCATCGTATACGCCATGGTTCAATTCGAGTGGACAGCAGCCAAATTCTTCTGGTTTTACTTTGTCAACTTCTTCTCTTTCCTCTACTTCACATACTATGGAATGATGACAGTCTCCATCACACCAAATCATCAAGTGGCTGCCATTTTCGCGGCAGCATTCTACGGACTTTTCAATCTTTTCTCTGGATTCTTCATCCGCAGACCTGTAAGTTCTTACATTTTCTTTTTCATTCACTGAGCTGTTTACCTATGCACACAGTCGAAAAAACCGTTAACTTTTCTCTTTTTTTGTTAATCAAATTCAGAGGATTCCCAAGTGGTGGATTTGGTACTACTGGATTTGCCCCGTGGCGTGGACTGTGTACGGATTGATTGTATCACAATACGGGGATGTCGAGGATACCTTTAGGGTGCCAGGGGTACGTGACCCAGTGAGAATCAAAGATTACATCAGGTCACAGTATGGATTCAGATCAGACTTCATGGGACCAGTGGCTGGAGCTTTGATAGCTTTCACCATCTTCTTTGCATTCATGTACGCCTTGTGCATCAAAGTTTTGAACTTCCAAACGAGATAGAACAGCTGCTACTCTATGCACTATAGAAAAAGTTGTAAATATACAAACATGAGAACGAGATAACAAGTCTCATGTAAGTAAGCTAATATATATTGGTTTATGTTGTTCTTTCATTTAGAAAGGTGTTTATCTCACCTCTTTTAAGTCTAAGATGCCTTTTATATATACATATATATATGGAGGAGGAGGGCGTCGAAATTTTTTGGTTGCTAGGTTTGAGAACTTGTATACCACAGTTGTTAAAGGTATATATAAGACCTTAAACTATCCGAGTTGTACTAGTTCGGCACTAGTGCACTTTCGAATATCGTCTTTGTAATAAGGTTGTATACCTTAAACTATAAAGGCACTAGTGCACTTTCGGCATGATCAATAACCATTGGGAGGCGATAATGCAAGAGCAGAAATTAGCCGTCAGAGCAAAAGATGGTTGGCTTACCCAAACTATCCTTAACGAGTCAAATCTCAAACCCCTCCCTTCATATATTTCACGCGTTAGTCATTTCCTTGTTTTTGTTTTTTTTTTTTTTTTTTTTTCTGGAAACAAGTCTTCTTGTCTCTTCTAATATTTCCCACGAAATCTCAGTTGCCATAGACAAATTCGGAATTCCTCCTCAAATTCTCTCTCTATAATTTACTTTTCCTAATTCACTCTTTTGTCATCTTCTCCATGAATCAATCTTCAAATACTTAAGTCATGTTATAGTTCACGAAAACTGTTTAAGTTTCTTGTTTCCAATTATTATTGGGATTCTTTCGTTTGAATTTCTAGAATAAATTACACTTCTTCATGAATCGATTCGCCGGTGAAGTCATGAGAATTAATCCTATAGCATCTTGTGTTTGTTATTAATGCTTTTGACATCAGCACAGCTGGTATACCTTGTAACACATTTTTGTTTCTCAACCTACTGGCACTAGCCATAATTGCCAAACCAATCAATGGTATATTTAAGTTAGTTTCATCCCTTTTAAGGGGCGAGATGCGGAAATGGTTTTCCAATTCCTCAAATTTCAATGATGAAGCAAAATATATTCACGCAGTTTAGGATTAAAAAGTTGAAAATTATGCAAGTACAGTAGTCTGGTTTAATATTACAGAATTGAGATATTCTAGTTTGATATGAATCTTTGTGTTGGGCAATTTTAGTCCATGGAATGTATGTGTACGGAGCAATTAGGTAACTGGTTGGAGCCCGGATGTGCTGCTATCATCGAGAGTATATCCCTTCAATTCATAGTTGGAGATGCCTAGGAATGCAAAAATGAAAATGCTCATTGTTGAACTTGAAACAACTTAATTGGTGCGAAAATTTGGGTTGGATTTAAAATATTCAAAAGGGCAGAACTTTACGATGTTCATTTGAAGGTAATTCATGGAGATTTTTAATTGGTGTGGCACCTAGTTTGCATAGTTGTCGAATTGAAGTGATTTTGTGATCGGCAGTGGGTAGTGATATTGGGATTAAGAAGGAGTTGGCAAAAAAAAAAAAAAAATCAGTAATGGTGGATGGATGGCGGAGGATATACATTAACCTTTGACCCAATTCAGAGTAATTGAGGAATTACAATTAATTTTTGTTCTGGCGGCTAATTCCTGCTTTGGCAATATCACTAGCCATAACCATTCTCTAATCGATTACTGATGTCTTTTAATATCTCATGGCCCTGAGTCTTTACATTCAGTGTACAATACAAATGACCATTTATTTATGACAAAAGGATATCACAAAAACCGACCATTTGTAATGCAATAGGTTCTTCAGGGTTGATTATAGTTATTACTTATCATGCACTTCTTAGAGGGAAAAATAGAGGGAAAAATGGATGATTTATAAACTTAAGACATTGAGAGAAAATAATCGCAGAAGCTTTTGAGGACAGAGTCCGACTCCACCCGGCCGGCAGCCGGCGAGTTAAAAAAGCACAACTCTGCTAGTGAGATTTGGTTATTTGGCCGTAATGCCCGACATTTCATTTTTATCTCGGTCAGAAACTCATATTAGTATTTGTTCAGCCAGGCCTTAGTCAACGGCTATTGGATTCGAGAAGTGTTGTGGCCGTATAAAACAAAGATTGTTTTGGACTTAAAAAAAATTATTGTTTTGAAATTAAATTAAAATGTTCCGATGATAAGAGATAAATAATCTTCTGAATCCACAATGTCGTGCTTTAAGTAGGGATTAGGCGGTCAACGAACCGAGTCAAGCCCCAAACAATTAGGTCGAGCTCGAGTTCGACAAAAAATTTGGAACTCGTATTCGAATTCGAACTCGATCGAACATCTAAAATGAAGTTTGAATTTGGCTTGAAATAAAAACGAATAGCTCGCGCTCGGCTCGATTGGCTCGAGTTTTTGTGTCCGATAAAAATTGAGCTCGAATGCTCGATAATATTAAACTTGAATAAATTTAAATATTTGTCATTTTCAATTCAACACGTTCAATCTATGTGTTCTATGTGCAAAATTCTTTGACAAATTATAAAAAACATGTATATCTCATTATTACATCTTCAAAATATAAAGAACAATAATTTTTAAGGAATAAAAAAAAAATTTATGAATTAAATATTAATCAAATAAAAATAAAATAATTTATAATAAGCTCGAATAGGGTCGACAAGATCTCGAATCAAGCATTTTGATACTCGTGTTCGATTCATCTATCTAATCAAACTGTTCGAATTTGATTTGAGTTCAGTCCCGGATTCAAGTCAAGCTTTGATCGAGCTATTCGCAAGCTGCTCGTGAAGTGTTCGGTTCGTTGACAGTTCTAGTATGGATTCACTCCAGAAGGTGGATCACCCAGTTAATGTAATCTCATCAAATACCGAGTAGCTGAAGGTGTTGAAGATGCAAAACCTCTCAAACTATTTAGATGAAATAAAATATCAATTAACCAGAGAGCTTATCGTGGATTATCATGGTAAGTCGATATAGGCCAGGTATTCGAATAGAATTTATTAGTGTTGCCTGTGATAAATATCTATCATATTTTAGAAAAGAAAAAAAGAATTCATGACCTAATTAAAAAGATAATAGTTTACTGAAAGACACTCCTCCGTATTTAACCATGAAATCACGTTTTAGAATCTCGTCTTGGCCTGGAAGAGTCTTCAATTCCTAAAAAAAATTAAATATTAAGTCGCAATCTAAACTGCGTGAATCATAATATCGACAAAATGACGCTTTATTTAATAAAGAAATTACAATTAAGATTACAAAATAATCGAGCCATACAGGCTAGAAGACGCCAAGGCCTAGAAGTATCTTTAATTTTTCAAGTTGAAAATGGAATTTCTTGTTGTAATTATTGGAGTAGGAAAAGGACAGGGTAAAAGACAAAAATCAGTAGTATAATTAGTAAGTAATTTCTTTCTAGGAATTTAAAGAAGAAAAGGTTGATCTAATCATCCCTTTTATCCTTTTACGTTGGCTCTATCGACCACGGTAGCTAGAGAGAACAAAAATGGTTTAACACCTAGTTATTGTAATGTGGTTTTGACATTAACTTTCGAGATCAAAATGGCGGGTTTTTTTTTTTTTTTTTTTTCTATTGCACCTCCTATATTGATTGTATCGAATAATAAAAAATGTTATCTCCAGATACTTTTTCCGGTTTCCATTCTATGAGGAAGAAGAATCAAGGCAAACGAAATACTAGCCAAATGTACCAACAAAAGAAAAAAAAAAAAGAAAAATCATTGAAGCATTCCAAAAAAGAAAAACATATGTGACGCCTGCCTGTATATAGGGTATTATGCTGTAGTTAAACTGAATATTCACACAATTTTTTGGATGAGGCAAGACGAATAAGTATGCTTCTAAACACCGGTATCCAGTCAAACTATAAACCACAACATGAAGAATATTAAGTAACAAAAATGTCATTAATTAGACGGCATTAGTCTTTGGATTTCTTGCATTGGGAAGGGTAATATTAATATGAGATGGAAGAAATAATTGCAACAGAAACTATTCCGTCTGGCCCTTATTATAAAGTTAGTTCAAATTTATGTCTTGTATGTCTCATCAATTTATGAAATCAAATAGGCAATGTTAACAAATGTGAAACTCCCTCTATTCCAAAATTATTTGTCCAGTTTGAATATAACAAATAATAAAGTATATAAGTTTGAACTAAAAGTGAAAATCCAAATTGGACAATAATTTCGGGACGGAAAAAGTATAATCGATCAAACAAACCGACCAATTTTAAAAGTTTTGACTTGGTATGAGGCCAAATGAGTAGTAGTAATATATATGATCCGCGGTCGAAACACATAATTATAAGACGTAGTATATTCTCCGAGAAGAAGAAACATTTCCACAAAATTGATCATCTAAGCATATCCAGAAGATCTGAGCTGATCATCAAGCACATATGATCAAATGGCCGATCCTGTAGAAAACAACTCCCCTGACTCCATCATAAGGTAAATAAAATCACTGAATTTCGGTTGAAAAATACTAATTTGGATGAGGAAGAAGCTAGTTTATAAAATTGGATGAGATGATGTTGTTTTTGATATATGCTCATATATTATCAAGCACATATGATGATGTTGTTTATAAAAATTGATATACATATATATATATATATATATATATATATATTTGCAGAGGGACGAGTACGAGGCCAACAGCGGAAGTGAGGTTTGAGAATTTAAGGGTGGAAGCAGACTGTCATGTAGGAGAAAGGGCAGTTCCAACGTTGCCAAATGCGGCTCTTAATATTGCGGAATCGCTTCTCGAGTGTTTCGGGATTGCATTTAGGTCATCGGCTAAGAGAACCAAGCTCACCATACTCAAGGATGCCTGTGGGGTTATTAAACCCTCAAGGTACATAATTAATTACCTTCGTAACTAAGATTATTCGTCGTGCTAACAACATCAATCATCTCTATCGCCATTTGTAGTTATAAGGTTCTTTCCATGTGATCATCGAGGGACTGTCATGTTCTAAACTCGATGAACTGGAAGCTCACTTCACTTTTTTTTTTTTTTTATAGCCTTACGATTTTTTATGGTTTTTTTTTTCACTTTTGATATTGTTTTACAAAAGTTTTGTTAATTATAACCTCTGTAACAATCTTAGTAATTTTCAAGACAAGTTCATTTACTTAGTTGGAGGAGGCATGATGAAGCTCTCTATATAATATGGTCAAAATATTATAAAATGGAGATCCTAATCTTAAAGTTAATTTCGATGTGAATATAGACAAGTTATAGTTTTAGTTCATATTCGATCTTTTCTTTTTTCTTTTTGGCATTTGCATAAAGTGGCAACATCCAAATGTGTGTTTTTTTCTGCTCGTCTTTTGAAGACAACTACTCCGGCAACATCATATAATTTAACCGTGTAATAATGATTCAGGAAGAGAAAACTAATTTAAAACGTGATTATAGTACTATTGCAAAGATGCTGATTTTGAGTTGGAATTAACGTTTGTTGTGCCGCAGGATGACACTGCTGCTAGGACCCCCATCCTCCGGGAAAACAACACTTTTATTAGCTCTTGCCGGAAGATTGGATCCCAAGTTAAAGGTCAGAACAGCTGTGATTAATTGATGATGATTTTATAATGGGATTGTTAATCCAAAAAATAAAATAAAATATGGTAATATTAATTAGCAAAAAATAAAATAAAATTGAAATGTTTGGATGGAATTTGTATAGGTCAGTGGAGATGTAACATACAATGGGCACAAGCTGAATGAGTTCGTGCCTCAGAAGACATCGGCATACGTTAGCCATAACGATGTTCACTCCGGTGAAATGACCGTTAAGGAAACCTTAGAATTTTCCGCAAGCTGTCAAGGAACTCGTTCAGGTAAGAAAATACAAATTTCTAAAAAGTGCTTTTACTCGTCTCATTTCGTCGTTCACTTATATTAAATTAAGATAATATCACGAAGTAAATTATCAAAATGAGAAGAAAAAAAATACTAATTTTATTTCTTAATCAAATAAAATTTCAATTTGCTTGCATCTAAGTTTTCTTTCTTTTCTTTTTTTTTTTTAAATAAAAAAATGGCTTAGAACTACTGGCGGAGCTAGCAAGTAGAACAAAAGTTGTTGAAGCTTTCCCAGATGCCAAAATCGATCATCTTATGAAGCTGGACGGAGAGGTACTTACTTTATTAAATCCAATAAAATTTTAGTTTTTTATACCCTTGAATTAAAATGTTTAGTGAGTCATAAACCCTTGAATATCAATGATAGTCATCTCTGACAACATTACATTAATTATTTTAATATGTTTAATATTTGAAACATTTTTTTGGGGGAGGAGAGAAGATGATATTACTGAAAAAGTTTAAATTCTCAAAATTACTCAAACACTTAAGAATGTGAGTTTTCCGAACAATAATATACAATTTCATTTTTCTCATATTTATTGTGTTTTATGTAGGGTACACAGGCGGATCGAGTAATAGACAACAGTATAATCATAGACTTCATTCTCAAGGTGATAATAATTGATAATTTTCATTTTCGAATGCTTCTTGATAGTTTATTTTATTCATTGCATAATTATATTAATGTAACCATTATTGATACAGATATTAGGGCTTGATATATGCCAAGATACTATTGTTGGGGATGAGATGCGTCGTGGAATTTCAGGGGGCCAAAAGAAGAGGCTCACAACTGGTACTTAATTCTACATACACCCTAATAACACTTTTCAAAATGAGAGTGATAAAATTTCAATCTGTCTCATTTTAATAATTCGTTTTTATTAATGTGTGTGTACACAGGAGAAATACTTGTCGGGCCAACAAAAACGTTGTTCATGGACGAGATATCGACAGGTCTAGACAGCTCAAGCACAATGCAAATACTCAAATGCTTACAACAAATAGTTCATCTCACCGAAGCCACCGTGCTCATGTCCCTTCTCCAACCTGCGCCCGAAGCGTTCGAACTATTCGATGATATAATTCTCTTGTCTGAAGGCTACATTGTGTATCATGGTCCTCGACAACTTGTCCTGACCTTCTTTGAGAGTTGTGGTTTCAAGTGCCCTGATAGGAAAGGAACTGCTGATTTCCTACAAGAGGTACACCAATTTTTGTTTTTTGTTTTGATTTTTTTTAAATAATCAATCCTCACATTGACATAATCAGTTGTTGTTACTTACAGTTACATGTCTAAAGAAAATTGCAATCTTTATTTTTTTTTCCTAGTCACACTAATATGATCATCATTTTTATTATAATGGATGTCGGGTGGGGTGGCGTGTGTCTAATTATAAATGTACCCGAATTAATTAATTAGATGTTGAGAGTTCGATTCCTACTATACCTAAATATTGCGTAACACTTTTCTTTTATAGAATGGATAGATTAAAAAAAAAAACACGTTGTGTAAGAAAAGTTAACATTGTTTTTGTTGATAGGTTACATCCAGAAAAGATCAAGAGCAATACTGGATGGACAGAACCCAATCATATAAGTATATTTCAGCCCATGAATTTTCAGAGAAGTTCAAACATCACCCAATTGGAAAACAACTCGAAAATGGTCTCTCAATTCCTTATGACAGAGCTTGGAGTCACAAATCAGCTTTAGCCTTCAAAAAATACTCAGTTCCAAAAATGGAGCTTCTCAAGGCCAATTTTGCCAAGGAATTGTTACTGATGAAAAGAAATCTTTTCGTCTATGTATCATTTGGTATCCAGATCATCCTGATAACACTCATAGTTTCAACTGTGTTTCTAAAGCCCAGAATGCATTCCAGAAGTGAAGATGATGGGGTGAAATACATTGGTGCATTGATATTTTGCATGGCCATTAATGTCTTCAATGGCTTTGCTGAACTTGCTCTAACCATACAGAGGCTTCCTGTTTTTTACAAGCTAAGAGACTTGCATTTCCACCCTTCTTGGGCTTTCACACTCCCTAATTTCCTGCTTGGATTGCCGATTTCACTGTTTTACTCTTCCCTCTGGATGCTGGTAACATATTATGGCATGGGATTTTCCCCTGAAGCTAGCAGGTACTGTGACCTGAAGGCTAAATTAATGATCACTCAACCATTTTTATTGAATACTTTTGTATTACTTCCTTCCAAAATATGAATCATATTTTCGCGGTTTGTTTTTAACAAACGGGCTCTTATTTTGGGACGGAGGGGGTAGTATATATTATATAATCATTTATTCAAACAAGTCTTTTTTGAAGTCAGGCTACCTTTTCTGAAAGTGCAACTCCCATCTTGAATGCTTTCTGCAGGTTTTTCAAGCAGTTTTTGCTGGTGTTTCTAATTCAACAGATGGGGTATGGATTGTTCAGGCTCATTGGAAGCATATGTAGGAGTATGGTACTAGCAAACACAGGAGGAGCTCTAGTTGTTCTCATGATGTTCTTGCTAGGAGGTTTTATACTTCCTCAAGGTCACATTTCTATTAGTACTACATCATCAATGCCTTACTTTTGTGAAAATATGTTATCACTGCTTATTACATTCAAGTGAAAAAAACATGAATCCAAACACCTTTTGTATGATCTGGTAAATGGTTTTTGCCATTGCAGATCTTATATCAAAAGGGTGGAGTTGGGCTTACTGGTTGTCACCTTTGTCATACGGTTTCAAAGCTCTATCAGTGAATGAAATGACTTCTCCTAGATGGATGAACAAATTGGTAATCATTCTTAACTATCTTTTCCTACATGATGCACAACATGCTGTTTTTTATGAAGAAAACAACAAAGTTGTAAATTTGTATTATCAGTACAGGCCTCAGACAATGTGACAAGGTTGGGAGTGGCAGTGTTAAATGAGTTTGACATCCCTCCAGATGCGAATTGGTATTGGATTGATGCAGCTGCCCTTCTTGGTTTTGCGATTCTGTTTAACGTTCTGTTTACTTTCACCCTTGCGCGCCTAAATCGTAAGAAGCCCCATCATTCTTCACACTCAGAAGATTTCTGATTAGTAAGTTATTGAAGGGACTAACATGTCAAATATTGCTTGGGTCCAGCTCTAGGAATGTCACAGGCTGCAATGTCAAAAGAGCAGATAAAAAAGATGGAAGCCAGAGAACATGAGATTGAGGAACAAATGGAACCTGAAAAAATCAGCAACAAGATAAAGTCAGCCCAAAGAAATACATCCAATGCTGGTGACTACAACTCAAGTAAAAATCTTTATTATACTATTCAGATCGTTGACTATAATAAACACATATGAACATTTTAACAATAGGAAAAAGTAGCCATTCTGAAGCTAATGCATCAAGTATAACTGCAGGTACAGCTGCTGAGTTTACAAGAGAAGATGCGCCTAAGAAAGGAATGGTTCTACCATTTAAGCCTCTAACAATGAGCTTTAAAGATGTAAACTACTTTGTGGATATGCCCGATGTAAGTATCCATACCTGTTTACATTTTATATCAGAAATCTTTGTGAACAACATAAAAAGAAAAAAAAAACAATAAAAAGAAGAAGAAGAAGAAGAAGAAAAAGCTCTTTGTCTCAGATGGTACATAGTATGAAACAGCATTGTATGAAAATACTGATGGCAAAGTTTTTATCAATTGCACAGGTAATGAAGGAAAAAGGAGCATCAAGTGACAGGCTGCAATTACTTCGCGAAGTAACTGGTGCATTTAGACCTGGAATTCTTACTGCATTGATGGGAGTCAGTGGAGCAGGGAAGACAACTTTATTGGATGTTCTATCAGGACGAAAGACTAGTGGTTATATAGAAGGAGACATCAGAATTGAGGGATTCTCAAAGAAACAAGAAACCTTTGCGAGAATATCAGGATATTGTGAACAGAATGATATCCATTCACCTCAAATAACTGTCCATGAATCTCTAATATTTTCAGCATTTCTTCGACTTCCCAAAGAGATCAGTAAGGAGGAGAAGATGGTAAAAAATGTTTTTCACTGAGAAATTGATAAATTTCATGATAGTCCATCCAATTATGTCTGATCATGCTTTTTTCTTTTTATTTTTCAGATATTTGTGGATGAAGTGATGCATTTGGTTGAACTTGACATGATAAAAGATGCTGTAGTTGGGCTTCCAGGAGTTACTGGTTTGTCAAGGGATCAAAGAAAGAGATTGACAATTGCAGTCGAGCTTGTCGCGAATCCCTCAATCATATTTATGGATGAACCAACTTCTGGTCTTGACGCAAGAGCAGCCGCCATTGTCATGAGGACAGTGAGAAACACAGTGAACACGGGAAGAACAGTAGTGTGCACCATTCACCAACCTAGCATTGATATTTTTGAAGCTTTCGATGAGGTAGATGAATGTCTTTTCTTTATACAATTTGTATTGTGTGAAGCATCATTAGGCTGAAAGCTTTCATCAATCTTTTATGAGTTCCTCTGATTTGCTCTTCCACTTTTGGCATCAGCTACTTCTGATGAAAACTGGAGGCCAACTAATATATGCAGGGCCATTAGGCCTGCACTCACAGAATGTAATAAAATATTTTCAGGTAATTATTTTCCTTCAAAAGTTTTCATTTACAAATTATAATCATGAAAGACAACCATTGATCTTCTTGTCACTTTTAGGCAATTCCTGGTGTTCCAGCAATTAAAGATAAGCAAAACCCAGCCACTTGGATGCTGGAAGTAACCTCTGAGACGATGGAGCTACAGCTTGGAATAGATTTTGCCGAGTACTATACAACGACGACATTATGTCAGTAAGTATGAGAAACCACAAGCCTAATGTGAAAAATTTTTATAACCCTCAAAGCATCTAACATATGTGACTGACTGGGCATTCATAGACAAAATAAGGATCAAGTGGAAGAGTTGAGTGATCCTGCACCTGAGGCAAAGGACCTCTACTTTCCTACAAAATTTTCTGAGCATACATGGGGACAGTTTAAGTCATGTTTGTGGAAGCAATGGAAGAGTTATTGGAGAAGTCCAGATTATAACATTGGAAGATTCTTCTTCAGCTTAGCCGCGGCCCTTGTGGTTGGGTCAATCTTCTGGCAGATTGGAAATAAAAGGTTTCTCCTGACAAAAAAGAGTATACTACTACTAATCTTCCTTTAAAAAGTAATGAATCTCACTATACTGATTCCATATCATCATATGCGATAATGCAGGGACAACAATGAAGATCTTTTGACAATTATTGGTGCAATGTACATTGCCGTCCTGTTTGTTGGGATCAACAACTGCTCATCTGTGCAACCAATTATAGACACTGAAAGGACCGTTCTTTATCGCGAAAGAGCTGCCGGCATGTACTCTGCATTGCCTTATGCTATGGCACAGGTGAATATTACTGACATTCAAGTTTCCATCTTTTTGTTCATTTGGCCAACCATTTGCATGAGCTAAAGGAGTTATTTGGATCACTAACTACAGTTTGAATGGAATTACTAACAGGTTGCCGCAGAAGTACCATATGTGTTTGCTCAGAGTACATGCTATACACTGATAGTTTACAACATGATGAGTTTCCAGCTGACAGCAGCAAAATTCCTGTGGTTCTACTTTGTGACATTTTTCTCATTTCTCCAATTCACATACTTTGGAATGATGACAATGTCGGTGGCGCCGAATCAACAAGCTGCAGCAATCTTTGCTGGAGCGTTCTATTCACTTTACAACCTGTTTTCTGGTTTCTACATCACAAGACCAGTAAGTGACCATACTCTCTATCCATGCAAAGAATAATGGCATTTTGGATGATCTTCAGTAGTATATTCAAATATTTATTTATTCGTCTGTATTGTAACAACTTGGCAGAAAATTCCATTGTGGTGGATTTGGTATTACTGGATTTGCCCAGTGGCATGGTCAACCTATGGAATTATTGTGTCACAGTATGGTGATGTGAAGGATACCATTGAAGTTCCAGGAATGTCAGAAAGACCAAGCATTAAAGACTACATTAAACATGAATTTGGATATGATTCAGATTTTATGGGACCAGTTGCGGTCGTTTTGATTGGTTATGCAGCATTTTTTGCTCTTATGTATTCGTTTTGTATCAGCAAGTTAAACTTCCAAACAAGGTAGGCTACAAATCCAGAGATATCCCTTTTTTGTCAATACTTTGGGCCAAAAACCATCCATGTAGCACCAATTATAAAGTTTTAAAACATATGGATATCATATAATAAAAAAAAATAACAAAGCAAAAACTGATACGCAGTTTGATGACACCACCATTTTTGTGGTAACTCTGATTATAGTAAATTAAAATCGGTATTATACAGTATCTTGATCTTAAATAAATGGGTTAACATAATACTATTATTACTAGCACTAAATCAGTCGCCATTAAACCGGTGGCGTGGGAAAATTGGAGAAGGTGGTTCTTCAAATGTGGGCTACTGATAATGTGGGCCAAACAGAAAAAGTAGCCCATTGTAGCCGAACTGGATCTAAAAAGGGCCCCGAACTTCTCTACTCTTTTGCCTGGGATGCATTAGTTGTTCCGTTTTTTGAAATTATTGTTGCAATCAGTCATATCGATAGTGAACATTTTTCTTTTGAGAAATAAAAATCCATTCATTAATTTATTAGAAATCGTCTAGCAGCGATTGATAAAAGCAAAATACAGCCATAAAAACACAACTTACAAACAGTCACGATGCCATCGTTGTATAGTGAACACTTTGTTATTTAGTGAAATTGTTGTTTCAATTAATTTGCATATGAGCCAGATGAATTTGTTTTTGGAAGATAAAAGGTTTCTCAAAGTGAATATAATAATTTTTGAAGCAGTACTCGTGCGAAGCGTTTGAACACAAAGCAGACGGAAAAGAACAAGAAAAAAAAAAAAAAAAAGGAGTGAAGGGTAGAAAATTGGAGTTGTCAAATGTCATGATCAAAATGGATCAGGGTTCACGAGGATAAGATACTGGCTCCCCCAGTCCCACCCAACATTTTGATTTTGTACCAGATTCTTTCTCTTTTTGCCCAGTTCAATGGACGGAAGTTGGTAGTTGTAAATATGAAGATATGATCTCCAGTCCCGTCTCAACTCTCAACTCAATAGAAAAAAACATAAAAAAATCTCTGACAAAAACTTGTAAATATTGGAGGACATGATGCTCGTTTTACAGGAATTGAAATATATCCAGTAAAAGAGTTCATCGACAAAACTAACATGCATAACTATATGTATACACCTTGTAAATATATCTTTTTGTTATTGTATTTTTTTATTTTCTTGTCACTGATCTATTTTATTAGATGCTTTACTATTTCCATGGGACTATAGGTGCAATCGTGCAAATTTTTCCAACACTCCAAGTAAAACTGTAAAAGAGGGGGAGAAGCCAAATTTGGAGACTTTTACAGAAAATGGAAGGGTCAAAATAAACAAAACTTTTAAAGGAGTGTGACCCCAAGTACTCCAACCAACCCCCCCCCCCGAACTTTATAAAAAAAAAAATGGATAGGCCACCAGCTGCCTACCATTTTAACTTTATTATCATCATTTCGGTAGCGAATCGACGCGGTTTTTTGTCAACCATGTATACTCAATCTCACGTAATTTGGCAATTTGACAGAGGTACAAACTCACAATTTACTATGAACGGTCAAAAAAAGAAATACATATTCTCTATGTGTCAGCAAATAATTTTACATTAAAATTTGTATACTATGTTTCGTACAAATTACAAATTATAATTTTATTTTATATTTTTGGATAAAAAGAATATATGATTGTATCATGTAAATATACTTCCTCTGTCCCAAAATTATTGTTCACTTTGAAATTTCACTTTTAGTACAATTTGAACTAAAAATGAAAACTTAAACTGGACAATAATTATGGGACAGAGGGAGTAATTTTTTCGAAGTTTCTATCTCGCATAATATTATATCAATAGTAATTAAATTAGAAAATTATTAATTGTAACTCAATTTTGTTTTCTTTAATAGATGTTTTATCGATCTAACATCACTATAAAAATAAATAGGTGCGTTCTCAAACCTCTGGATGATGTGAGGATGACGATGGAAAAATTAAAAATATACTATATCATTGAAACATGGAATCTAATTATGATTTATGAGTAGTTAGTATAGTGTAATAATAGTACATTATAGTAGTCACCATCAGGTCCATCAAAAACACAGGATGCATGAAAGAGACAGGCTGGGAAGAGCTGGGTTTGCATGGCCACAATTCAAATACGTAGTAGTCTTACTACTTCAGCCTTCAGGTACTATGTATATGTAATATTCATGAATATGGAAACTCTTGAATTCAATTGAAAGTTTGAAACAAGTCAAGAAACCAATTGACGGATTGAACAAGGACGAAAGCAATACATATAGTGATCGATCGTGTCTTAAAATGATTGTCGTGTTTAATTACTATAATAATTAAAATATATATATATATGTAGAGAAGGATGGATGGATAATGATAATGAATTAATAAGCTGCAAAATGTGGTTGCCTGGCTACCAGATTGCCAAGTACTGAACGAAATTAAAAGCCTCCCTCCAAAGTCCAAACCATAAAACATAGGCAATTATCCAACCGCATGTCCCACTGGTTAGCAGTTGTGTAATTTCAGCCATTGTTGGTGCCTCGCGTGGACTTGGTAACCCACTATATATATTGTTCATTCTTTAATGTCTACGCAGACAAGCAAGGGACGACCATTTTACGCCAGCAATTTAATTTGATGTGTATGATTCTCAACGACCAACTTAAAAATTTTGCTGCGAGGCGCAAGCATTGTGAGAACCATATTAATTACTTCAAACTAATGGTTCACATTAATTTCAATTGTAGCTGTCTAGCTAGTACCGAGCTCCTAATAATAATAATCCCCTTTCGTCACTTCCTGAGTTCTTTTATTATTCTTCTACTTTTTCCCGTTTCAGGAAATAATTCCCAATAGGAGGAGTCAATAACCGAAGAAATAATCAAAAGTACACCAGTAAAAGGAAATTCTAAAAAATATGAAATGTGCATTGTGTGTGAATTGTGATTAATCAAGAATTTGTGATTTTATTGATAATGTTTTATACCAGTGGAATCATGCGTTCAGCTTTTGACTTTCAGCGTCTAACGTTTACCAGAAACCACATCGATAACAAATACTCTTTTCGTCCCATAATTATTGACCAATTTGAGTTTTCATTTCTAGTTCAAATTATACTAAAAGTGAAATATCAAACTGAATAATAATTTTGGAACAGAGGGAGTATTTTTTTTTTCCCCCAAAAAATACACAAACTAAAGTATTACGTCTTCTTTGCTAGTTGCTAGCAATTTGCCCAGCCCACAATATGTTTAGTTACTTTTATTTCAATTAACTGTGAAAAATTGCTCCGTTGGTTTATTAAATTTCATTATGGTACTTGAACATCCATGTGCCCAAAAAATTTGATAGGAGGGAAGGAAAAAATGAAAAGAAAAAAAAAACAAAAGAATTCAATAAAAATGGAATCCTTACAAATAATACTAAAAGGAAAAATTGGAAACCTGAAAATAAAATGTATAATACCAACAAAGGAAAAGGGATATACTTTCGAATGTGACGTGAAGTCGTGAATTAATCGCCCAAAGATTGAAAAAGTTATTGGAGAGGATCAATAAAGCTTTGAACTACAATTAAATATAGTAGTATTCTACTAGTATTATTTTTAACTTGAAACATGGGAAGATACCTTTAAATCACCCAATGGATTCTCATATTGCGGACTAAAGAAAAAGACGAAAATCTAAGGTGAAAAAAAACATGGGACTCCCAAAACCTTGTGATCGAAGTAGTGTTGCGAATCGTGACCAAAAAGACAAGTGTTTGAAGCATTTTTCAAGGAAAATGACACTCGGTTTTTGGTTACTCTACAAGTATTAGTTTAGTTTTAGGGTTTATAGCCCTCAGCATTACCCCAAGGTATCGGTTTTCATATCCATCTTCCTACCCAAGTCCTCCAACGCCCACAATACTCCAACCCTTGTCAATTTAGTCTTTTTTATTGTTCCTTCCGTCCTATTTCGGTTCAGTTTGTGATTTCGCTTTTAGTACAATTTGAACTAAAAACAAAAATTAAAATTAGACAATAATTTCAAGTCAGAATGAGTAATTCATTTCATTATATTAAAATAATTTTAGCACGATAATGGATTTTCTAATCACAGTATGAAAATGAGAAATATAGTAATTAACAAAGTAGTTAGAAGAGACTTATCTAAATTACCTAGTTACGAGAAGAATGTGTCTAACAAGTAATGGGAGTTGTTAATTATTAGTGCACCAATCTTAGTTTGATCAATTCCTTGCTTTGCATCATCTTCTGCTATTTAGGCGTACCAAGCCAGACGATTCCACAAATTCTCCTTCTCATAAAAATGGATTATTCATACAGAAATATCGTGACACTTAAATTTGTTTGAAACGTAAGGAACTCCATTTCCTTATTTTGGTTTTTCTAATAAAGTCTAAAATCTCTACAGTTTGAAAAAAGGAGTCTCTTTTTCAATTATTCACAATATATAATTAACTCATTTTACTCGTTGTAATTTAATTTTGTACACCATTGCAATGCTTTTTTCCCAAAAAAAATTTGCGCGTATGTGTAACGCTTGTTCAAACCAATTGTATCTTGAAGTGCATGGTTAAAAATTTGCAAACATTATAATATATTTGTAGAATTGATAGTATCAAGAATGAAATTGATGACCATTTAAGGAAAAATATTTTAGTATCATGTGCACAAACAAATGATTATTGAGAGATTTTGTCTCTTAATGAAATCCACTCAATTCAAATGAAAATTATTACTCTGGTGTCATATATGATTTTTTGCTCCAAAGAAATTATATTATTGTAAATGTCGACGTATCGTAATAAAAAAATGGCTTTCTATTAACTATAAAAAAATATAACGTGACCTTATTATACCATTCACTATGGGCAACAAATCTACACAAAAAGCTGATCACACATTAATAACGCGTAATTCAGGGTACGAACCACGTAAATAAATCTACCTAACACCGTCACGATTTGAGCTATCTATGGGCATATAGTGTACACTAAAAACATTCCAAGGACTAAAAGGGAAATTTTTGGGGGAAAAGAAACAACTTGTTGAGAGGGGGTCAAAATCGGAAGAGAAAAATGCTGATGAAGAAACAGGTCAGCTGGATTCAGCAATTGAAGGAAAGAGCCTTGAATGCAATGTTGCCAAAAACCAGAAGTATATAAATACAAAGGGCCCAAGATCCGACACTAGAAAAAAAATACAAGCAAAGCAAAACAGAGGAGGAAGAAGAGGAGGACAAGTAGGAAAGAGGGGTTGGGAGATAGAAGAGAAAAGAGGTTGTTGGAGGGCTGCTTCATTACCCCCTTTTCTCACATTTTAGCTCCACAACCCATAACCAACCTCCTTTCTTCTTCTTCTTCTTCTTCAACACTTCTCTTAATTCTTAAGCCCACTTCAGTTTTTTTTTTTATTCATTTGAGATTTTTCACAATGTTCTCCTTAAACAATAGCACTATCTTGGTAAACCATCTCAATCCCCCTTTTTTTGTGTGGAAGTTTGTACATTCTGTATTTGATCCACGTGCTTATATCAATATTGAATCAAATTTGCTTAATCACAAAACTGAAATTGAAAAATTTCTTGTTTCTTTGGGTTTATGAATTTGGCAATTTGCATGAAATGAATTGTGAGATAATCAAAGATTCAGTCTTTCTCACCGACGGATATTATAAAAGATGGGGAAAAATACGAACTTGGACAAGATTTATTTGATTTTTTTTTTTTTTTGGTTAATCTGTTGAGTTAAACCAGTTATGGGAAACGAATTGATAATTGTTAGCTGATTCTTGTTTGTGCAGAAAAATTCTCTGTCTGGGGTTTCAAAAGGATGGGGGCAGCAGCCACCCAGAAAAATTTCAGGGCCTGCGCTGGTAGTAGTGGCGGCGGCCGTCGGCTCCAATGGCAGACCTGGGGATCGCAACGTCAGCGTTTTGGTCGACAACACTGTGAAGGAGATTCGGGAGGTTTCTCCGGTGGTCGAGAAGGAGTCCAAAACAACCGTCAGCGGCGGAGTCGGTGACGTGTATGGGGAGGATACTGCGACCGAGGATCAGTCAATCACCCCTTGGACTGTCTCTGTTGCCAGGTAAAGGGAGATCAATCACTTGCTGTGAGGTTTTAATGATTTTTCGATGATTTCTATGATCACGTATCGCTTCTTTTTCCTTTGGAAATTCGTTAATTTAATATATCGAAGATCTTTTGAACTGCTGTTTGATAATAAAATAGAATTTTTATTGCTCTTTTTTCCTATGTGTAATTTCTGTGGAGCGCGCTGTATCTTATATTTCTCAGTAAGAGAAGTTATATTAAGCGTTTTTTGTTATGTTGTGCTGAATTATTGGGGGCCTTTTGTATTTTCACTTTATTTATTTATTTAATACATATTCAATTGGGGGTCTCTTCAGTTGTGGTTGATTCAACATGCTTTTTGGATGCATAAGTTCCATAAGCTTTGGTTATTAAAGTCATTTTGATCCTTAATAAGAAGTTGAAGTCTGTGAATTACCTTTTTGTTGCAGTGGATATCCATTGTTGCGTGATCCTCACTTCAATAAAGGTCTTGCTTTTACTGAGAAAGAAAAGGATGCCCACTACTTGCGTGGTCTTCTTCCACCAGTGGTTGTCAGCCAAGAAATTCAGGTGTTCTGTTTTCTAGAATCAACTTACTTCATCTTCTGAAGTACTATTGTTCGAGCAGTTTTTAAATCCTATGTTTTCTGCCACCCTACTAAACAGGTTAAAAAGATGATGGCAAATATTCGTCAGTATCAAGTACCACTACAGCGTTACATGGCGATGATGGATCTTCAGGTTGCTTACGTTTCCTCTGTTACTTCTGTCTCTATTCTGAGCTACCCTTTGTTCAGCAAATTCAATTTTGACATTCTTCCAGCCCCATGGATATGGATGTTATGCATGTTTCATTAATTTTTTGCTTATTCTTTTCTTACTCTGAATGAAATTGAATAAAACATTCTGGCTTGCTCTTTATCTTTATCGTTATCTTTATCTATACAGGAAAGAAATGAGAGGCTGTTCTACAAGCTTCTCATAGACAATGTTGAGGAACTACTCCCAGTTGTTTACACTCCAACTGTGGGTGAGGCATGCCAGAAATATGGGAGTATATTCAGGCAACCACAGGGCCTCTTTATAAGTTTGAAGGAAAAGTACGTTTTTTGACTTTCTGTTTTGCCTGTTTTTGATCTGGACTGCTTTTTTTTTCCTTTTTTTTTTACTTTACCTGTTTTCTTCTTCACTTTTTGCAGAGGAAAAATTCTTGAGGTGCTCAAGAATTGGCCTCAGCAGAAAATTCAAGTAATTTGTGTCACCGATGGTGAACGAATCTTGGGGCTTGGTGATCTTGGCTGCCAGGCATGTCATCTGCGTTATTCTCCTTTCCCTTTTGGTTTGTAAATTTTATTACTTTTCCGAAGGCAAAGAATGAGGAAATACTCGTCACATCTTTCAGCGCTTGGATATGTGTTGTTCAAGTTAGAGTGGCCTTGTAATTTGAATCAATTTTATGATTTTTGTACAGGGAATGGGGATACCTGTAGGGAAGCTGTCCTTGTACACTGCTCTCGGGGGCATTCGTCCCTCAGCTGTAAGTGTTTGCAAGGCCTTATTTTATTTTATTTTTTTGGAAATCACAAGGCCTTATTTAACGTACCCTTGGTTTTTGGTTTTCTTTCCCTTCGAGATACACTATTTTCTTGTCCTGGTTCTTTGCTTTGATTGATCTCCAGCTTTAAAATTTGTTACATCTGGTGGAAAATTGTGGTACTGTTCATGATTGCAATTTATCTGACGATTTGTGTCCGTTGAATAGAGTTATGACCTGCTTATTGCATAGACAAATCATTGTAGAAATAGTAACATTTCCCCCCCTATTTTTCAGTGTTTGCCAGTAACAATTGATGTGGGCACAAACAATGAAGACTTGTTGAAGGATGACTTTTACATTGGTCTGAGGCAAAGACGAGCAACCGGGCAGGTAGATATATCCGTCTTCTGGAGTTGCTAGAGATTAATATGAGTTCCTTACTCATTTCCATGTAACGATTTGAAATTTTTTTTCCCCATCATCAGGAATATGCTGAACTCTTAGACGAATTTATGTCTGCTGTCAAGCAGAGCTATGGGGAAAAAGTTCTCATTCAGGTTTGTGGTCTAACTGAATTTCCTACCATGGAGCTTAATTGATTTTGGGTTTAGCTACTAACTGACTTCTTCAATTTACAGTTTGAAGACTTTGCTAATCACAATGCTTTCGATCTTCTTGCAAAATATGGTTCCACGCACCTTGTTTTCAATGACGATATTCAGGTGCAAGACAAGAATATGCTACTGTTTGGTTATATGTCCTTTTTTGGCACTTTTTAAATAGGAATATTTGTAAATAGGAGTATGTGTTATTCCTAAACTAATTTGTGCCTTTCCTATAATGTTACAGGGAACAGCGTCAGTGGTCCTTGCTGGACTTATTGCTGCATTGAAGTTAGTTGGAGGGACCTTAGCAGAGCATACCTTTTTGTTTCTTGGAGCAGGGGAGGTAGTTCTTTGCTCCTTTCAAGTTTACATTTTCCACGTCATACGATACTTTGCTAAGTATTGAACCCTTTCGGTTTTAGGAAAGGTCATGTCCATCAGACAGATATCTATTTTCTGTTAATACATAATTTTTCCTTTAGAATCACTAAAATTTGATTTATTTCTGTGTGATTTTATGCATTTCCATAATTCTATTCCCCTAGATGTATGTTTTGTGCCTTTGAGCTGATCCTTGGTAATCTTTTGTCAACTTGGTTGGCAGGCTGGCACTGGTATTGCAGAGCTTATAGCCCTTGAGATGTCAAAGCAGGTAAAAGTCTAATTGACTTAATTTTCCTGTTATTATGCACTTTTTGTGTTGATTTCTATTTATCATATGGTCCTAAGAATACAAGTAAACAGTGAGAGGTGACACCTGATATCCTTTTGCAGACTGGAGCCCCTGTGGAGGAGACTCGAAGGAAAATTTGGATGGTGGACTCAAAGGTATGGAAAAGAGAAATTAGAATGTTGAAAGTAGGATATAAAAATGACCATGTTGTTTCTAAACCCATCATTATGTTTATAGGGTTTGATTATTCGGTCTCGCATGGAATCACTTCAACATTTTAAGAGGCCCTGGGCTCATGAGCACGAAGCTGTTGGAAATTTGGTGGATGCTGTTAAGGTATGGAAAGCTCTCTTTCATGTGTGTATGTGCTGATGCACGTGTTTGCATCTGCTCACAAACTGTATCTTCTGTGTATGGCCAGGCAATCAAGCCAACAGTACTGATAGGTTCATCCGGAGCCGGAAGAACGTTCACCAAAGAAGTTGTCCAAGCTATGTCATCCTTCAATGAGGTATTGCATGCTCGTTCCTCCACTTTGTTTGCTGAGATTTCAATAGAAACTTTAAATTCACAAAGAAAACTGATTTAACATGCAATTGCTGGTTTGCAGAAACCCATCATACTTGCGCTATCTAATCCTACTTCACAATCTGAGTGCACCGCTGAAGAAGCTTATATGTGGAGTGAGGTAACCTACATAGGCATTTTCTTCTTGTTTATCCTCCCATCAGACTGAATAATTCACCTAATAAATGCCACGTTTACATAATTACTCTATTGGTTTATCATTTTTCCGTATCTTTTTCAGGGTCGTGCCATTTTTGCTACTGGTAGCCCATTTGGTCCAGTTGAATATAATGGGAAGATCTATGCTTCAGGCCAGGTATTTTGTTGCTAAACATTTTTTATGACTAAAATCTGACGATTGCCTTTTGATCTTTGAACTTACAATTTCCTATGCCTTCTTATTTAGGCAAATAATGCTTATATCTTCCCTGGGCTTGGGCTTGGTTTGATAATTTCTGGTGCTATCCGTGTCCATGATGATATGCTACTGGCAGCATGTAAGTTCTTGAAATTTTTATTTTCAATGATCATGCTTTTCATGTCCTTATTCTCTGTTCAGAATTATATTGATGTTACTTCTAAGAACTGTCTTTCCCCCTCCCAGTTGAAATATTCCCAAATTAGAAGGGAAAGAATAATACTATGAGGGCAATAGTAAAGTACTAACGCAGATCATCTTTTGTTCCTTAAAACAGCGGAAGCTCTGGCGGAGCAGGTTTCTGATGAGAACCTCGAGAAGGGACTCATTTACCCTCCATTCTCCAACATAAGAAAGATTTCTGCTCGAATTGCTGCTCGTGTAGCTGCCAAAGTGTATGAGCTTGGTAAGATAATACCTTCCATGCTGATGAATTTGGTGTACTTTTTACGGTTACATCCACTGGCTAACCTTGGAGTTATTTTTGTAGGGTTGGCAACACGACTACCCCAGCCAGAAAATTTGGTTGCATATGCTGAGAGCTGCATGTATAGCCCTGCTTATAGAAGCTACCGCTGAACCAGTGGACAGTTATGTAGTGTGTCGTTTGATTAGGCCTAGGCCATAATGAAATTTTGATGTCATTCTTAACCTCATATTACACCCATTTATCAGCTTTCAATTCTTGTTGTATTTCTCATTATTTGCTACTAATTACTGCAAGTCTTATACGGGGCAGATAGAAAAGGCAAGTAGGCTTTTTTAGGTGGGAAGACAGGTCTTCGCTGTATGTTTGTGTACTAGAATGAAAGTAGTACAAGGGAATGGTAGCTTGTAAACCGTTGTGCAAACTGATAAATTCCTAACTATATTTCAAGGAAGAGTTGGTTGAAGCTTTACCCAAGATTTGTTTGTTGACCGCGGTATGTTTCTAATAGTTTTTTTGTGGGGTTTAGATTGTTGAATTGGGGTAAATATTGTACATAACTGTCATCCCCCTGATGTTAGGCTGTATAAAAAGATGATTAATTTCACAAGAGTAAATGTAATTTGGCCTGTATGGACCACAACCAATGGAAACTATTCTGAGGCAAAATTTCTGAGGCAATGTGCCAAATCCTCCTCAAGTGAAACATCCTAAGTCATATACAACTACAAAGAATAAGAGTTTTGGCTAATTAACCTATGGCCCCATTCAGAAGAGAAGGCCAGATTATATTACAAGGAACACAAGAATGTTAAACAAAAATAATAATGATTGGTACAGAAGTTACTCAGGTGAGAAGAAAATAACTAAAATACTAATGCTTAATTGGCTCCAAACTGCTTCAGTTGGTTGAGCATCATACCAAACCAAGGCAGTTTTCGCCAAAAATCACGCTGCTGGAAAGGTACTATCTTTGGTGGGTTGAGCATTAAACTGAACCAGTGCAGCTTTTTCGACATTATCATAGAGCTGGAAATGGACAATCTTCAGTTGGTAGACTGATAGATCATTAAACTGAACCAAGGCAGCATTTTCCGCCAAAGTCACACAGCTGGAAATGAGCTATTATTGTCCTTGGTTACACCTGATCCATGAAGAGGAGTGCTAGCATGAAATGCTGATTGCCTTGAGGGTTCGGATGTTAATTTAAGAGACAATCTTGTAGATTCTGTAGCGGCAGAGCCATTTTCAACCAAGCTGAGCTGAGACATGCCCACTAGTGCATCCACATTAACAGGTTCCTTTGGAAGAACAGGAATTGGCCTTAGGATCTGGTGATGTGACGCCTGGGAACTTTTTTCTTCCTCCAGAGGGGCTATGTTTGGTGGCCATAATGCAAATGGTATAGGTATAAGCGCCGGAAAGAATGATGGAGCCACAGGAGGTATTTCAGGAAGAGATGTGACACTTTCTTTTATTTCTTCTACTACTTCGCTCGGGGTTGTTTCCATGGGTTCAAAATCTGGTTTGAGAGAGAGATCCAACGATGGCATTGACTTTTCACCGTCATCATCCACTGCTTGCTGATCGGAAGTTGTAAATTGTTCCTTGCTGCTATCTACTACTTGAGGAGGGAGCAAAAATTGTTCTTCTGCTAAAGAGAGCGCCTCTGATGCCTGATAAACAACAGGACAATAAGCGATAGTAAAGATAGAAACAAAATGCATAAAATAATTTAACATTTAGCAAAATGCATAAATGAGCGATAAAGAGTATCATTGAAGTCTTTGGTTTCATCAAAGAACTATACTTTACCCTGCACTGCAAAGAAACCTAGATGACTTTCCTCAAATAAGCAAAAACAAATGGCACACCTATTTTGGGTTTGTCACACACACACGCACACATATGCAAATAAGATAAGACGTCATTTATAGGTGAGGTAGGAAACACCTGCTCAGAGAAATATACATGTACTGAAAATTCAGCAAAAAACACATAAAAGAAATTTCATCTTCATGGTGAATTCGTATTACCAAGCATGATCAACATCGAAACTCTCACAAAAACACGACCTACCGTCTCTGGGACCATGTCAAAAAGGCTGGACCTTCTCTTCCTCCTTGTGGCATTCGTCTGCCTGATAAAGTACTTCTGGGCATGGCTTGCTACCTGAGTCGGAGTCCTTGATGTCACAAAATTGCGGGATATGCCACGCCAATCACCTTTTCCCAACTTCTGTAGGCCAAGGAGGAATAGCCGATGCTCTTCTTCAGTCCATGGAACACCTAGAAACAGAAGAAATTTAAATTTAGGTCTTAAAAATCTAACCATCCAAATGGACACCAGTGACAATACAAACGGACATCCAACATCTCAAGAAACATCCTTTAAATCTATTTTACAGTCCTTGCCGCTGATATGAGAAAATAAAAAGAAACCAATTTCAGAGTAGTGAAGCCCAAAGACAGTCCCACAACATTTTTGTGGCATAAACAGGATAATCAATAGCAAAAGTAACACAACTTTTCTCTTGTCAAAGAAGAGAATCCGTAGAATGCTTCAGTTCTAAAATCAAGTAAGCACAGCAATTTCCAATTGACCAGTTATCTGATGAATATAGGACCTGATCACCCATCATGATTTATCAAATTTAAGCAGGTGTCCTGTTGTGCATGGAAACCTTTTCATTTGTTAGTCCGTGAAAACAAGCAGAAATCTTGACGAGGACAAACAATTAAATTCCTTCCCTGCTTTAGAGTTTGAACACTTGTCTAAACTTAACTCCTAAAAACTACGGATATGTATGGGTTTGTGAGACTACAGAGTAAGGTCACTCATTGACAGTGTTAACCTCATCAAAACAAATCTTGTCTAGTTTTGCAGCAACTTAACTGAAAGAGGAGACTGAAAAGCTCAAAAAATTTTACAATAAATTCGCTGCAGGTTAGTGCTATCGACAAGTGCTTATAAAAGCAAACATTATCATACGAACTACCTTTAGTTCTCAGACTAATAGAGCGGGGCCTGACCTCAACAAAACAAACCATAGATGAACATGCAAGTAGCAGAAGGAAACTGTCTTAACTGTCAGCTAATGAGCAGGACACCGTAGTAGAAACAAATGAGAATTCATACATCATGGCAAGTAGCAGCCAATCAAAGAAGTTGTCAGCAAAATACAACGGTACGATGACCAAAGCAACAAAGATACCAATTCCAATGGCAAAAAGAATTGGAAAATAACACGCCAACCGCCAACATTACATCATTTCCACTTTCATTTGATGCCAATTAATGTGATTGACAAACAATCATTGACGAACAGGTGAAGCAACACAATCCTTAAAATCCCAAGAAATAAAACAATCAAATACACATACACACACATCGGCTCCAAACAGAAATCCATGATGGAGAATAAAATTAAAAGCACGAATAGAAAATGGAAATAAATGGAAAGTCCAAATAGAATAGAAAACGAGGATCTTTTCACCTTTCTTTCTTTCAGCTCTGCGATTAGTAGAGCAAGAAGCATGATTAGGATCATCAGAAAGGTAACCATCGGGTACATGGACCGGGTCCTGAAAAGGGTCCGAAGAAGGCGAGCTAGGATTAGGTGAAGCCGCAGCGGAAGAAGAGGAATGATAGTGGGACAAATTCCCCATACTCGCACTCTTCTTCATGATCGACCCATCCGTTAATCTCACTCCAAACAGCTTCACACCACCACCGCCGCTTCCACTCCCTCCGCCACTACAACCAGTAAGCCCGCCGCCGCCGGGGGCGGCGGCGCCAACTCTAGTGGGACACGTCCGGGAGTTATGGCCGTTGTTGCTACAATGAGAACACCGCCGAGTCATCCCGCCGCCAGCTGCTGACTCGGTAACACACCCAAAATACTCTCTCAATCTAAAAAATCTTCTTTCAAGATTGGAGGCGTTTTATCAAATTAATTGGATTACAAAGTTAAAAGAAAAAAAAAGGAGGTAGCTTGATTATTACAGATTTTAATGAGGGGGATAAAGATGCCAAAGATTAAAAAAAGAAATACAAAAAAAAAAAAAAAACACGAGTTTTGATTGAGTTTGTGGAGGGGATGAAGAGCGAGAGAAGAGTAAGGACAGAGAGAGAGAGAGATATGTTTGTTTCGAGGGAGTCTAGGAAAAGAAATGATTTTTAGTCTTTAGATGCGATTAATGATTTTCAGTTTGGGGGGGGGTTTTACTTGTGAATTACCAAATAAGGGTCGAGGTTAAGGAGATAATTACAGTCTTAGTCTTTTACGCGCTTCGTTTTATCTTTGTGGAAAGTGGTGAGAAATGACGGTTTTGGGGCTGAAACTGGATAACGTCCTGCCTACGTGGCGTATATCTGGAGCTTTGGGCATTTTGTTTGTTTTTGTTTCTTCCAAAGTCTTTGAAGTAGTAGTACTAACTTCGTCTTGGTCGTCACTCATCCCACTCGACTCCGTAGTTTGGAACTCATTGGTTGAATCTGGTCGGTGGGCTCTGTTTGCCTAATTTTAAAAGTGCGCAAATTGATATACTAATGCTAATCTTGTTTTTGTGTTCATAATTTTAGATATGGTTATGTTTTGTTTCTTGTGATAATCGAGATTTGGACTAAACAACTCCTTCAAATTAAGTATACTTCTTGCATTCCCTTTTGTCTTAAGATAATCGTCCTATTATCAATTTAGAAGGAAGGAAAAATAAAATAAATTTTTCGGTCTTTTGTCACAACCTATCAACAAATGTGTTCTTTTGTACCAAGCTTCAAAATTGCACAAATTTTATTTATCTATTGGAATTTATTTCATGATAAAAACTAAGGACTTCTTTGATGACACTACTTATTGCTTAAAATTATTCCATTAAGTACTTATTAATTTCAACATTTTTTATAACAAAGATTGAAGCTCTTATTGAATTAAGTGGTGCTGAAACTGTGATACAAAATATAAGCAATATTCCGTAACTTCTTAATGAATTCAGTATTTCTTATTTAATGTTAAGCATTCTGAACTAAGCATTAATTTTTATCAAACTTGCCCTAAGTGTTGTAAAATGTAGATCTCTCAATAATACTTGTAAACTGGGGATTTTTTACTTGGGTTTTTTCACAATATATATATATATATATAATTTACAATTAAAACTCGGGGGAGCCTTAATCAACAATGGGTGGCGAACTGAACCAACTTGTTGCACGAAGATTTTTATATCTTTATGAAATTGAGTTTTATTATTTGACTTGATTGAAAATTTTATATTAATTAATTGAAATTTTTCGTTTTGGATGTAAATGGTACAAATTGTTTTTCAGCACATGGTGGAGGTTTTGTTGGATTTGGTCCTAATGAATCAGCACTTATATCCCATCAATCTGTAGTAAAGTTCTGTCCATGAAAAAGTGATTTTCTTTTTAATTACTCCATCCGTCCCATAATTATTGTACATTTTAAGTTTTAATTTTTAATACAAATTGTACTAAAAGTGAAATATTAAACTGAATAATAATTATGGACTAGATGGAGTACCAAATTTGATTGACATTATTACGGCATCTTTCAACACAATCGGCAAATCATGTTGCAGAATTATAGCTTACTTCCATATCCAAAACTTTACCTTAATTAGCAAAAATGACTCAATCAAAGTGGACGTTCTACAACGCACCGAATGAACACACACAAAAAATAAAAATAAAAAAATGTCGTAATGCGTACTCTGATACAATGTCCAAACAATTTATGGTTGTTTATGTAAAGATAAATTTTCCAACCAATTACTAGAAAATTAAATTATCAGCCATGTTTCAATATACCAAATTTTGTAGTAATTCTTTAAATGGTAAGCTAACATGAAATTTGGAAACCTAATCATGTGGGATCATATGTATGTAAGAATTCGTTCAATAATACCGGTAATGGATATTACAAATTTCACTGTAAGCAAAAATACTACTGCGTTCAAATTTGTTTCCCTTAATGAAACCAACATTGCAAAATATTAAATTTTTAGGTATTTATTTATATTTCACATCGAAAGAATAGAATTGCTTTCTCAAAAAAAATAAAAAATAAAAAATTATATAGCTATCATATACTATACTGAATGAACTCATTATCTGTATACATTATTCTTCCGTAAAAATCTTCATATTCTAGTGGAAGGTTGTTATCTACATTTGGCGCAAACACATACCGTAGCAAATAATTGGTCAATAACGTATTTTTGCAAATCGGACAATTGTTACCATGATAAAGGAGTAAATCTTACCGTAATTACTTAAAGTGCTGGGCTGGTATGATATCAGATTTCAAAAGCTTGGACTTTTAAACTACTGTTGGGCCTTTACATGGAAATGATATGACCCCAAATGATTGTACTGACTACTCTGGGCTAACAAAACAAATCAAAACTGGGCTGTTTGAACTGCCATGCAAAATATCCGTAGATCCTAGGAAATTTGTTTATGCTATGCTAAAAGTTAAACCAGTCGAGACAAAGGATCCACTTGTTTTCTTATATGGACAAATTAAGAATCTTTACCATGTTATGTCTTCTTTTTCTGTTTAGCAATTTCATTAATTTTATTGAACAACGATTTGACAAAAGAATACAGTCACCACACGTTTCGATAGACCAATAACAATAATCGTCGAAACTTTTACTAGGTAGCACATATTACCTCTATCCCACAATTATTGTCCAGTTTAATATCTCACATTTAGTATAATTTGAACTAAAAATGAAAATCCAAAATGGACAATAATTATGGGACAGAGTGAATAGATTATTACATAAATTTGGACAATGTATATCATTATTTGCGTTTAACTATGATCATAATTAAGGTTCGAAATATGAGTATTAGAAGAAAAAAGAAAAAAAAAACAACTTTATGACGTGGTTATGACATATGAGTTACATATGCTCTTGGAACCCTTCAAACCAAGCCTGTTAGGGTTAAATTAATAGAATAGATAATCCCGTGAGAATATTATTATTAAAATACCCAAAAAGGCATGCAGAAGCTTGCGACCCAATTAAACGAGGGGCTCAATAACGAGGCAATTATGGGACAAAATGGTCCCTTCGAACATAAATTTGGTGCGATGGATGGATTATTTGATTCTTATAAAAGGAAGATGTGAAGAATAGATGCCGTAGGAATGAACACAGAGAATATGTTTTAATCTGTAAAAAAGATGGATCACTGATCACACCAGCTATATATATATATATATATATATATATATATATATATATATATATATAGAATGAGCCTTTTCATCCCAAGGTTTGAGCCACACTATTTAAAACATTCTAAAGTTTAAAATCATGTCATTTTCATCCCAAACTTTTCAAAAATATGTAATATTAGGACATTTGTTAATTTTTTCAAGTTATTAACGGCGATATTTCATTCAGTTTCTTTTCCCCCATTTTTTTAGTCAAAAAAGTTTCATGCTTGCGTTTGGTAAATTTGGTCCATGTAAAGCAAAAAAGTTGCATGCTCCTGCATCAAATTACAACACCAATTTTTATAATGATGCTACATATTTAAAAAAATAAATGAAATAGGGCTTACTTTCTAATTAGGACACACACAAAACCTTTCATGATTGTTATCAATCTAGAAGGTGAATCTTCGATTTTTTTTTTTTCTTTTTCTAAGCAAGGGAAGAATGGATGATGTGAAGACCAAATTAGGTTTAGCTATTTTCTTATAAGGTGAGAGTTAGTGGAACGTGCTAAATGATTAAAAGAATTGGGGGAAGAGAAACAGAATAAAGTACCACCATTAATTAATTAATTGGACTTAAAAATTTAACGAATATCCTATTGTAACATGTTTTTAAAAAGTTTGGGATGTAAATGGCATGTTCTTAAACTTTGAGATATTTTGGATGGCGTGACCCAAACTTTGGGATGAAAAGACCCATTTTTCCTATATATATGTGTGTATATATATATAGGGTATTATGGTTGCCTTAACATTACACTTCGTTTCGGGATTGTTCTCGTCACCCAACCAAATATTATTGGTGTGATAAGACATATTTATACGTACATGATGAAGGGATATTTTCCAGAATTGTGTCTTGTTAGTTGTCATTCAAAGAAAAAGAGAAGTAGCATTAGTTCCCAAGAATTTTCTCTTTACCTTTATAAGATTACTGTTAATTTCTAAGCATGCATTTGTATTGCTATTGCATGGCTGGCTAGGTACATCATAAACATTCTTCCAGCGAAAAAAACACTAGGAGAATAATACAGTTGTTATCTATATCAACAGATTAGCTATAATAAAACTCAACAGATTAGCTCTAATAAAACTATTAAAGATGAGATAAGGAGGGACATTTATAGTTTGTTAATTTCGGTTCTTTTTGCTTTGAGTTTTGCGTTAGAAACTTAAAAATGTGTATCAGACGTGCAAAATCCTACCAAACAAGTACTTTGTTTGTGTTCAAAAAAAAAAAAAAAACAAAACTATGTTCGTTAGGGCAATAGTTTTGGCAATTTGAATTTGAGTTAATCGGACAATGATTTTTTATCATGGAACATAAATATATTTATATAAGTAAAATGTAAAAGATATACAAAGTGAAAAATGAAACAAGAACACGAGACTTAGAACCAATGTCCATGGAGAATTACCCATGTTCTAATTAATCTATAGAAGTATACAACAATTAAGTATGACAATAGATGTTAATGTTTTTGCACTTTTTGTAGGATACTGTTGAGTCCACTCACAAGCAGTATAAAATTCGAGCAAATGTCATTTCATAATTTCAGGGTTGGTATGAGTTAACACATAATTGAACATTGGTGTGATTCTGATATGGAGATAGGAATTAGTTGTTTAATTAAAAGGTAACTAGCTACTTATCTGATCATCCGATGAAAAAAAAAACACACACACTTCTTCAGAATTGTATTTATTTATTTATTTATTCTGATGATGAAGCAAAATTGTTTGAGACTTTGTTACAGCGTCGTCCATGCCTTGTGAGCCAAGATTCTTATCAACGTAGGAAGAATAGACAGATACTAGTGATAAAGTCTCAGGTAAAGAGAATAACTTTTATTTGGCCAGGGGGTCAATTTACTACTACTACTACTAATAATAATAATAATAATAATAATAATAATACCCACACACTGTAAAATTTATTCTGATCCCCCAAGTCCAAATTAAAGAGAAGAGCATAGATGTGACTACACAAACCAAGAAAAGGAGATAAATCATTAGAAAGATGGAGATGTAAAATGAATTTGATTTTGTGCTAGTTAAGTACAAATAATTAACTACTATATCCGCGTTGAGTATTTCGATCGATAAATAATACAGTAACAATGTCATTTTGATGTACAGATATAAGTGTAACATAAAGAGTGAGATGGACAAAGACGTGAGAATAAAAAAGAGAGTATCTCTTCTCCAACACTTCATCGATAAAGTAGAGCATTCTCGTTATTTTGGAGGATAAAAGGAAAGGAATTGAAAGAAGATGATGGGGATCGATAAGGAGAAAGACAAAGACATAACACGAAGCACTGTATAGTGTAAAGCCTAAGACATGATCGATGTATGTCAATCATTGCACAGATGTTAACCTATCTGAGCAGAGCATTTCCCCTTTCCCTAATTTGGCTTACTCCATATGATACTATTTGCCCTTTGTGTGTGTTGCCTTTAATTTGTTGATGCCTTTGCTTTTCACATTAGATTCTAGTTTCTCCCCACCAACTAAATTCCTGTAAATCAACTTCTCTCCTCATAATTTTTCTTTTCTTACAACAATTAAAAAACTTGAAATTTAAACAAAACAACAAAATGATACAGAAGATCTGAAATCCGATTAGATTGTACTCTTTCTGTTTCAAAATTATTGTTCAGTTTAGATTTTCACTTTTAGAACAAATTGAACAAAAAATACTAAAAATCCAAATTAGACAATAATTTTGGGACAGAATAAGTATTACAACTATGAGTTAATTTGCTCTTAGTGGAGGATGGCTGATTTCCGAAATCTTCCTAGCATGATAGCCGATTATTAACCATCACAAAATTCGACACAATTAAGACAATGTCTTAGAAATTTATCTTTTTGTCCGACAAATCAGCCCATTGGGTTATTGGAATCAATAGAATAAAGGTGAGTAATAGAGATTGTTAACTTGTAGCACACGTATTTATTAACAAATGACTTGGTTCAAATTCTTGTAATAGGAATCGCTGTAACCAACACCTTATTTCCTAGCTTGAGAATTTATTACTAGTGTACTTCACTATTCGAACTACTAGTACTTAAGTAATTGTTTAAGTGCTAGTACATAAGTTTTGAGTAAGAATAAGATTATTAGAAAAAAAAAAAAAAAATCTCGGCGAGCCAAAAAGAACATTTTCTTTGAAAAGTTATAAAATACTTTTCGGCCAAATATGTATAATGAACCATTTAAGAGCTATATTAACATTCTAGAATAGAAACTCCCACTATGCACTTTGGTAGTGAGTGGCACATATTGATCAATTCGAATAGTTAAACGCAGAAATTGATTACAAATATGGATGAAAGGAATAGCATATATAGATGTATGGCGGCCCGAAATGCTGATACCAAATTGTGTTATTATGAATCTTATGCTTCTTCCATAAAGAGCTGATTAAGGAAGAGATATTTTGCACCATTTTTTAGCAAGTTCTGGACCAATTGAATCGAAGCGAAGAATATGCCATTACAGTTTTCCCAATAATTTCCTACCAATTGAGTTTTTTTTTTTCTTTTTTTTTTTAAATCTTTAATATTTAGACGGGTGAGAATTTTTAACTGGGGAATCAGCTAGCTAGTGGTCCAATTGGCTTCCCAATTGGTCAATAGTAGAAATAGGTTGGTTAATGCACTTTAACTTTATCAAATCGGTTAAGTATCGATCTCATGATTGAAATAAACCAATTAAAAATTAAGAGGCTCTAAAGTAGGAACATCATGTTTTAGCATATGGCCTATTCGTAAATTCCTGATTGTATTATCTCCTGACAATTAATAAAATTTTACTTCTCTTTTCGGAAAAAAGAAAAATGCACACATCTTCTTTATTTTGATTGTTCTTGGTGAGATTTGAACCAGAACTTGTAATTATACTTTCTCCACTCTTACCAATCCACCTTAATAGTAGTTAATATACCGTGGATGATGTTATAACTTTGAAGTTTCTTATTTATGTAAACGACAAAATCTTTTTACATAACCATGCACATGTGAATGTGCACCTTATTTGCTAGTAATTTATATTACTGTAGAAATGTTTATTGTCATTTTTTTATGTATCGATAATTTGTATAACACACAAATGAAACGTGAGTTCATTCTGAATTGGGGGTGGAGTAAAAATAAAACTAGCAAGTTGGTTATAAAATAGCTTAGGTACCAAGTTTTGAAGCTTTTCGATCGGAAAACCTTTGAGAAAGATGATCCTCGTATACCTTTTGTGAAAGTGGCACATAGCAATTGGCAAATTAAATACGTGTATATATATATATATATATATATATATATATATATATTCTCTAGTTTAATTTGAAGTCTTTGAGGATTATATGCTCCATCTACATTAATCTTTCCAGGTGATGTTGATAATGTTGTTATCTCCAAACTTTTCCAATTCCTTAGGCCGCCAAAAGATCGGCCGTTCCTTTGTTAACTTTAATGTTCTCTTCCTTTTCTTTTTTATTTTTTTTAAAAAAAAGAATTTCCCCGATTTTTTTTGAACAAATTCTGTCTGCTGTTGCCTGTACATTGGGATGATCAAATGATATTCCGAAGCCGCAATTATGTATGTTCATGAAATGCCACAATTATTCGGGAAAACTATGTACAATTGTGATGATTAATAGCATTCTCTGTTTAAGAAAAATACAATATTTAGATCTTAAAATTCAATATAAATTATTTTTTTAGGGACAATGAAATTATATTTTTCGCAGAAAGGCTACAGATTAATAGAAAAAAAAGCTAGACAGCCAAATTAAGATTTATTTCACACTATTAAATCATAATATCCATTGAAAATCATCTTTTTTTTGGCCGGCTGCTTTTTTTTATCCATTGACCTTTCTTTCCACATAGAGTTTTCATTTAATTTAGAAGGAAGAAATTAATATAACTGGTTGCGAATGAATGTAAAGGCTTTTAAATTAAGTAGTTTATGGACGTACTAATCATATAGTAACTAGCTAGCTAGCTAGCTAGTAAAACCTTAATGCACTCGAAAACTGGTTTTTGTATGGTCCATCGAAGGAGAGTGCACGTGATTTTCATGTGTATTTTGTATTATCAAATGAATTTCGGCATCAATTCAATTGTAGGAGTATTTTAAGTTCTAACAAATGAATTATTCTTTGATATTCCTTCTAAATATAATATAAAACGAATTGTAGAGATGGCCAAATCCAAACTTTTTAAACATTTACAAAAGCTAAAGTGAGATCTAAGATGAAGTTGAAAGACAATTGACGTGAGTTATCATTCTTGACCCCCCTTTAATCCTTTTAATTAGTAATTTAGTCCACTTTGAGGGCTCTAATTTAATCAAGAATTAATTAACGTGTCCTAAGAGACAAGATTATTGGCCTAAAATTGAAGCCCTTTCTTTTTGTTTTTCTGTTTCCTTTGCCTTTCCACTTTTTTGCATGCTATTCTCTATCTCCCTCACTCTCTCTCTTTCACTGTGGTGGGAAGCATATATCCCAAAAGCTCAACCAAAATTTGTTTCACCTATATAAACCCCATCATCATCTTGCTATTCCATCCTTCAATTCATTACCAATTTGCCACTTCATCATCCAACCCCCAAAAAAAAAAAACTTCATTCCAAGTTCATTTTTCCTTGAACCTTAAATTACTTATAATTTTCCTCCTTGGATCATAATCTCCAGAACCTCATATTTATTTTACTAAACTATGGAGCAAAACCAACTCATGAGACGCCAACTTACTAGTATGAGACAATCCCTTTTCGATCAGGTTGGTTCTTTTTCTTATTCTTTTTTTATCCTTCAAAAGAAATCACAAGTTATCCAACATCTTGTTTCTTTGTTTTCCATTTTTTTAATTGATTAGCGTTAATTTTGTGTTCTATAATAAATTAAATGGAGCAGGGGTATCTAGACGAACAATTCATTCAGTTGGAAGAGCTGCAGGATGATGCAAATCCCAATTTTGTTGAAGAAGTTGTGACACTCTTCTATAGGGATTCGGCTCGCATCATTCAAAACTTAGAGCAAGCACTGTGAGTTGTGATTTTTCTATTTATTTTTCTGGTTATTTTAGATGTTTTCAACAAATAGCATATATATGCAAGAAATGAAAGATTAATTAAGTTGCTAGCTTATGATGTTACAAATATATAACAAAGCTAGCTAGCTTCATGTCAATTCATGGTTTAATTAAACTTTTTGATATATCAATGCAGGGAGAAGTATCCTCTTGATTTTACAAAGCTGGATGCATATATGCACCAATTCAAGGGAAGTTGTTCGAGGTACAAGAATACTGTATACTACTTCCTTCTCCCAAAATGACTGTCATGCTTATTGTAATCGTTTTGGGACGGAACGAGATATATTTATAACTTTAAAAAGTTAATGTCAACTAATAATGATCATGAATCAAACTCCTTCAAGTTTCCCCTCTCTCCATCTATTTCCTTTGAATTTTTCCTTACCATTATTTCTTTGGCTTTAAAATGCTGTATATTAACCATGCAGCATTGGAGCCAAGAAAGTGAAAAGCGAAAGCACACAGTTCAGAGACTACTGCAGAATGGGAAATGCAGAAGGGTACTACACCTATATTAACATAATCTAATATATTCCAACAATCCATTATAAGATCAATGTTATTAATTTTTGGGGGAAAAAAAAAGATTTAAACTAATAACATTTGTGATATTTGGCATGAATATAAACAGATGCTGGAGAACTTTCCAACAGCTGAAGAAAGAATATTCTACTCTGAAAAAGAAGCTGGAAACATATTTTCAGGTCCCAAATAATATTGATTCTTCCTCTTAATTTTTTTTTTATATGATCTCTATCTCAATAAATTTCTAGAAAGAATCAAACACTCACTTTCTTTTTGGTTTGTTTTTTGGGGCAGTACGCAAGGCAAGCTGGACCATTTGAAAAGGCATGTCGCCCCAAATGAGTGAAGAATCTGTGGGAATGAATATGGACGAATTTTAGCTAAAACTGAAATTAGCCAAAAATCAAATTAGTGCAACATGTCGAGTTTGAGCTCTTCTTGTATGCATATATGTGTTTTCTGTATCGATCATTATTGTACGTGGTCCTTAGTTCCAATATCCGGTAATAAAGACAGAAAGTGAGTTTTTAGTTTTTGCACGTCCTTTTCTATTTTCTAATATACGTATTTTGTATTTTTTTTAAAGTGTTTTCAGCAAACTTCTAAAAAACCCATAAAATCTTAGCTCAAAATCAACCGACCATGAGGAACTTATATATCAATAGAAAGTGTCCCGATAATGATATGGGACATATATAATTTAGGATTTCATAAAAACTCGGTATGAAATGGTGACGATTTCGATTGGTTTGTGTTGTCCGATATAAAAGTATAATTTTGGCTTCCAAAAAGAACAGAAAGATTTAGGTAAATGAATATTTTTGTTAGTGATGATGAGAGTGCAAAATTATTTCCTTTGTCGTTAGGGCTTAATCGAATATGCGTTTTGTATCAAGAATCCCCATATATATTATTATTATTATTATTATTATTATTATTATTATTATTATTATTATTATTATTAATTGGTTTCATTGAGGCGGCTGAGGATGAAGAGTTTTCATATTCGGATGTCGGAACTAGAAAAACTACGTAAGAACTCCTCATGATCACAATCAATATTTTTAGGTTAATCGTAGTGTTTGTTCGAACGGTTAGAATGTTGAACTCCTCGTATAAATGATTTTGGAATTTGGTTGTCATCATCAGTATCTAAATTAATTAACTAACTAAATATTTTACACTTGGATTTTAAAACACTGAAAGTTAGAAAATAATCCCAAACAAACAAATTAAGGGCATGTTCTTTCATCCCAGAACATGATAATTGAGCCAAAAACCGTGGATTGGGGGAAACCAAAAAAAAAAAAGGATAACTAAAGTGGCCATTCGAGAATCAAAATTGGGAGTTATGGGAAATGTCAGCAATAAGTTTGTGACAACGGGTACCATAGTATCTATTCCTTTCATACCAGAGTTTTGGTTCTATAATGTTGCAATGCCACAATGATAGAGCCTTTTCGTTAAAATTTTTATTTATGCATTTTGTGCTTAAATTTTAATTTATCATTCGTGCTTGTTAATTGTTATTCATTTTCTCTCCTGCTATATTGAAATCTTGGCTAAGTGTCATGTCACTCTGGAAAAAAAAAAAGAGAGAGAGAGAGAGAGAGAGAAAAGAAAAAAGAAATTGAGAAACAGGAAGATTGACAGTAATGCTGAACAAGAAATGTTTCCCTCACTACGGTATTGTTTCTCCTTGGCTACCAAAACTCAAAGGCCCGAAAGCCCAACTTGGAGGAACGTTATAAAGCCCATGAAATCTAAAATGGGCCATCTGAAGCTTGCCTAAAATTTTGTCTTTTTTTTATGTTGACTATGATGATCATTACAAAAAGTAAAAATAATTAAAATTACAATTATAGACACGTCGACGAGTGAGACAAGTGGTACAAAAATTACAATTGCTGCATATGCATGCCCATGCCTTCAAATAGTTTCTGAATGTGTTGCACTGCACCATTCATTTATTTGAACGGGGGTGGAGGAATTAATTAATTGGTAGTTTCAAGTTCAAACACATGTCAAGAAATGCTTTTTTATTCCAAAAAAATATTTTACATTAAATTTTAAAATTTATATTAAAAATAACATAAACCTGAAAAATCAAACTGCGCTATTTTTTGAATATAAAGGCAGTATTTTAATTCCTGTTACATTACGTCGTGATATAGCCATATTACGTACGCCGGGTCAACAAAATTTCGAACCTCCAATCCGATTGTTCCTGCAAGACGTTAGGCAGTCTGCTACCAAATTGAATTCACAATGAACATGTCTCTGGTGGATTTTCGAATCTCTTCTAATTCCTTTCCTTTTTTAGCACAATTTATTGTAGTTCTACTTTCTTCTTTTGTTAGTTTTTTGCATTGTCAGAGGATTTTGTCTCGCCCTTGTAGTTGTAGGAGTTTAAATACTCTCCCCTGGTACGAGTTTCGCTTTTTCAGTATAATAAGAGCTTGTATTTTACTTTTTTTTTTCCCCTTCCCCATTTTTATTTGTGTTGTTGGTTTAAGGCAAGAAAATAAATTCTTGTCGTCTCATCTCTCTGATATGCTTAGATCGAGAAATGATACTATTCATAGAAATTCTAAAGAATGCGAGATTAAATGATTATGAAAGTTGATCAATGGTGTGCTATCCTATGTTTTGATATTGTGTATTGGTTATGTATGATTTGTTTTCAGATATATACTCTCACATCCCGAAATTGTAGTCTAATAATTTGAATTTTTATTTTTTAAAAAAATTAAATTAAAAATAAAAATCTAAGTTGGACAATATTTTTGTGACATAATAAATATTTTTTTTTTCAGTGTGTTAGATTATAATCACGTACTAGTATTAGAATCTATAGTACTTAATTAAAGCAGCAAACAAAAAGGACATGTGTCAGCACTACAATGAAAATTTTCCCGCCAAAAGCCACTTTCAGTACAAAATCATTTTTGACATGTGGCAATCTAACTAATCAGGAAAAAAAAGATAGAATAGATAAATACATAAATCCCTTAATTATAACTACATAAAAAAAATCTTAATTATAAGTATATATTAATTCCTTAAAACAACAATATTTAGTTGATAACATCAAATGTAAGGAAATTCCTTTAAATAAAGTGAAACACCAGTAATGTCTTCCTGATACCCAATTTCAAAGAATTTCTTCCATTCTGCTCCTCTCTCACACCCGGGCCTTTAAATCAATTACTTAAAATCTGACATCAATTATCAATCTATCTCTTTCTACAACAGAAAAAAAAAAGCTGTCGTTAAAGAAATTTGATTTTTTAAGGATGTTTTTTTTTTATTCTTCTGTTGTAGATATTGGTCTATGATTTATGTAAACCCGGGCATAAGTTTACTGTTATAAATTAAATGTTGTAAATTTGGGCATAGATTTATGTGTAAAAACTCACTTTCTGTCCTTTAAATTGATTTTTTATTCTTCTAATTTTTTTTATTCTTTTAAGAATGATTCGTATTTTTTATTTAATCAATTTAAAAATACAGGCGACACCCTGAGCATTCGCCCGAGGCAAGCATCTAGTTTTTATTATAACTAAACTCTGTGCCTATGTTATAGAAATTGAATTCTCAAATGATTCATAAAGTTTAGATACATTGTGTCATAGGATTTTTTTTTTGATACACGGCTCAAATGATCCCCTATTTCCCTTCATTGGGTGTCGAAACCGCATCATGCGGGTGAGGGGTGTAAGGCCGGATCCACTGCGGCAACCCCTAATTGACACGTCATAAGATCTTAACGTGACATTTTGTGTGACACTAGTTAAGTAATTAACACGTATTTAAATAATTAATTACTAACACCCTAAACATATAGTAAGTGAAGCTTGTTTGACAAGAGACTAAACACGTATTAAGATTTTAACTAACGTCACACGAAATGTAACATAAAAGTGTCACATAAGATCTTTTGCCATATGGTACAACCTACAATGCCAATTTGTAATATTACTATTTTTTTTCCAAAAGGAAAGTAAAGAAATTTAATGAACGTATGTGACACTGACAGTTAAGAATTCCCACTTTGGTCACTTTCTTCAGTCATGTAGCTGCTTTGGTTTCTTTCTCTATTGCAGAAAGAAAAAAAAATGTTGATTACTAACTCTTAAAAACAAATAGAATAATTAAAAAAAATGATTAACTCTTTAAAGATCATCATATACTTCAGCAATTAGTTAAGATTTTTTTCTAAAAAAAGAGAGCGGGAATTCCGATCATACAGGAGGAGTAACCTCCTAACTTGCAAAACTCTTCATTTGACAAATCGAACTGTTTTTTTTTTTTTTTTGTTCTTTTTCGCTTTCGTTCTTTGCCTTAAATTCTACGAACACATTATAAATCTTTGCCTTCTGTCCATGTCAGCATCGCCCAACCTGGAAGTTGTACATCACGCTTTAAAACTTGTACCACGTTTACTGAGCCTTCTTTGTCAACTGAAAGTCGTACAAAGTAACCAAATCTAAGTAAAAAAATCCCCCGCCCATTCTACACTCCTTCCTCCTCCCCGAGGGCCACCACCGCCACCGCCGGCGTCACCCTATTTAGTGGAATTCCGATCAGCCATTGTACTTCCCTTCCCCACAAAATCCAATTTTTCAACTGGTTTTACTCGTTTTAAATTAAATTTTGGGTCGATTTTATTTTCCTTTTTGTTTTACTTTAATTTTTGTATCTTCCAAAAGGTTTTTGAATTAGGTTTAAAAAAAATCGAACCTTCTTCCAATTGCAAATCGCAATCTTAGAAGCCGGAACTATATATGACGAGCATGTTTGCTCCTTTCTCTCTCTAGGGTTATTTAATTTTTGTTTTAGATTGTAAATAGGGAGCTTTGCTGTGGATTTAATGGCGTCGTATAGGCCTTTTCCTCCGGCGCCCCAATCAACCTTTGCTCCTCGACCACCACCGCCGGCGACGAATCAGCCTCCTCCGGCGATTCCCTCGCAACAACAGGGGAATCAGTATTCTAAGAACTGGAGCTCTTATTCTCAACCGCAGCAGAATTATTCCCAGTTTGGACCTTCCGGGCAACAACAGCAATTCCCTGCGGCGGCGCGGAATCCGATGCCTCCCCAGCAGCAGCAATATCAGTATCCTCCTCCGCCGCCTCCGCCTGACAATTCATATCCACCTCCTCCGCCACCTCCTTCTTTGCCCCCTCAGCATCCTCCCATGTACTATTCATCCGGTCAGTATTCCCAATTTAGTCAGAACCAGCCTCCTTTACAACCGCCGCCTCCTCCTCCGCCCCCTAGTGATGATGTAGCTCCTCCTCCTCCTCCTCCGCCCCCAAGTGATGATGTAGCTCCTCCTCCCCCGCCTTCTTCCGGTCAGACAAGGGAAAACAGGAATGGAGAGGATAAAAGATCGTCCAGGGATGATAGAGGTTCCAGGTGGCGTGATTCAGGGCCTGCTAAACAGCATAAGGGTCCTCCTGTTCCTCCTGGGAGGGTTGAGACTGAAGAAGAGAGAAGGTTGAGGAAGAAACGAGAGTTTGAGAAGCAGCGGCAAGAAGAAAAACACAAGCAGCACCTAAAAGAATCACAGAATAGAGTCTTACAGAAGACACAGTTGTTGTCTTCTGGGGCAAAAGGGCATGGTTCGATTACTGGCTCTCATGTGGCTGACAGGAGGACCACTCCTCTTCTAACGGGTGAGAGGATTGAAAACCGGCTGAAGAGACCTACTGCGTTCGTTTGCAAGTTAAAGTGAGTATCTTGAGTCGATTGGTTTCTTCTACATTTTTTTGTAGGAAACACATTCTAGAATGTGCATTTTCTGAGTGAATTTTGTTGCAATCTGTGTGTTTTTCTCTGAAGAGTTTCCTCAGTTATGCCTTTGTCAATAGTCCGTTTTTGTAGGTTGTTTGTGGCCTCCCATTCATGTCGTAAGCCTTAGTAGTTCGTTTGGGTTACATGCAATGCCTTGTGGATGATGAACCTTATGTGTTGCTCGTAAAGCATTCATCTTTTCTATAGATGGAACTTTAAGATCAACTTGGGGGTTTGAGATGCCAATGATTTACTGAAATGAAAAACCTTCCATAAAAAGAAAATTTAGTTTCATGCTAGCAACTACGGTCCGGCTTTTTAACTGGAACAATGGGTCTACCTCATCTTTCTCTGATGGTATTAGTAGATGTCACTATCTGTGTCAACTATATTTTCTGTTAAGATATTTGTGACTGTCGGTCCTTGGTTTGAGATGAACCCGTTCATTTGACTTCGCTTGTCAGCAGAGCAGTGAGCCAGTTAATAATTTACATTTGTTTTGCTGTGGCAACCTTATGCAGGTTCCGTAATGAGCTTCCAGATCAGACTGCACAACCGAAGCTTATGTCATTGAGGAGAGATAAAGATCGGTATGCAATCTGTTCTTTTTTTGTCTAGTTTTTGAGTATTCATCTTGTGGTGTGGGAACCGTCCGTCTCATGATTTACTCTGCATTTGCAACATTCGTGAGTTGCCTGTACATTATTCAATGTTTCTTCTGGAAGACTGATGATTAATTGTGCAGGTTTACAAAATATGCGATCACCTCACTGGAGAAAATGCACAAACCTCAATTATATGTTGAACCTGATCTAGGAATACCACTGGATTTGCTTGATCTTAGTGTTTACAAGTATGTACTTGATAACTGATTTATTTTGGTCATTAAAGGTAGGAATAGTGCGGTGATCATTAGCTTCTTTTCATTTGCTTTGTTCCTACAGTCCTCCCAGAGGCATACGTCTGCAATTAGACCCAGAGGATGAGGAATTATTACGCGACGATGATCCTGTGACCCCAATTAAAAAGGATGGCATTAAAAGGAAAGAAAGGCCCACTGACAAAGGTGTTTCTTGGTTGGTTAAAACACAATATATTTCTCCTCTTAGTATGGAGTCGTCCAAACAGGTATATAACAGAATCATGAACCCTATGGAAAGCTGCATGCTATACTGTTGATTGCGAGTATTGAAGTTCTACCTTGATTCTCTTTGTAGTCTCTCTCTGAAAAGCAAGCAAAAGAAATGCGAGAAGGTCGCTCACTTTTGGAGAATCTTAATAGCAGGTTGGATGTGATCTTAAATTTGATCAGGTTTCCTGTCAAAAGGTGCATATGGAGAATTTTTGAACTTGTCCCTTTTGATCATGATTATTGTTTTTGTTTTGTTAAATTGTCAGGGAAAGACAAATCCAGGAAATTGAGGCTTCCTTTGAGGCATGCAAAGCGAGGCCTGTTCATGCAACTAACTCTAAACTACAACCTGTCGAAATACTCCCACTTTTTCCAGATTTTGATCGGTAATTTTTTCAATTAAAATAACTTGGTCCTTTGTAAGCCTTCTCCAGAGATCATTCTTCTGGAATAGGCAATTTATGAATATTATTCCTTCGCCAGAGTTAACATGCTGCTGATGCTCCTGCAGTTATAATGACCAATTTGTTGTTGCAAACTTCGACAATGCTCCGACTGCTGATGCGGAAATCTATGGCAAGCTAGACAATAATACACGTGATTTACATGAATCTGAGGTGAAGTTTCCAATTCCACTTTTATGTTTAATATTGGCCAAGTTTGAACACATATTTTTGAATTATGAACAACGAGGATTCAGGGATGATAACTTTACCTTACTGTCACTTGTGGTTTTAACTGCTTGCTGTTGGCTCTGATGTTTTCAGGCAATTATGAAAAGTTTTATGGCAACCAGCTCCGATACAGCTAAGCCTGATAAATTTTTGGCATATATGGTTCCTGCACCTGATGAGGTAATGCAATATATGGAAAGGCTAACACATCTTTCAGCAGATTTTGAATTGTACTCATTTCTCATTCGTTTATGATTGCAGTTATCAAAGGATATTTATGATGAAAGTGAAGATGTATCGTACTCGTGGATTCGCGAATATCACTATGATGTATGTATTTGCTCTTTCTTACTTTTGTTAATTTTATTTCAATTGGTATGTTTTTGTGGATCTGAAGTTTGTGTTATTGTGTATGAATAGGTCCGAGGTGATGGTGCAGATGATCCGACAACTTATCTTGTGTCATTTGGGGAGTCGAAGGCTAATTACATTGTAAGTTGTTTTGGTCTATTTTTCACTAACATGTAGGAAAAGTAATTGATATTTCTTTGCTCAGTAGTTCTAAAACACTAATTTTGTGATGATTCAGCCTCTACCCACAAAACTCATTTTGAGAAAGAAGAGAGCTATAGAAGGAAAATCTAGCGATGAAGTTGAGCATTTTCCAGTACCTTCAAGATTGACTGTTAGAAGGAGATCAACCGTAGATGTAATAGAGCTAAAGGAAGCTGGGGTAAGCAATCTAAGCCAACATGGTGTTTTCTTCTTTGTTGAAGATAATGATTTTTACGCTCATCTTTACATAATCGGTATTTGTAGGAATATTCAGCTTCAAAAGGTAATGGTTCAAATTCAAAGAGATCAAGATTAGACATGGAAGATGGCCTTGGCCAATCACAATTGGACATGAATGATATGGAAGGTGATCAATCGAGCGGAGGCGAGTATGATATGTCCGATTGAGTGTTGCCTGAATATTTTTTTTTTTTACTCAAATAGGATACAATAAGTGTAATATATTATTGTTAACATGAAATGTGATTTAGGGTTTTTATAGCTTGTAAGAGTGTTGATTTAGAAATTTTCCTAGGCTTTGGTTTGTGGATAGTTTGTCTCCCTTCCAGTAAACATTCTTTTAACCTACTTTGCAATGTTATAGCTTTCGTTTTTGCCTTTTATGTAAGAGTTACCATTCATGGAAACAATTTGACATGTGAAATGCTAATTTTTTTATTTTATTATTTGTATTCAACAAGAATTAGGTACAATTTACAGAGCAGATCAGAGTTGAACGAGCAGATCTCCATACAAAATGCAACCTCGCTCCATCAAAGAGCTGAGTATCTGTGTCCTACAGTAGTTATGCTATACACATGGTTGATGCAGAACAAATTGTAAACCCTTGAAAAAAAAAAAATCCTCTTGAATCAGTAACAAAACTAATCTGCCGAAAACCCAATGCCACCAAAGTAGAGCAACAACATATTCTACAAACAGGGGGATCATCAAATCTGTCAACGCCCATGATTCCACCAAAGCTTGAAGCTGAACCGCTCATCCCTCTTGTTTTCTACTAATACTGGAGAAGAAAATAATAATAAGAGGTAAATAAACAAATAAAAAAATCCACTTCACAATGAGACAGCTTCTGCTCCGAGAGCTGGAAAACAAGATATATTCTGCAACCTAGACATTGACTACAGAAATTAACATGATCGTATAGTGTTCATATTATATTTCTTTTGTTGTTCTGCACGTATTCAGGTAGAGAAAACTAAAAAAGGATTTTACTTATCATGTACTCCCTCCGTCCCATAATTATTGTCCAGTTTGAGTTTTCATTTCTAGTTTAAATTGTACTAAAAGTGAAATCTCAAACTGGACAATAATTTTGGGACAGCGCAAGTATATGGGGCTATAGTTTCCTAAACAAATTAATGGCACAACTAATCAAAAGTAAAGATACAGCTTTTACAATATGCTGTATGAAACATTTCAATCCCTTAATCGGAAATTAGTTGAAACATTGCAACAAACGAAAAGGCCTAGTGCCGACTCAGAAGATGCACATAAAACAAACCTTTCCATTTGAGATGCACAAATCAGTTGGCTCTGGTTTGTTCAACAGATAAGGGCAGCAAGGAACGCGGCAAAAAGAGGTCCTCCAAATTACACAAAAGAGGCTTTCTTCAATCAAATTGACATCCTGTTCAAACAGCATAAATATTGATGATCAGAAATATACTATTAGCTTTCAATTCCAAATGAATAAAAGAAAATGGCCATCCAATATGTGAGAGAGCTCAGACCAAGCCTGGCGGCATCTAACTGCTTCTTGTCGAACAGCTCTCTTTGGATCGTCAAGGGATTTTGATAAAGCTTGTAAAACCTAAACGACAAGGACAGAACTCCGACTTCAATATACATAGCAAAACATTCTGGAGAGAAGTTATGAATATTTAATGTAGACTTCAAATGACCATTTCAGATAGTAGCATATAATGCATAACATTGCAGAAATATCTACAACCACAAAGAGCACGCCATTAAGCTATAATTTAATCACCGAGAACTTCAAATTATTCAGGAGAAATCATGCATATACTGAAAAAAGCTTCAACCTTGGTTCTCAATGGATAAATCCGCGCATGGGGCAGTCTTGACATAGCAGAAATGCATTGAATTGCTGTCCCCCGGATTACCTACAAAATCAAACAAAGCAGGATCATAATCAATATAAGATCAATATAAGAGAAAAGTGTTCTTGAAAGGGATTAAGATTTATGATGTTCCACAGCTAACGTAAGAATAGAAAAGTTATATTAGCTTTCACTTAAATTCTAGCTAATTCATTCGCACAATTTAAATTAGAAGATATAATAACTAAGGCTCCGGAAAAAAAAAAAAAAAGCCCCTAAGGCTCCGAATGAAAGACAATGGTGAGACCAAGCCAATCACGAAATTCAACACTCAAGATCATGACTTGTAACGACAAAACTGGTCCTGCTACCATTGCAAGCTTAGCATCAAAGGTGTGGTGCTCTAAAAAGACTAAGCAAAAGTCGCCATTAAATAAGGCATAAGAAATTCAGATATCCTTGGAAAAGAAAATCAGCACTGCTTTCAATTGTCAAATCGAGAAAAAGCAGAAAAAATGGTTTTGAAAGCAGGTAAACGGCCCTGCTTTCCAATGTGGCAAGATATTTGCCTTCTTTAGAGAAATCCACCTTCCGTAGAGAGCAAAAGAAGGCATTTTGGCCTCCCATTTTAAGAAATTCCTCAACCAAGATTCCATCTCATTTCTATCTTAAGTAAATCCCTTTGGGTTAAACAACAAATCAGACTCAAAGCAAAATCCCAAAATCTGGTTTGCACTAAGTACAGTTTCACTTGAGAAAAAATACTCGAGGCTCATTGGCTCATCGCAAAAACATGCAATACCATCATGTGAGGAAAGACAGCAAGCTGAATTAGCTGGTTGATTATGACGTGTGCATTTTCTTCAACAGCTTCTTGTCCTGAAAGTTCAACTAAAAAATATTAATTGATAGGAATAAGACTAGCAGCAACTGAAAACAACCTTAGTAGACTTATTTAGTAAAATAATAACCTAGTCAGTAAATGCATCCAAAAAAAAAAAAGATTTTAAATTATAGGACCTTGTTGAAAAAGGACAGGTGGTTAAGGGTAGTATGTTTCCTCCACCAATTTTATGTGACGCTAATGCCAGCTCTGGTCATCACTAAACGATTGATGGCATGTGGGTAATGAATGTTTTAATACTTCAATATCATAAAAACAATATGTGCTTCTTTGTAAAATTGGTGTCATCTAATGCCAGCTTTATCTCACCAAGCCAGACAGCATAAACTGCTCTCATTATCCTTATCCACCGCAACCCAAATCCCCGACTTAACACTGAACTCCTTTCAGACATAGTTGATGATGTTACATTTCAGACCCACAGCGACGGAAGTTTCACTAAACCCTGTGCCAATGTGACTATCACTTCAACGACAACAAAGTAACTGCTACTAGCTTTTACATTAATTATAATTGCCTCTATCGAAACTAAATAGTTAAAATTTCAAAAGGTTGTCTTCAGTAATTTGTATCTTAAAGACTCCTTTGCACTTCCATAGACCCACACATGCTCGCAGATCTTAAACACTTGACTTGATACTTATCAGGTACTTAACTGACCCAGTCCGGGCCAAGAGCTAGGTGAACCTATACATTTCAATCGACGTACGAATAATTGCATTTACTACTATCATAAAAGCTAACAAAGGAATAGCACCATTCTCTCACCATTTTTCTCTATCAGAATTCCAGACAGGACAAGTAGCATACTGTAGACGACGTCTTTGTTCAGAATATCTCCAGTCAACATGGACAAGCTATTTACAAGCAAAGGGATGATCTGTGCACATGAGCTCCATGTTTCAGAAACAGTAATTAGTAATAAACCAGCAAAACTAAAACAGAAGAGATAAGACAGACTAAATCCAAGAAAATCTCTACATAATAGACCTTTTTGGCTTCACCAATTATAGCAGACAAAGGAGCCTCTGATACTAGGTGAGCAAATGATCGAGAGAGCATAGATCTGTAACAAAAGTAGATAAGATAGCCATCACTTTGAGCACTTAAAGCCAAAGGCAACCATAACACAACCTTCAGAATGAATTTTGACACAAAAGATTATGAGCCACACTCATATCACATATAGTTCCTGTTTTTTATTCAATATTTTCCTTTTTTCATGCTCTTAAATTTCCAGTCAAGCAGTCATAAGTCATGCCAATAGAAACAAAACAATCCATCCAAAATGACCACTTCAACTGAAGATTCTTAAGAACCTCTACCCTTAAACGGTAATATGGAAAAATACTGCCAACCCTTCCAATTCATTTTCATCAACATCAATCTCTTTGATAGCCTCACACTTGGAAAAGAACAGAAGAAAAAAAAATCTCCGAATGGATGCTACCATTTTAGACATTACAATGCATGCCAGAGAACATTATGTAAGTGACCCGTCAGCCTACTGCATACCATGACTATAAGAGATTACCATCCACCAATATGATCCGAAGGAGAAAGCTAGTTCAAAATAATAGTGCGGAGAGGGGAAGAACCAAAAAAAAAAACAAAAAACAAAAAAAACTGTGACATTCAGAAGGTTATTGGTGATTGTAGGTTCCTGGACCAAGCATGAACATGTTATATGTCGAGGGATTATAAACAAATTGGAGAAAAAGCATTACTTAGTAGGCGATGCTTACGCCATTCAAAACTATGTTATCTGGCTGGCAAAGGCCCAGTTGTATGTTTCTTAAAACCAACATTCTATGACAACTATATGAGGGTCATCCACTAAGAAGGAGAAGACAGGCTAAAGAAAATTATCTTCAGCTCAATTTTCAAAAGAACTTGCATACAAGCAAGTCCAAGGGAAGGTGGTGCATCTACCTTGAAGATAATGTATCAGATTCCATCATAAGAGATGAAAGGATTGGCATCATAGTGCTGAAAAACCGTTGCTTGTAAAGTGGCCTTATCACAGCATGATATCTCCTATTTAAACAAGGTCCAGAATCACTCATGAGAATATGAAACGTATCTGAAGCAAATCTTGCAGTACTCCATTCTTGTTCTTTGCAGATTTCACTATGGCCATGGAACTGTGAGAAGTCCACGGCATTGATATTCTGATCCAAATAACCTAAGAAAGCCATAGCAATGTCTTTTACCTTTTCGTGGCCTCGCATTACTAGCCCCTTACCTATCCATGCAAATCCAACAATAGCACAGATATGCAAAGGGGCACAATCTAAATCATTAAGGCTATTGCTAAAATATGTCTCACTGCCATTAGCAGGTTCTAAGCATTTGCTCCCACGATCACTTTTACAGGTGGTCCATATACTGCTACTGAATATAGTATCAATTATTTCTTCCGTGCCACATCCTTTTGGAACATTACTTGCATTGCTCTTTGAAGGTGATTTATTAACCAAAGAACCCAGCGCCTGAGCTGAACAAATATGACCTCTACCGAAGCTCGTCAAGAGCATTTGCACAATCATGTTTACATTTGGGATGCATGTTTGAGGACGTAGTGCAATAACAACTGAAGTAAACAGCACCAAGACCCAATCGTCCTTAAATAAATCACTATCAGAATAATGACTAAGACACAAACCCTCGGACTTGGAAAGTGAAGTTCCAGGTGGTGAAGCATTCAATGTAGAAGTGCTTCCTGATAACACCTTGAAGGCTCTACGTACAACTTTCTCCTGACCTTGACATGAACAACATCGAACTGCTTCCTTTAACATCATTACAGTTGCCTTAAGAAGTTCCTGGGTGAAATATGTTAGTTGGTAACCTTTTAATGAACACCAACTTTGAGTGCGGGGAAAAAAAAAAAGAAAAATCATTCCCAGATCCTTGTATGCAAGGAAAGGTACAAAGTTCTACTTAACAACTGCAATTTGAAGAAATAGTGAAAAATATGAAAGATAAGACATATAAAGCAGGTAACACAAGATAGGTCTATGAGCTTTCATCATTACTGTCCTGGCAAGACTTACTTTATTTTGAAGAGTGAGGCCTGACAAACTACAATTCTCAATCAGCTCCCAGAAACTAGCAGTAAAATTAAGGGCGACTTCTTCGGAACCCCCATTGTCCTCAAACCTGGAAAAGCAAAACTCTGGACATGTATAAAATGAAATAAAAGATAAGAGCTGCCATATTGGAAAATATACAGCAGGAAATCAGAATTAGATTTCATTATTGTAGGATGAAGAAACTGTCAGGGCAAGAGTACTTACATGTAATCAGTTTTGTTTTTTTTTCCTCAACTGATTTAATACAATAGAATTCGCAGTTCCATTGTGAATAGGGATACTCATGTAAATATTGTTATTTGGTTGCTTTTCTAATATATATTTACCTTTTACCAAAAATATTGGGAAATATGACATTTAAAAGATTTTGTTAAATATTTTCCACTCTAATCATAAAAGTAGAAGAAATACATCCCACGCTTTCTATACTATTTAAAGATAATTTAAATTCATATTTCGAATAAACTGATCAGTGAGGCAAATTCCATACCATGGGAGAACCTTAGTACTGTAACATTCCAAAAGCTTGATCATCAATTCAACTGACTCCAAGCTCCCCTTCACCTGTACGAACATTTGTTACATGTTAAGACTCCACAACAGATATTTGAACCATAACTACAAGAAGAAAAGATGGTTAAAAGAATTGACAAAAGAACCTCGAAAAAAGTCCTCAAACCCACCTTCCGATCTAGAATCATCAAATTACATTAATCTAACTCGCAAATATGAGTAATAACTCAAAGCAAGAACAGACATGGACTAGACACTAATCTGGAGAACCCCTGGTTAAACAAATAGGTTGCCTTTCTTGAAGACCAAACATGAATTTATTTACGAAAGGAACTTTCAAATTAGCCACATACATAAGCCTGAGCGAAATTGGCAGATATAGCCTTGTCCATCCCTTGAATAACTCTCAACAAATTGCTCTTAGATGTCCTTCCAATTTCAAGGATAGCTTCAAATTTGAGAGGCAGTGGCATGGCAGGTTCATCAGCAAACACCAGATAAACAACCTTCTCCACAACAAGCCGCTCAAAGCTCAATGCTTTCTCAGATTCTTGATACTGATAAATAAATAACCCAATCACCACTAATGACTTCAGATTCAAATTCCACAGAAATATCTTGTTGAAGTCAGAAGTGATGGCTGACACCAGGTTCAACAATATATTCTCAAAAGGCAATGACAAAATGAGACAGATACTTCCAGGAAATGTGGCTAGAACCTGCAAACCCTTGGCTGACAAACAAATATTCCAAAGAAAAAAGAGAAATTAGCGAAAGAAAATGAATGGCAATCCTACAAAAAAATCACTGAATATAACATTAAGTGAACCAGACAAGTAGCTACAGTCTCATCATATAATTCATATTTAAGAACAAGAAGTGCAATGGGTAAGTATAAGCTAGAAAAGCTTCCACTTGAACTTATGATAGTTGTTCCGAAGCAATTAGAAATCAACAGAAATCAGAAATGTTACTCCTAAGTTTACAACACATTAGTGACTCCTTGAAAGATAAGAAGACATATTTACTATTGTATTCCTTCAAAGCATTTTCAATCCATGCACACGAAAAAAAAATAACAAACCAAGAAAGGAAGAAAACAATAATAATAATGAACAAAGATATCGTCATCAGTAGTTTTAGCAGGGAATACCTCCAGAATGAGCAAAAGGATCCTGATCATTTCTAGCAGCCACTGCTTCCAAACTGGAGAAGAAGACTACTGCCAACGAACTGGAATAGTTTTGAAGCATGCAGCAACAAGTCTCCAGTGCAATATCAGAATGTGAAGTAAAGTCTTTTAGGTCCAACATTAAGTGTCTGCATGCATCAAGCAGTTCAACGCAAACGTATAGAGCACGATAGTTCGAAGTAAAAGAAACATTGCCAGTTTCAGTAATACAATTCTCTTTAGAGTGACTTCCAACTGAGAATCCCAATGCCTCCAACAAACTGGGAAAGAATTTGTCAAATACTCTATTGCAGGAAGCAATGGAAGATTCAGCAGAAATAGAAAGAACCCGACCTACAGAATGAAGCCTTTGTTTTATTTGTAAGGTTATATCATCACAAGGCAGAGTTAGCGACTTCATGAAGACATTAATATCTTCATCAGAAAGGATCAAATTTAAGAACAAATCGCCATTATTCTGCATAAGTTCCTGCAGAAGTGCCAGAGCTTGGATCATTACATCACTCTCCTCAAACACCATACCAACAAATGATTTTGACACCGCAGACAATGCAGACTGGGGTGAGGTGTATAGGACATCTTTCAGAGAGGACCAAAGCTCTTCACCATGTTTAACCATCCTATCTGATCCATATCTTGAAGAGCAGTAGACAAGAAACTTCAAGGAATCAACCTGCCAGACAACTATAATTGTAAACAACTACTATTATGAATCCAAGTGACAAGCTGTCAATCTAAATGAAAGCAGGTAATTACAAAAGGCAAACCTTGGATGATGGAAGCGTGGAGGAAAGTTTATCGATTAGCAATGGAATAGAGTATGGTTCAAAAAGTGGTGTTGAACCAAATGCAAGCTGGAAAACAAACAAATTTTATCAGCTGAACAGAAAATTACAACTCAAACATCTTCCAAAGTGAAACCCTAGGTCGTAACATTCTCACAAAGTTCAAGAAATTCAAGTGAAGGATAAGACACCAAAATCAACAACTCAGATTTTCAAATGATTCAAATTTCATACATGCAAAAGATATCAAGCCTACAAAGCATCAGAACCCATGATAGAGGCACTACATAATTATGATACTATATGAGGACCATAAAATCATAACTAACATAATACAATTCACTGATTACAAAGGGACATGGCAAGAAACTAGAATATTTACATGTTTCAATCAGATCACGCACTATGCAAAATCAAAGAGTAACAAAGAGAGGAAATGTAAACCTTATTGTTTTGGGAAGCAAAAAAAAGATAAGGAATGGATTGAGAACACAAATTTGCTACGACTTTGAGCCTATTAATTCGTTCATAAATCAAGGACTTGGGACAAAAAGAAGGGATGACTCATCAAAGCAAATAAAATGATTATCATCCAAAAAGGAGCTTCAAGAATGTAGCATAGTCTACGACATACCATCAATGCTCTGGATAACTCATCTCTACCAACACCAACATCTTCATCTTTTGGCTGAATATTAAGAACAAAATGAAATATATAAGAAATGTTCAAGCACTACAATCAAAGTAGAAGTAACAGATCATTCAAAAAGAAGCAAGCCAACAGTGCTGAAGATAAACTGTGTACTCAATGAAGCCATGCATTATTCCAAATTCTGTCAGGTGAGGCTCTTATGACAAGCAAAAGAAGTAAACTGCCTCAAGTTGTCAATCGCATCATCTAAGCTATCTAAAAAAGTTTTAACTGTTTAAGGTAAGGAACTATGATTCGATTACAAACTCATTATGGTCAATTCAGTTTAGCGGATTTATGGTGCCAATTAGTGGACCAATCTCATATGCAGGTCCTGAACAAATGGTTAAATGAAAATACAGAAATTTACCCTCAGTTTTCTGTGTTTCATTCATATTTCTTCCGCTGGAGTCCTGTGAGTGATTCTACGGATGCATCTTTGAATATCATAGTATCTAAGAATGACTCCATTTAAGAGAAGATTGAATCTAGTTAAACAAGATTACAAAACAGCTATGATTTACGCCATGTTCTACTTTCATCTACATTGATTTGTCTAACCCGAAATTTACGCTCATCCACAGGGTATCTAATTCTTAGTAATTGGGTGAACCAAAAAAGAGCATTTTAAGAAACTTAAGGAGCATAAAAGTGATTAAAGAAAATGCAAACGTCGCAGGTACAGAGGTGAGAAGATTAAAAGATTAGGAAAATTACATGTGTAAAATGAATGGGAAAATAACTGCCCAATATCTCAAAGAACTCCGCAGCGTACTTAGCAAATGGACCAGAAGAATCAGGAAACAATTGGGCAGCAACTTCAACTATGTGAAAAGTGAGTATCAAGCACTGAGGATCCTTTTCTTCGTCAATAGCTTCACAGATTGCATATAAAAGTTCATCACCCTAAGACGCACAAACAATAACCAGACTTAATTAAGTTACAATAGAATTCATCAACAAAACCACAAAGCATAAATAAGGATATTTAAGTTATAAAACCACTTCAAAGAAGATTAGCTCCAGATATTCTTTATAAAAAAAAAAAGATTAGCTCCAGATATATGAGTACCATCACACGAACAACATTGGGGTACCGATCCAACAGGCATTCCAGAAGTTCATAGCAGAGCTGCAAAGAAATGAAATCCAAATATGAACATCCATGACTCGTTACACTTTTGCAACAAAGATCCAATTCTTGCGAGTGCCAGAACTATGTCACTTTTCATGAAACATATCAGACACTAAGATCATCAACGTTTACCTTGCGATCATGCTGTGCCAAGGATGGCACCTGCAGAAATTCGGTAAATGATTTAGCCAAAGCCTTTGCATCATCATCTTTTACCACACCAACATCCCTTTTTCTCGTCATCAGTGCCAAGCAACCAACAAGTGCACCACGCAATGCTCTCCAGTCTTCCTGTTAGTATTAAAAGATCATACCCACATCAAATGACCAATAGCCTTACATAGGCCAAAGAATGAGAATTGAAAAGATAACATGCCATGAAAGTAAACTAAGAACTAAACCGTACATGCTTCTCTCACATGACGCCAAAGCGAATCGAAGCTGTCATAAGCCTCCATAAAAAGGTAGTAGTACAACTGAAAAAGATAACAAAATCTCCTAGTTTTTATTGCATACTGATATTATTTGATTGGTAGTTTCATTAAGCCCTTGGACTACACATCATTTAAAAAAAGAAAAAAAGGATGGTCCCAGCAAGAATCCCCTCAGACTACACATTATCTAAGTAATCCCAAAATCGAGCATTAAAAATAAATGCGAAAAGAATGACTAAGAATGATCGAGCCAATTATTCAGGAAAACAAGCACAACAAAAAGTAAATCAAGCAAAAGATAGCTGTCTTACCAGCCTTTCTATGAAAAACCTTATCAAACTATGAATTGCAGCATCTCTTAAAGGGATCAGCTTCAATCGTGACACTATTTCCCCAAGGAGAAGAATACCTGTTGAACATTGGATGGATAAGGATAGTCAATGGATGTTAGTAGAATTAACTCTTAAACTTTTGTTCTCAACCCTTCCTACCCTCCCTCTTTCCTTCCCAACAAAACAAATTGTCAACAGAAATCTGAGTTTCTGACTTGAGTAGAACATGCAATCGGACTGACAAATATAGTCAATGCCAGTAAAGATGTGACATTAGAATTTATTGTTCAGGGGAAAAAAAAGAACCGGTACCTCTTGAACGAATGATGCTGTCTGTGGTAGTCAGATATAAGTCCATCTCTTTAACCTATGATCATAAGGTCCCGAATTAAAATCATAAGCACAATCACATTAGAAGGAGGAGGGACGCAGCGAAGCAGCTAAACCCACATAAATCAACACTACTAGTTACTTACTAATGCTTCCAGAGTTAGCACCCCAGTCTTCAAAAGGATAGCAAGTGAATCCACACAAGCAATCTGCAAGCTCAAACCAATATGTATTATGTATGCCTAAATTCAATAAAATGAAATAAAACATTGTGGCATGCAAAACTAACAAAAATGCATTATACTAAAACAAAATTGGTGATTTTTTCACAGTACTTCCACATAGAAACAGTGAAAATTTAGTACTCTGCAGCATAACAGTATAACTTCACACAATTGTATACAGTTTAAAACAGTAATTAACAACTGATTACTGACAAAAATGATCGAAACTTAAGGCAACGATACTTTCCGTTGAACGTGAATACAATCAAAGAATCAACTCCGATAAATGGAAAAGGAATTCCGGAAGAAAGTGGACGGACCTGTTGAGACGGAGAGCTTGATGAGTCAACATATAACTCTATATGCTTAACGTACTCTGCCGGAACCGCCATTACCGCAGAGAGGGAGAAATGGAAGTCGCCGGTGGTGTGATTACCGTCTTAACGGTGCCGTTGTGGGGGTTTTACAACGTGGTGAGTAACTCAGTAAAGGGTTTTGAGATTTTTTTAATTGCGTGCCAGTTTCCCCTAGTTTTGGCCCCAACACCAAAAGAACCCGAAATTTTGTGATATTATAAAAGGATACCCCTATTCGGGTTAAACTTCGAGACCAACTTTGAATAAATTGGAAATGTTCATCAGCTCACTAAGCAGGGAACAAAAAAAATAAAAGACTTAATAAACTTTGCAATTGTGATTTGTGATCATGATTCGGTCGTGAAATTCTAAATCGAATTTTCTGAAAATTTAGTGATCCAATCTCGTTTCTTTTTTTTTTTTTTTGAAAGGGGTGATCTAATCTCGTTTAGAGGGATAAAAAAGTAAAAAGAGAAAGCATAAAATTCTAATCATGTGAGCAACTAACGATTAGTATATGAGTATCTGTGTTTGAAAAACTATTTGCAAAAAAAAAAAAAAAAGGAGTAGTGTGTATAAAAAACAAAACAAAACGGAGAACTTCTCAAGGATATTTTCGTTTTGTGACGATCAAAATTTCAAATTTGTTTTTATTTGTAAGTTGATCAACGGTCAGTGTTAGCATATGTTGTAATATGACCAGAACAGGAATGCTTTTCGTACTTTGAGGTTTGAGCTCAAATTGGCTAAATGTTTTTTTTTATAATAATAATAATAAAAAAAAAGCAATGAATCTGATTTTCCACTGGATTTCTACTTTGTACCTCAACTTTACTAACATGATATATGCGAATTTTTAAACTTCGCGAAGTAATTAATACAATCATTTCGACAAATAATGAATTTGTCAACTCGAGTCTTATACAACATTCATAGTTCATACTACACTTGTATGAAAAGTCCAAAAATTACAAAATGCGGTTGTGTTTCTGATTAGATGCTACAACTTTTGTTACTCCCTGCATTAAAATAGAAACTACACTACGTTCAAAAGCCATATCCGGTCAGTATATTTTTCAAAATACACCATGTCAGATCATCTCAAGGAGAAACCTCCTCTTCTAACCTATCTAAAAATCTGTTTCCACTACTGTTTTCAAGAGGCGAGACATCGAATTGAACCCCACGAACGGATGCTGCTTCAAACTTTGTCCACAATTCTCTCTTCAATGTGTCTTCACCAGGACACCTTCCCCGTTGGATGGTGGTCTTTGGCTCCCTTTGTTCTGCAAATAAAATGGGAAATTGGTAATTTTATTCAAGACCATACAAGTGTGTTTCCAATGATGCTTTATAAACTCAACATAACTCTCTTAAAGCACCTTACAACATCATGTATGTGTTTTCATTATTTACCAATGTTACCTTTGACTAATTAAAACGTTGATGAGAATCAGACTATTTTACTGCCAACGGATTTTGCTCAAGTTCTTGATGGTTACCCCTCAGACTTTCCTTCACAAATAAGAACTTATTTGGAGTTTTGGACATGAAGTGTAGGCCCTATTTATTTTCAAGATATGGCCTTCCATTTCAACCATCAATTCATCAAGATTATTCATTGTTTGCATTAACTGATTTTTCCTAATCATATTCTGTTACAGTTCATCAATATGTAAAAACAATACCACTAAGGCATTCAAAGCAATACTAGTAAAGCAAATAAAATAGCAAATGACAGAAGCCGAACCTTGCTTGCCAGTTGCATCATGATGCTTGTTAGTGACATCAGGCAACGCGGAATTGCAAGGATCATTTATCTGCAAGTTTTCATCAGATGGCTCCATCAGAATGCACGTTTTAGGAGGTGACCTCAACCAACATGGTGATTCGTCAACTGCCCTTCTTCTGTTGCCACTGTTGTTACCAAGCTTTATTCCAAGAAATTGCGGATACGTTAAAGGCATCTTCTGCGAATTCTGAGAGTTGGATGATTCTGTATCTTGAGATTCGTCGGAGTTTTGAATTCCTTTAACAAAGGGTGTAGATTGATGAACACCGAGACTGGCCTTTCGCGGAAATTCAGCCAGAGGTTCCAGTAAAACACATGATTTAGGTGGGGAAACTTTCAAACAAGGGGTCATTATAAACATGTAGCCATCCTTTCTGCACAAATTTTGAGGAGAAAAGCATTCACTCTCAAGAGCTCTATCAGAAACTTTCTCCGGAGTTTTCTGTACCATAATGCTCGCAACTAAATCGCCGCTACTTGTCTCTTCTCCTACATCCATAATAGCAGGTGGTGGAGCAATTGAGCTAGATGCAATTGCTCCCAGTGCAGGTTTGGAAGGTTCCTGATACTTTACTGAAACATCTTTTTGCCGAGGCAGAGGGGTGAGCAAAAAAAGCTCTTTACCACCTTCATGAGCGCAACTGGCTCGCCAGGAAACTAGGGGTGACGGTGACACCAAGAAGTCCCAATTAGATTGTTCGGGGCTTTCAGCAGCAGAGCTCATATTTTTCATCATGGACTTGCCCTCCCTACCTATCTCAGCTTTTTCCTTCATATTACCTGGCTCAGCAGAGAGAACTTTTCGGAATCTAGGAACCCATTGCTGCAGGTTTTGCACATCAAAGAATACATAATGGTGAGAATTTAACAGAAGCAAAGTGCTCAATGTTAACTGATTTAGACAATGAGGTTCAAAATATACCTTCAATGACATTTGCATTTGAGACAAAAAATTAGCAAAGGATTCTACTTCCTTCATCCCCTCCTTGCTGGTGATTTTGAGAGCATCAACAACAAGTTCATCTATCTGCGAGCCAACCATACAGTGAATACTAGGAACCGAGCTAAATACCAATGAATTTTCCCCGTAACTTCAACTGAGATAAAGGGCATATAATTTACAGTTGTTTGCATAATTGTAACCATGTCTTAGACTCTTACTCCTTTTTTTTTTTGACACTTTTTTTGACACTTACTCCTTTTGTGTGAATATACTAGGTACTGAGCTTCATTTGTAAATTATATTGAAAACTACAATGAACGACAAAAGAGTCCCCACTGTCAAGCCTTTGTTGATACTTTTAACGTTGGAAAAAAGGAAATACTCATCAAAACCATCCACAGAACACCTTTTCTTCACACTGTTTTGATGGAGCACTAATGTAGACATAAATCCAGATAGCTGAAGACACACCATTGCATTAAGATTTAATTTCAGTTCTTCACACTCCTATCCTCTGTCATAACATTCCCTTCAATGGCTAATCAGAAAACTACTTAACAGTAACAAGATTTACTCAAAAAAAAAAAAAACCCTTACAGTAACCACAAGGGGATTTCTAAACCACGTGAATGCAAAATTAACCATATCAGAAAGCACCGAGAACTCAAAAATTTCCAGCTAAGGACAATAAGCCCCAAGCAACATCCAAAATCGCAACAAAAAATTTTATGCATTCGCTATAAAATTAAAGCTTATAGGGTTTCAGTCATAACTTATCAATTTTCTCCGACCAAAATCAAACTTAGGGCAATTGATAATCTAGCAGACAACTGAAGCATTGAAGTAAAATTAGTTGAGATTTTGAAGCATTTACTTGATTCGTGAGGGATGATAAGTCGGAGTGGATGAGAAGAAGGCGGTCAAGGGAGGCGTCGCCGCCGTTACCCATTTGCGGGTGCTGCGGTTCATCTTTTGTACCGCGTTCTTCCAATTTCACGGGGAGCTTCTTCGCCGTAGACTTCGGATAGGATTTTCCGGCGTTGGAAACGTCTCGGAGCGGCCTGCGGACGGTCGATTTGGATGCCGCATTGGTTTTTGGGGCGGTGGCGCTGCTGTGGGTGCGGTGTTGCGGCATTTTCCGTTCAAAGGCTAACTTTTGCCGCTCTTCCCCTCTATTTGAATTCCTAATGATATTCCCACAAATTTTCCTTTCGTCCTCGCTATTTCAAGTTTCAACATCTAGTACCGTGTAAGTTTGTAACGCTCCTTATGATCCCAAATGTAAGTAAAAAAAATTAATAAATGATGGGCTGATTATTGAATTAAGTAAACAAGTTTGAAAACCATGCATTAAATTATTGTGATTAATTGCAACATCTATCTATCTATGTGTATCAATATATTGTATCCTATTAAAACAGAAGTCCAAATGAAAATCAATATTAACGTGTCATGTTTACATTCAACCATTTCCTGCCCAACAAAAATGGCGTAATTTTGTGAAAAAAAAATAATTTCTACAATCTTTAATTATGTTAACTTGTCCCGTCCTCAATTTACAATCAACCATTCAATATTAATAAAATAAGACATTAATGATTTAAATAAACGATAACTCATATTATTTCCAAAAATAAAACACAACAATTTGATTTAAATTTCAAAAAAATTATATTTATTTTTAATATTTTGGGACTTTATATTTGGTGGTTATAAGGTTGACCATATCTTTGTCAAGTCAACAAAGGTATTTTCGGTAATGTCTAATTTTCAAAAGTATATATGTAAAAAAGAAAATATCGATGAAAGTTATATTAATCATATTAATTGATTTATAATTAATTAAAAATTCAAAAAATTCAAAATTCAACAAAAGAAAAAAAATCCAAAATCTATTTTTTTATCTGATGGGCCCCACAGCCTAGTTCTTATTATTGACCTTATTCTTTAACTTTTTTTCTCTACATCCAGGAGGGGGTTTGGAAATAGGAACGGAAAATGGAGAAAAAGAATAAGGTCAATAATAAGATCCTGGATGTGGGGCCCCTGGGATAAAAAAATATGATTTTGGGAATAAAAATTGTGAATTTTGAAATTTAATTTTTTAAATTAATTATAAATTAATATAATATTTTTAATATTATTTTAATCAAATTTTTTTTATATTTTTGAACCACAAAATGTAAAGTGTAAAGTGTAAAGTGTAAAGTGTCAAAAAAGTAGAAAAAGACTAAATTAGTGTAAAATACAAATGTATATATATATATATATATCATTATATATATTAAAAGAAAGAAAGATAATCGACACATGTCGCTCATTGAGCACATTAAACCTCAATTAACACGTGTTATTTGCTAATTGGTTGATCATTAACCAGTTAAAATTTTATGTAAACAGTTAATAAATTATTTACTATATAAAATTTTTACAGATATTACAAATTCTTGATTGTGTGGTTGAAAATCAATATTTTCAAAAATTGTTGAGAAACTCCCGACTTCCGAAGTCCTTTCATTTACGAGTTTAAACTTTCGACCTATTGTCATTTTGGCCCTTAAAGTTCCATTTATGTGCTACTTAATTTTCAAGTTTATCGATTTTATATTTTTAAGGATGATTAATTGTGTCTCATATTTTATTAGAACTACATCTAATCCCCTGAGTCCCCTTGTCTATAAATAGGTCATAGGCATCTAGATATAATTTACGTATTTTTTAAATATTTTTTTAATCCAAACATAACATTAGTTAGTGGTGACAATTTTTATTATACATCTTTTGAAAATCTTTGTTGTAATATTTTTTACCAGATTTTACAAATATACATCTCATAAATAATATCAATACCTCTCATTTTGATCTAAAATTGATTAATCAAAAAAAATTACGATTTTAAGAAATATTAGTAACTACATTATCTAATTAATTCTTTTAAAAGATAAATTTTTAAAATTGACAAACCTGCGCAAAGCGCGGGACACATACTATATATATATTAAAGGAGAGTTTGTAATCGACACGTGTCGTTCAATGAATTAGTTTAGGATAATTGTGACACGTGTCGTCAACTCTCCTTCATTAAACTGTAAAAAATTAGTTAAATTAAATTTCTTTTACCTTACTTTATTACCATATTCTATCATTATATATTTTAATTTCCAAGAACCATAAATCCGTTCAAACGAAATCATTATAATTGAGAGGTGAACCGTGAATGAGTGCACACATCCCAACGTTTACACCAGTTAGCCAATTCATCCCAATGTTTTAAAATTGATCAATTATGTCCCAAGGTTATCAAAATTTGATAAATTCATCCCACGACCTGCAAAACATAAAAAAATGACTTGATACAACAAGTAAAATTATAATGAGCGTCATATTCATTCTTTTTTTTTTCTCTCATTTTACTATTTTTTGTCATTTTATAGTTCATTAAAAACAAAGAAATTTTTTAGATAAAAAAAACTCGAAAAAAATTTAATTAATTAATAAAAAAATTTATCCATCACAAATGAAATAACTTAAAACTTAGAATAAAATAAAAATTAATTAATTTTTGAAAACAAATATATCTATGTGAATCTTAATCATTCTATTTTTACAATCAAAATAAAGAATTTTTTTAAGGAAGTTTCTTAAATTTATTACAAAATTAAGATGAATTAGATAAAGAAAAATATTAGATTCATTAATAATTAATTAAATTTTTAATTTCTCCATTTATTAATGTTGTTCTTCTTTCAATAAACTAAAATAAATTAAATGTTTTTGAAAAACAGAAATAAAAACGTTAAATAGGGGATCTAAATGATTTTTACTTGTTATACCATGTTATTTTTATTGGTTTGCAGGTCATGGGATGGATCTGCTCAATTTTTATAATTTTAGGATGTAATTAACCAATTTTAAAACTTTGGGATGAATTCACAAGCAAGGTATAAATGTTAGGATGTATACACTAATATTCCCTACAAGTATTAATCTATATAAGAAATTTTTTACCTTACACTATTAGCATAACAAACCTTCTAAGTCTTACAGTTATTCCAATTAAAAAAATTACCATCTTATCCCTTTTTATAAAATAAATCGTGAATAACAAATTACATAATAAATCATTATTGATTAAAAATTTAAAAATGGGATAAAATATTTTAAAACATGTGCAACGCACGGGAATAATATTAGTGTAATATGATATTTTTCATATTATCACATCAAATGCTCAAATCACAGTGTGATTCTTGACGACACACTTAGTGTAGACACCTTGAACCCAGGGAGGGACACAAAATATGTGAAAATTGCTAAATAATTATTTCTTCTATCCCAAAAAAATTACAAGTGAAAATTTAAATTGGATAGTAATACTTTCTAAATTAGTCTAGCTACGTGATCCATGCCTGATCTTCAACAGTTTTCGGATTTTATATAGTATTATTCCGTTGCTTAAACTCCAATATATTAGTCATTCCTCTTAGTCATGAAATATTGTTCTTATTGACAACTGCTATGATCACGTCTTTACTTCCAAATTCCAATATATGAATATACCACCTCAATATCAAAGGGGTCTTTTCCCTAAAAAATTTAATTAAAACAAAGGTGGACAACTTTAAATTTTTCAGAATATTTGTGGACAGGAATATATCCCACGGATTTCCGAAATCCGAGTTATAATTAAAATTGAGAACTCGGATTTCCGAAATCCGAATCTACATTTAATAATAAAATAATAATTAAATAAATTTTGTTGAATACTAATACCTATCATTATTGGTACTAGTGTTACTTATTACTGTTAAATCTATTAGTTATTAGATATTATCATAAATTCAGTATAATTTATCTGTATTAGTGTTGTGTATTATTTATACGTACTAGTATTATGTAACACATTAATACTATTACTCATTATACATTACTGGTACTAGTGTTACTTATTACCGTTACATCTATTAGTTATTAGATATTATCATAAATTCAGTATAATTTATCTGTATTAGTGTTGTGTATTATTTATACGTACTAGTATTATGTAACACATTAATACTATTACCCATTATACATTACTGGTACCAGTGTTACTTATTACCGTTACATCTATTAGTTATTAGATATTATCATTAATTTAGTATAATTTATCTGTATTAGTATTATGTACTATTTGTACGTACTAGTATTATGTAATACATTAATACTATAATCCATTATACATTACTGGTACTAGTGTTACTTATTACTATTACATCTATTCTTTATTAGGTATTATCATTAATTTAGTATAATTTATTTGTATTAGTGTTATGTACTATTTGTATGTACTAGTATTATGTAATACATTAATACTATTATCCATTATACATTACTGGTACTAGTGTTACTTATTATTGTTAAATCCATTAGTTATTAGATATTATCATTAATTCAATATAATTCATCTGTATTAGTGTTATGTATTATTTGTACGTACTAGTATTATGTAGTACATTAATACTAATACTCATTATACATAAGTGGTATTACTGTTATTTATTATTATTAAATCTGTTAGTTATTAAATATTATCATTAATTCAGTTATAATCTATATGTACTACTGTTATGTACTTTTTAAGCAAATAATCGCATATTCAGAATATGAGTCAAGTAAAAAATTAGATTTTCAAAATAAGGCCATAGGGTTTAGGGTTTAACTTCGGATTTCCCAAATCCGAGTGTTACTTATACTCAGCTTACCAAACTCCGAGTGTAACCTATAAACGGATTACCAAAATCCGAGTGCAACATATACTCGGATTACCAAAATCCGAGTGTAACATATACTCGGATTTAGGGTTTAGGGTTTAGGTTCGGATTTCTAGAATCCGAGTTTATCAGGGAAACATGGAAGATTCGGATTTCGGAAATCCGATTCATGTTCAAAAAATTACCAACACTTGTACAAAAAAAAAATTTTCCTCAAAAATTAATATTTTAATCATAAAGTCGGATTTCAGAAATCCGAATTATGATTAATTATGACAGATGAAAATTTTACTTAGTTTTAGTTTTAATTAAAATGAATTCGGATTTTCAAAATCCGTTTTCTATTAAATTCGGATTTCCGAAATCCGAGTTTACCCCGAATTCGGATTTTGGAAATCCGAAGGATATAGATTTGTCCACAAAAATTTCAAAAAAATTAATTTGGTATACCTTTTTTTAAAGAAAATTGTTTAGGTAAAAAACTCGGGGGATATTAATGTATATCCATCCACTACATTCTTTCGTATCTCTTTAAGTTTCAATTTTCACTCTCCTCTCTCCGTACATCATCATCTTCTCCAAAAATTTTACCCCCATATTCTTCTCAATCCCTAGGGTTTCCTTGTTGTTGGAATAAGAAGCCTTAAAAACATGAAGAGAAACGATCGTCGTAGGAAGAAGAACAAGAACACCGCTTCATCGAGCCGTGCGAAGATCATGAAGACCACTGCCGCCCAATCACCCGCCGGATCATCCAAGGAGATCACGACGACCACCGCCCAATCACCCGCCGGATCATCCATGGAGATCATGACGACCACCGCCCAAGTACCCGCCGGATCATCCAAGGTAATGCCGAAATTTCATTTTGTATCTTTAACTTTCTGCTCTGATTTCATTTCCCCCTAATTTTTTTTTAATATTTTTTTTTTTGTATTTTTTACTACTTATAAATGATGTGACAGGAGGAGAAGGAGACTGAGCAGAAGAATCAGTACGTTGATAAGGGCACTCCTGAGGCCATTCAAGCTTTGGTTGCTGAGGCGTTACAGGTTACTGCGAAGGGACATCTGGGCGAAGTCAGTTACTTGATTTGAACTTAGTTAATACTTTTTCTAAATTAATTTTTTATTTCTTATTTAGTGTATTTCTTTTCTTCCAATAATTTTGTAGGCAAAAAATGAGGTGATTCTACGGCTCGTAGATTGTGTCAAGTGGCACAAACACCAGCGGGTAATCATCAGTTCATATTTGTTCCTTTTTTTGTTTTGGTTTTAGATTTTACCTTTTCTTTTGGTTGCTGATGAAATGAACTTGGCATTTGTCAGGATCTTCTTGACTGGGCTGCAGCCAAACCAGTGCTAGAACCTATCGCTGAGAAGAAGTTTAAAGACCTCCTAAACTTGACTTTATATGTAGCTCAGGCGGTATGATGAATTCCTCTGTTTTTTTGTTTTTGTTTTTTTTTTTTTTTGAATGCTGCTCTGCTCTTCCTCCCTTTTGATAAATGATTATTTATAGCCTTTTTTCTTGCTTCTTTAGGCCGATTCAATGACGGCTACAGTGAAGAGAATGCGAGCAGGGGTATGCCTATTCAACCCCTTAGTTCTTTTCTTTAATTTTATGAATGAGCATTTGCTGAAACTGTTTTATTCACAAATGATTATTTGAAGGGACGGAAAAAGTATCTTTTCATGTTTGGTATGTATATTAATAGATTAATTAAAAGGTTGTAAGTGTGCCCTTTTGGTGTTTTTATTAATTGTTCAAGATACGAATCGTAAGACTTGTAATCATATTCGAATGCGAAATGGTTGTGAGAGGGGGACACAGGCTTGAGAACTACAAGCATCAAATGACTTCTTAGTGTCCACCTTTGTACTCTGATTGTTTCTGCTTTTCAACTTCACAGTAACATACTTAAAAGTATTGTATGTATCAGACTTTTAGTATAACGGTCTTTGGAAATATGGCAAAACCTGGGGCGATTAAACTCTATTTTCACGATTCGTTCTTCAAATTAATTGCAAGCATACTCCAAAACTATCCCCAAAATCTCAGTAGGCTTTCATTTTTGGGGATACTGATTCCAAACCCTTTAATTTAATATGTTCTGCAGATATTTTTTTTTCCTCCTTTCTTCCTTGAAAAGCTATATGGTTTGTTATCTTTTCTTGTAGTCAATGTGTAGCAAGAGTTTCAAAATTCTTATGGTAGGTTTTAAGAGATTTTTTTCAATTGAACAATATGTTAAATTGTTAGTCTGATAACTGGTCCCTCGATGTTGTAGTGGCACCACTATATTAGGGTTGAAAGAAAAGGCAGATGGTTGTAAGTGTATGCATGTCTATGGAAGTTGTACAATGCATTTTGGAACTTTTCCATTGAATCACACAAATCAGATGGAGCCAAAAGTATTCTGTTTTGGTGAATTACTCAAGTATTGAACGTATTATAATATTAGTTCTGTTCGTGCGGCGTTTTGTTGTGATATACTTGTATGTTATACTAGTAGGGGATTGGATAATTTTAGAGAATCTATCCTTCTGCTGAAGAAATTCGAGCCGTATACTTTTCTCCTTTCTAAGTTGAGCATGTTGGCAAGTTTTGATGTAATGAGTAGACACTTTTAAACATTGGCGATACCATTATCATATCAAAATGGTTTTGCTATAAAATATTTGCTAATGTGTTGCTCTGGACAGTCCACACATCTGTCGTGTTAGTTTCTTACTTTGTTTATGCTTTTTCTGTTTCAGGAGAAACCTCCTGTACCACCAAAGTTTGTTCCTTTCACGCTGCAGGAGCAACCTCCCCTACCACCAAACCAGGGCTCTGGAGCTTAAAGCTCAGCATTGCAAGGAAGTTACAGGATTGAATAGAAGACTAAGCTGCTGAAGCTAATGGTATTGGTTATGATGATTAGTTGTCTTTGACGAGTCCAGTTCTGAAGTTAGTTTGTTAGTACTTATTTTCATGGGACTTTGTTTATGGCTACATGTTGCAAAGTTCCAACAATGCTAGTGATGTGCAATGATGCTTACCTCACCTAATTCATCTCGATCTTGCTATTTCATTTCTCATCTTACATGGTATCTAGTGATTGCGCAATTTGCGTCTAAATAAATTAATCTAAATATTATATTTATTAACTAATACTAGTCAATGATAATATTTTGTATTGTTGTAATTTTATACGAATGGGTTCACCTTTTTTGGGGTTAGAGTCTATTTATTTTATCATAATGCTCATGTTGAATTGTCGATCCTTAAAATTAAACAGTCAAATCTATATATTCGGCTTATTTGGCAAGCTTGGGGTGGTTCAGAACTTGGTGTTGCGCGGGAAAACATAGAATAACTGCCTTCAAATCTTGGTGTTGCCTGAAAAAACATAGAACAATGGATCTGTGCTGGAAAACATAGAATAACTGGCTTCATATCTCGCTGTCGCATGAAAAACTATAGAATAACGGATCTTTAAAGTGTGTTTCAAATATCAGAGTAGGAGTGAACTTAATTATGGTCAAAAGAAGATGGAACAGAGGTCAGTGAGAGACATCCATATCTTGGAAGCAGAGAGTCCCGAGTATCTATCAGCCAAAGGATCTTGTTATCTTTTGATGGCTCATTTGACCCTCATAAGTGGAAGTAGATATATCCAGCCATGGAATTGTTTTCCAGTAAAATCCGAAAAGATGAAAGCATTCTCTCCTCTTCATGCAGAGACTTTTAACTCTAATGTTGGCCTTACAAGAAGCAAGAGGATTTGGACTGCAGGACATCCTAGTTCATAGACACTGAATTTCTGTCAACAACTTTGAAGCTGGAGTTATCTATTAAAATACTACCTCTGTCCCACAAAACTCAATGTGGACTGGGACAGAGGGAGTAGTTCTTTTTTTGTGGCCATTTACAGTGACTTGGCCGGAAAATATCACGGGCAGAGGTAGGCCGCGGTTTGATTTTGAATGGCGGTGCTTAGGTTAACCGGCAAAAAAAGGACTAGTGAGGGCAAACTGGTGTTTCCAAATTTACACATGATCTCAACCCAAAAAATAATCATAATGGCAACTTTTTTGGGCGCATCCGATTTTATGTAGCAGGGAGAAAGCCACCAGCAGCAAGGGATTCTACTCCTTCCCCTCCTTACTGGTGATTTTCAGTGCATCAACAAGAAGTTCATCTATATGCGAGCTAACCAAACAGGGTTTACTAGGTACTGAGCTAAAATGCCAATCAAGTTTTCCCATACTTCAACTGAGATAAAAAGGAGTAAGAGTCTAATAAGACACTGTTACAATTATGCAATCAATTGTAAATATATTGAAAACTACAATGAAGATAAAGGAGTCCTTAAAACTGAGGTGCCTTCTGAGGTGTTGACTAGTCAACCTGTATGGCTTTCTGGGATGTCACTAATCAGCTATACTGCTATAGTGTGTTTCTTGGCTCCTGTCTAGTTACTTGCAAAACCAAAAAAACAGAAACATCGATCCAACTGTTTCTAGATATCATTAGAGGCCGAATACATGAGTACCCTTTTGTGCTAATAGTATAATAACAGCTTCGGACATGGTGTTTAAAGTTTTAAACGAGAGGAAAAACGGGAAATTTTTATAAAAAAAAAAGAAGAAAAAGTGCGAACTTGGCAGGTAGATTTATTGGAAGTAACTAATCTATAGTATTATACTAAGAGAGAAACCAGAGAGAGAAAACAAAAAAGAATTCTAAAGGTGCCACATAGGATAAAATCCTATATGTCATTTTTCTAATGGTTGAGTTAAAAAATATTTACAACAATTATACTAATAGTCCTTCAAATTTTATGTAAATAAAAGTTTTATCAAATGGTATTTAAAACTATAGTTTAAAATAGGCAAAAAAAATAATTAAATTTAATGGACGGGATTAATGAACATTAATGCACCAGAATTATTCCCTCCCCAAAAGAATCCCCAAAGTTACTATTGGAGTCATTTAATTAATTTCTCTTTAAAAAAAATCTCTCTCCCAATCATGAAAATCAATAAACTACAATTCAAAAAAAAAAAATACCAATCATTCAACATTAATGTTATCTTTAAAATCTTCTCCAAAAAACATGACCCTGTATTTTTCGCCAATAAAAAAGAAAAAAAAAGGTACAAAATTTGCCTTCAATTATTACTAAAAGGATTGGATTTAACTACAATTAAATGTTATCTTTTGAATTTCAAACCAATGCATTTATTTGTATAATATCATATCTACCCAAATAAATATAATCTTTCCTTAATAATATCTCAAAAATTGTTATAAACTTTATCTTTATCACTAAAATTTTGGATAATCAATTATCATCAATCCCAATTTATCTCTATTTATACATGTCACACAAACCATGAGTATGTTCCAGTGCTGCAAAAATTCCCCCCTCTCCAAAACAACCCGAAATTTAAAGATGAAAGGGCAAAAACTTTAGCCGTACAGTTGGTTTGTTATTCTGAAATGATAAACTAATAGTGGATCGATCGTGTGGCATGGGAGGTAATGGTTAATTAAGGTTATATATGATTTTTTTTTCCGTATATTCTTCTGCAAAATGATGTTATAAGGTTCTTTTTTAGACGTTACTAAATTTATGTTTTTTTTACCCATAATTTCATTATTTCATTAATTATTATTTTCTATTGTCATAGCAAAAAGGGATTAAAGGGCAAAAATTTTAACTCTCAGTTGGTTTGTTGCTCTAAAATATTAAGTATTGGGCCAAACAGTACCATAGAATCTTTAATTACAACAAAATAACCATAAAAATTTTAAACTTCACACTTCAGTCACACATAATCTACCATCTACTATTGATAATTACTTCATTATGTATTTTACGCGTACAATCATTTTATCTTTTCATTCAATATGTAACATTAATACAATCTTATTTATTTTACTCTGCTTATGAGTGTTATTGTCCAGTTCTTCTCCTTCAATAAAAATCAAGTGAACACTTGCATTTCAAATGATATGCATTATTTTATCTTTACAATTACGTCTTTATTTAATTTTAGTTGTGTAATGTATCTTAATATGGACTCCAAATACATTTTACACTTTTTATATTTTTTTGTTGATTTTCTTATAATGTATATAAATAAACCCCGCGCATCGCGCGGGTTTAACATCTAGTTACTACTTATAATAGGCTTCAAAGAGATAGTTCCGAATTGGAGTCCTCTTGTCTAATGAACTTTGGTATATTACTTTCTTTGTGATTGTGTTTCTATATACTATATAATAATCTAAAATTATAATATATATATAGATTTATTTATGATAATTATAGTATTTGAGATAACATATGACTAGATCAAATCAAATCATCCAATCGCAATCGACATTTTGTAATAAATACATATAAGCCGTTGCATACAACATCAATATTTTTGGAGAAGTATTAAATAAAAATCCAAAGCATAAATATAAACATCGCAGCGTTACAAGGGGAAAAAAAAAAAAAAAAAACTGTCTCTTTCAAGCTTGTTTGCCCAATTCATCCTCTACAGTCTGAACCTGGACGCAATTCAGGGATTTGAGACACAAGGATCACAAGCTTCCAATTAGCACAAGACATTAATCCACCCCAAACTCTTTATCTATATAATGTCCGAATGTGCGTATTTTGCATCCGCATGTTTCCTTAAGCATAATTAATAACTCGTTGACTATTCGGATTTAAACCAATCCTCATCATGCCACAACAAAGCTTCTTCAAATCAATTGAGATACCTCAGCACAGAATCTACAAGGATATTGTCTTCCCCGGCGTTCTGTCTCCAGGCAACAACAATTCCTCCGATGGAATTGCAAGTCTTTCAAGTTTGGAATTTGCGATCAAAGAACAAAAGCCATGGATTGAGTCGGTTCTGTATCAATCCGGAGCGATTCTGTTCAGAGGGTTCCCATTGAACTCTGCCTCAGACTTCAATAACTTCGTTGAAGCCTTTGGTTTTGAGGAATTGCCTTATGTCGGCGGCGCTGCTCCCCGGACTAATGTTGTTGGCAGAGTTTTCACGGCTAATGAGTCCCCTCCTGACCAGAAAATCCCTTTTCACCATGAAATGGCTCAGGTTTCTGTTCTTCTTCTACACTATACTTTAATTGATGATGTATGTATGGCTAATTTGGCGTGCTAGAAGAAATTTTTGGTGCTATGGATTATAATCTGAATCTGAATATTGTGTTTTTGGGTTATCTTTCATGAATTTTACTAGCCAAAAGTCTTATAGTTTATGCATCTGCTTACTTATTTATTACCAGGTTCCAGAGTACCCATCAAAGCTGTTCTTTTTCTGTGAAGTAGTGCCTGCAACTGGAGGAGAAACTCCCATAGTACTTAGTCATATTGTGTATGAGAGAATGAAAGAAAAGTACCCTGAATTCGTCGATAAGCTTGAAGAACACGGGTTGATTTACACGCGTGTTTTAGGTGAAGATGATGATCCATCATCTCCAATTGGTCGTGGTTGGATATCAACATTCTTGACCAAAGACAAATCTGTTGCGGAAGAAAGGTTCGTGTGATACCTTAATGCTGCAATCTTTGTAGTTTTTGCATAGTTTCCCTTCCAACCTGATAGAAAAAAAAAAGAAAAGAGGTAAACTTAAAAACCAACTATTTTGCAGGGCTGCTAAGTTGGGGATGAAGCTGGAATGGACTGAAGATGGAGTGAAGACAATCATGGGACCTATTCCTGCTATCAAATTCGAGGATAAGAGACGGCGCAAGGTATGGTTTAACAGCATGGTTGCTGCTTATACCGGCTGGAAAGATGCCAGAAATGATCCAGTCAAGGCAGTCACTTTTGGGGACGGAACGCCACTCCCTTCTCACATCATCTACGACTGCCTCAGGATTCTAGAAGAGGAAAGTGTCGCTATTCCATGGCAGAAAGGAGATGTTCTGTTGATAGATAACTTGGCTGTTCTTCACGCTCGAAAGCCCTTTGATCCTCCTCGCCGCATACTGGCTTCCTTGTGCAAGTAAAAGCTAAATGAATTTTTGATCCATCTAGTTGTAAGAATGAGAGCCTTTCAACCCCCCATAACGAGGGAGTTGAGGAGAAAGCCCTTTTGCTCCTATTTGTTTGGAGTCTCTTTTCTCAATTGGAACTGCTGAGATCTTCTCAATAGTATCGACTATGGAGCTTTGTAAAACTATAACACAACCTGTTTACACATGAATAATCCAACGTTCCCGCCCCTCGAATGTTCGCCATTTAAATATGTTTTATGAAGGAATGACTTGATATAAGCATTAGCTTAAAAAAGACAAGTGCAAGTGTTGAGGGGATAAATTAGGATGAACCTCTTCACATGGAATCGGCTAAGTTTCTTAAAGCAGCCAGCCTCTGCAGTTTGGAATTATAAATGGTTAACATGTTCTGTGCTTATTTGAATTCAACACGTGCACACTGTTTTGTAGATTCACTTACTCAGGAGCAAGATAACCGAATGTTCCAACAACACTAGTTGCTGATGCTTCTCCATCATTCGTGTTTTTCTCAACTTGCTTTGCCAAACCAAAATCTGAAATCTAGATATGAAGAACTGAATCATATTCAATAATTAGGAAAGTGGAAACAAAGGAAGGAACTTTAAGAACTCCGTAGGCACCATCAAGTAAAATGTTGCTGGTAACATCTCTATATCAGAGAATAAAATAGAAAACCTTCGGTACCCGCAACAAAACCATCGGTCACTTAAAACAGAGTTTAAGCACCAAATTTTTTCTCAACTTCCTCATGTGAGATGCATGTGAGTTGACAAAGTAATATGGACACGATGTAAAATAATTTTTTAGTTTAGCTTATTTGTATCTTGATCTTCCACAGCAAGCAAAGTGGGCAGCAGTTCAGTTGGCTGCCGTTGAAGGTGAAAGGATTACAAATGTAGAGGATTGAGCTAATGGAAGCAAGATGCAATCTTTTTCACGTATTTGTTGGTGACATTGGAGATCAATGAGTGTTTTGATGGAGACAAAATGTTAGCCATGTAGTTCCTTGGCTAGATAGCTGAATTAATTAGGAGAAGTATTTTTTTTAATTTTTTTTATTTTTTATCAACCTAATCAATAAGTAGTAGTTTGAACTGATCAATGCTGAATAAAAAAAGCAAGAGTATGTATGCTCTGAGTTTTCAGCAAACAAGTGTAATGAACTAAGTATGCATCCGCCAGGTCGTTCATCCTATCGATCAACTGCATGAATTTTGATTAGCAGATGCTTTTGAAAATCCAGTTTTATGACGCATAATACTGCCATATAGAACAAAATATGGAGACTTTACGAATGCCAAGGTAGAGTATTCATCAATGGTTGCAACCAATATTAATAGATTCAGAAACATTAGTTCCAACTCTTCTACTTGACATCTCTTTCTTGTCCTCTTACAATTGCATAAATTCCTCAACACATAAAAATCCACTTTTTGAAGTGTACAATACCCTTAATAAATCTACATGAAATGAAGTACTAACAGAACTAGCTTCAGACATGAACGTCGTGTCGAAGACAACTGATCAGCTATGGCCTATGGGTTTGTGAAGGAGAACACCTGCAACAACCGGAGCATAAACATAAATGTAAAAAAAAAATTTGAAAATAATGACAAACGGATGTGTTGACAGTCTAGAACAACATATACATTATTAGCAGATATGTTATAGCAAAAATCAATTTCATCGGTTCAAAAAGTGTATTAAGAATAAGAAAATAAATGTTGTGATGAGACAGTTATTAAAAAAAATTTTGAAAATAAATCTAAGGAAAAATGAAACAACGGAGCCGAGCTCATGTCTTTGACTTTGGCGGTCAAATCTTTCAATTTTTGGTGCTATCAGGTACCTCAGCTTGATAGCTGGTTTCGAGAAGATCCTAGAAGACATCAGCATCAGATACCCACAAAAAAAAAAAAGTAACAAAGTGAATACATTAACAAAAAAAAGAAAAAAAAAAGAAAAAAGAGAAAAGAACTGATTACCCCCTGAGATTGGTGCCAGAGAACAGAGGTGGATAATATCAATTTTGGCCTAAACAAAAAAGGAATACAAGTGAAGATAAATGAATTTAATCGTGTGATACAGAAGAAAGATGGATCAATTTTCCCCGTTCTTACCCCAATTGTTTTGGTTTTGGAAAGTGGCCTTGGAAATCGATGCACCACCATCTTTTCATTTCCTGCGGTGGACTTCCACCCCCTCACACACAGTCACACACTAGTAGTACTCTACTCTTCCGCACTCGCTACCTCTCGGAAACTTGTTTGTTTCTACAAAACCAATAGATACGTTGGTCTTCTTTGTTTTTTTTGTCTTCCTGAGCTTCAGTCCAACAGAGAATCAAAACACACGTCATTAGTTGATTCTCCTACTTCTTCCTGCCCCCGTCACTTCTTTCACTATCTTTTTTTTTTTTGTTTTTTGGGGGGCAACAAATATCAAAAGCACTCTTGCCATTTGGAGAAATATCGAAAACCTTGTTGACCAGCAATCTCTGCTCTTCTTCTCTCCCGTGCAATTAATCTCCGGATCCAAATTCAAATATTGTCTCGTCTTTGATGAGAACACAGTTATAAAAGCATCATTAACCATACATTTTCAAAACACGAAAATTCAAACTATCACTTACTCCTCTCTTCTGCATCGGTTCAGAGAGCATGTTCATTTCTGTTAGAAGAGTAATCCTCCTTTGATTCCCCTTTGATCTTCTTCCTTTTTTAAATATATATATATATATATATATATATATATTCTAAGAAGGGTCCTTCTTCGATTTATATTAGTGATCAAAATTCATAAAAGAAAATGGACAGGATCAGTGATTTGCCAGATGAAATCCTTTGCAGCATCCTCTGTTTCCTACCTACAAAGGAAGTTGTTGCAACTAGGATTTTGTCAAAGAGGTGGGAGTCTCTATGGACTCATATGATTGAACACCTTTGATTTCGATGGTTATAAAGCTAAAGGAATAAGGAGTTTTAAGCAGGTTGTTGATAATTTGTCTTCAAGTCATTGAGAGCAAAATTGACAAATTCAAAATCCTAAAACGATGACTCACATTTTAAAATGAAAGGAGTATATCTATATTCTATATACAATACTGAAGGATCACAATGACTCATAGGATTTAGCATTTTCGAAAATTTTTCTTTCAAAATATTAAAAAATAAATATGTATGGGAGATGATTCCTGTGAAGGATTCAGAAATTCAGAAATACCAATTTGTCATACCCTAAAGTTAGCATCACAAAATCACCCGATCAAATCCAACAACTCACAAATGTATATAGGCACACATGTATATATTTATTTACAAGTGTTCAGATTTAATGGTTCTTACGAATGGCAATGTTGAATGAATTGCGGAACACTAATTCTTGGAGCTTCAAGCTACCATTATATTGGCAAGGGACAGTTTTGAACATTTTCAGCCACAATTTAAACTGTTAACTGTGTATTTTTAACAATGGCAATGCTGATAAACTTCATAGTGGACGGTCTTTTTCCCTTTTATCTTCTCTTCCGGGTCTTCTTTCTTCATTTGTGCATCCCAGTGTTATCACTTGACAATTGACATGATCAAACATTAAATATTCTTAATGCAGTGGACCAAACAGTTAAACATAAAGAAGGGTTTGGCCTTCCAATCACAAATTCTGCATTTGTTTAAAGCACAATTGACGGCATAAAGATAGGGGAGCCAAAAGGGATAAAAGCAAGATAAAAGCGGGAAGCACAGACAAAGACTTCCACATTATAGCTGCCTTGGCTGTATGAGAAGATCAAAGTTTCAGAAGTTTCAGGAGCCTTATCTTGCTTCTCTCTTAATCAACTCCCCTCAGTTGAATTCGAGAATGAAACTTGATGAACCCTACTGCCAAAATTGTTCTACTTACAGAAACCTCTCTGTTCATCTCACTCATCTGCCAAACACTATAAAAGCCGCAAACATTCTGTACAATAGAGCAACAGATACCCATTCCAAGGCAAGTAACAAAACAATGGGCTGCCCAAAGGCAATATAGACGGATCAATCGTGTAGCTATACATATCAAAGCAGCAAGCAACCTAGAATGGTTCAGCCAGGAAAAGAGAGCAGAAAAAGATACGAGTAGTATTATAAAAAGGTATATACTCTGTCGCTTCCACCTATCTTCCTTGAACAAGGCCGCTGAATACTTGGCTGTTTCCAGAAAGAGTTGCTTCCCATTCAATTGAAGACAATTGGATATGTGAAAGCGATATCACAATTTGCTTCATGTCTGGTCGAAGAACAGGATCATCGTCAACGCATTGTTTTGCCAGCAGAGCCATCTGAGCAGCAACATGACCATACGGTATCAAATCAGTAAGGTATGCCATAATGTATGCCATGCACAATGTTCCATCAAGTTCACCACCCTCAAGATATAGTTTTGGATGGTCAACTCATGTCCTTAACGCAACTATGTTCCAAATGCCAAATTACTAACCTTACGCTACACCAATCCAACATGCTTCCATCAATCAAAGAATGTACTCCCTCTGTCCCAAAATGATTTTCTAGTTCGGATTTTCATTTTTACTACAATTTGTATTGAAAAAACCTAAAGTGTAAACTGGACAACGATTTTGGGACTGAGGGAGTGTTTATTTTTTATGATTGGATAAATAGATATTAGTATGTTTACCTTAAACAGACAATCTTGAGGGTATAACTCCATTAAATTTGGATCAACGTATTCAGCTAAACTTGACATACTCATGGAGTCGGGTGAGTTTCTCAAAGCAGCCAGCATCTGCAGTTTGGAAACATAATTGAATTACATTTGCTTCTTATATAAAAATGTTTAGTAGAAACTTTAGCAATAAGTGTCTGAAACACATCCTGTCATGGTGCAGAGTAGGAAAACATGCGTCACAACCAAACACTCTTTTTGCAGCTTTGAAAGGTAAAACTTACCACTGATGCCAATGATCGCCTATCAGCACTTTTCCCTGCACTCCCTTGAGTTCTTGTAATGGCTTCCTTTCCTGATATCATCTCAAAAAGTACTATACCAAATGCATATATATCACTCTTGTTTGTTGCCAGTCCATCCCTCAGATATCTGCAGAGATAGAAGCAGCATAAGAAATATGCCAGAAACTTCGTCAGATATCACTCTTGTTTAAATTTACATATCTAATCCTTATAGATTCACTTACTCAGGAGCAAGATAACCGAATGTTCCTACAACAGTAGTCGCCAATGCTTCTCCGTCATTTGTTTTTTCAACTAGCTTTGCCAAACCAAAATCTGAAATCTAGATATGAAAGACTCAATCAGATTCAACAACTGAGAAAGTGGAAACAAAAAAAGGAACTGAAGAAGTGTAAAAACTCAAAAACCTTGGCTCTGTAGGCACCATCAAGTAAAATGTTGCTAGTCTTGATATCTCTATGCACATAATGAGGCTTAGTGTGCTCGTGTATGTACTCCAGGCCTCTAGCAGCATCGACTGCAATCTGAACCCTCATGTTCCACGAAAGAGGTGTGTGACCTGTCAGAGAAATTAAAACCATACATAAGCAGGTGCATGCGCAAATCCCTATCACTCACCAGAACAGCCTAGAATTTGGCCTTAACTGAGAAGATGAAAAAGCAAAATTCAATTGCGCAATCAAAAATGGCCAATTGTTATCTAGAAAATTAATAGATAAACGTGATCTGAATTTTCGGGGAAAATGTCAAAATAAGACAGAATCCCACCCTTGTGTTGCGGATCATGTAAGTGGCTTTTGAGAGATCCCTTTTGAGCATGTTCATAAATGAGGAAGAGTTCATCACCACTGGCAGCATAACCAATCAGTTCAACCTGGACAGTGAAAAAGAACAAAAAGTCAACTTGAGGGAAAAAAAAAAACAAAAAAAAAAAAAATCTCTGAACAGGAAGTATTAGTTTGAGATAATAATGAGCAACAAGCATACCAAATTTGTATGATGAACCTTGCATAGAACTTTCATCTCTGCCATAAATTCTTTAGTTTTAGTGGCTGTCATCCTTTTGATCGCAACTTCCTGATATTTGTGACCAAATATTGCAGGGTTAACAAAGAGAATCTGATTAAAACTATTAAATAATCCCAGAAGAGTCTTTGACCTGCTCACGAAGATTTCCGTAATATACAGAACCATATCTTCCATGCCCGAGAAGATAAGAGTCAGAAAATCCATCAGTACAAGAAAGAACTTCTTCATATGTGAAAACAACGGGCTTTTCCATGTCAAATACATCAGTACTTATAACTGCATAGACCAACAAAATTGATTAAGTAGCAAATCGCACAAAGAGAGTAACAACAACATTTTAAAAATGTGAAAGCTTACACATATAAAATCAACTTGCAAGTCAAACCACTTCAATCAGAGACTTTTCTAAAAGATATGTCAACTGATATGAAACTTGGGACATTAAGGAGTAAGACTAGTTTCTACTAGTGCATAAACTAAGTTACAAACTGTATACTAAGTGATGCGGATACTGCAACCATAAAGAAATGAGGTCAGACCTGTGGGAATATTTGCATGGCGGTTGCTGGTTTCCCCAGTAGGTTGTTTCCAGTCCTCAGATTTGCGACAGGCATCCCTTCCTGAACCACAACAGAAACTTGCATTCCGGAGAATATGGAATTTATGAGGATGTTTTCCATCCCCCAGAGCTCCACGACAACAACTCGATGATCTTAAGGATATAAAGACAACTACAAGTATGATGATAAGCAGTAGACCAACTGCCAAACTTCCAATGATCCACCACATTGGAACATGCGACTTGTGTTTGACCTGGGTTGCTACACAAAATGTTTAATTAGTAATAAGAGACAACTCGCAAACCATATCAGAAAATTAAATGAAAACCTTCTGTACCTGCAATATCACCATCTGACGATTCCGGAACTGGAGCTGGAGCTATATCATTCTGCACTGGGTATGGTTCACCAGGAACTGCAGAGAGTGAGCAACAAAACCCATTGGTCACTAAGAGAATTAAGCACCAGAATTTTTCTGAAGAAAATGAAAACTTTTTATACTTGCATGAAACTACGCAGTAAAATGCATTTCAAGTTTTAAACTACAACAAAAACTATTGGTCGCACAGCAAATGGGACAAACCCACGATTTCATGGACTTGGTCCAGAGGCATCCACAACTTCTCCGCAATCATCACAATCTATGAAGCCACACATTCATTAAAAAATGCCCAAGCTCCTAAATTTTGGTCTTTTGCCTTGTGGTACCAGGAAGTACAATTGACATCAGTGATTCAAAAGGTTACCAAGTGGATTGAAAAGGGTGACGGAAGTAACGTTTGCACTAGTAAAGGATGCAAGGATGCAAAAGGACGTTGGGGGCGGCGATCTAGGTGAAAGTTGAACTTCGCAAGCTGTTCAATTGGTTAATATGAAAAAGATAAAATTTCAACTTGCTTTCAACCTGCTATCTGCATTGATTGATATATCCATAACAACATTTTTCTGCAGCATAGCCACGTTGGCACATTCTACATCCTAAACCGTGAATGGACTAATTTTACTCAGCAGGCAGCAGGCTAGATAGTCACATTGGATTGGTTATAAAATCCTGAATTTTACAAGGAACCATGCCTCATTCCAAAGCAAGTATGAAGAATCATCAAATAAATAAATTAGAGAACAATCCACCCAATTTGGAAACAATCATAAGACTAGACCTATGCTCCAACAACCAATAAAATCCAAATTCATTCAAACCACAACAATAAAGCCAATTTTAAATTGAACTTATTTGAGAAAAGTAGGAAAAAGAGAGACTAATCCATTGTTGAGTTAACTCAGATGACAAAAATTGTACCTGAATTCAGGGGAATGAAGTAGAGTTGCCCAACAGTTACATTATCAGGATTGTCAAGCCCATTAGCTGTCACAATGCTGTCCATACTAACCCCGAACCGGCTAGCCAGAGACTCCACACTGTCTCCATCTCTCAACACATAACTCATCAAGTAATTCCACAAGGCACTGGAGCAACCACACATCAGCCGCAGTGACACCACCCCTCCTTTCTTCGCCTCCCTAGTGAAATTTGATGAGAAATAGGCCAACCCATGATAGGCCTCCGTTACCATATCATAAACAGATCCATTGTTTTCCCTCACAGTATATGTGGTGTTGCTCAAGTACACCTTGATAGTAGGAGCACAAGAACAGTTCTTTCTGATGAATACGTAATCCCTACCATTACCTTCAATAGTTATGTCTTTGGACAATACATCAAACATGCTCTCAATCACTGGAAGAGTCTGTTCTGAAGTGGGCTTGAAAGCCAAGAAGGAAGAGCAAAGTCTATTTGGGTCTGAACAATTGAGTGGAACTGGAAACGCTGTACATAGTCCCAATTGCAGTAGGAAAATGATCAATACCTTTGCTCCTAAACCATCCATTCTGCCGCAAAGAATCAATCTTTGGTGAATTCAGCTACCCAAGAAATCAACAGAATGCTAATGGAGACATCTAAAATTCCCTTGTTATTGCTAATTGTTGAATGTTACTGATCCTAAAATTGATGTGAAAAAGAAAAAAAAAAGAGAGAATCCCAAGGCTAAGGGGGTTTGATGAGGCACAGAAGAAAAGAATTAGTGAAATGAGAAGGGTGCATTTTTTGGGCTAAAAGAGGCAGTAGTGACTGACTACTGATGGGTAACTGCTACGACAGTAAAAGGAGGAGAAAGCGACGGCCATTTTTCTTTTTTCAGTTTTTCTGTGAGAATGAAGACACCTCCAGAATCATCCCAGACACATTTTTTTTACTGTTAGAACATACTTTATTTTGCTTAACAACCTAACAATGTGTTACAACTTATAACAACGTTTAAAAGAACAACATTAGCCTGTAATAGTGTGAGATAATTCTCAGTTTTGCATTGGATTATCTTTTATCTGTGACAACTCACAATGAAGCAAGATTTTTGTTGCTTAAAATAATACACAGCTGAGTTGTACAATCAATTGTATAGAATAGCAAAGCATGTGGAATTGTGGAGTATGTGGACAACGTCTCTATGAATATGGCTAGCCCACCGATTCATGTTCCTTGCAGGGATAACTCTTAAATCGTATGGGTAAGCGGTAATGATGTGAGTGATCTACATAGGTATAATTTAACCGTTGTAATAATATAGATACTTCTAATTAATATCATATACCATTATATATATATATATATATATACATATAAAAAAAACTCTTAAATCACATGAGTTATTCTTATGGATTTCAAAGTTTGCTCGTTTCTTCTAACCTAATTAAATTCCTAATAATTCGTACAATGTGCTAGTATTTCTGCATTTGGACTACCATTTAAGTCATTTTCTTTGTGATTTCCATTTTTCCCACTATTGTAATTTGCCCTATCGACATATTCACTAATACTGATACTCCATCCGTTCCATAATTATTGTCCAGTTTGAATTTTCATTTCTAATTCAAATTGTACTAAAAGTCAAAATCCAAACTGAATAATAATTTTGGGACAGAGAGAGTAATAGAGACACTACTGATTTTCTTTCTAGACATACTATTCAAAATCAAAACTATCATCTATTTTAGTTAGAGATTCAAAAATATTTTCGTAAAGCCGACTATTTTCCGAAATCTTCTATTTTAAAATTATGATTCAAGTAAATTTTATGACACGATATTGTAAGATTGGGTGAAAGATCACTGCATAAGAAGTATTGTGTGAAATAAAATAATGAAAACATTATGGGAATTATTAGGAGGACTACGAAATAGTATATACGAATTGTGGGGGGAAAAGGTTAATAAGATGAGGTTAAAACTTTCTTGGTGGAATTGCCAGAAGTGCAGGTAGAGGAACGAAATGGGGGTGACAGTTGGGATTGGGTCCCACGACTCAAGTGGCGCCAATCTCTTCAAAAAATCGCCGAGGAATTTGACTGGACTCCTAAAACGGATCATGCAAATGTAAGCAAGTCGTTGACCGAAAGATGTCAAACCCGGAAAGAGTACTTATCTTAATGGGCCGGCACGTGGACTGGATCCAACTGTAAAAATTTGAAGTTCGGCTCGCGTACCATGTACCGTGTTACAGCTATTTTTTGCATCATGCTATTCTAACATAATTAATTCTCCTTTCTTCCTAAGAAATCCACTTTATTCGATTAGACTATTTTTTCATAACAAGAAGAGTTTATTTTTCTAAATTCTTTTCATTAATTTACAAATATTATATTAGTAATTCTCTCTTTTCCTTCTTCTTTCTTTTCTGCCGCCTAATTTTCTTCCCCATCTTTCCAGAGAGAATGGGGAGATAATTTGTCACTTCTTTTATATTTTTTAATTTGAATAAATTTAGTTCATCATTAGATCTTGATCTACTGGGTGCTAGTAGTTTGTCGATAGATCTGATTCTATTGATCGTAATTTAGTTCTTTTGTTGTTGTGTGTAATTTATAGTTTGTGATTTTATCCGTGATTGTACTGTTATGGTTCATAGTCGTGGTTTATGTTTGAGGATTTGCAGTCAAAGTAAATTTATATTTTAGATCAGCCTTTTAGGGTTTTCATCTGATGATAAGTAAAGTATTTGAGATAAGAGATTTTTTTTGGTATGTGATGCTTCCAACAAATATTTGCGAGTGCTGTGGAAGAGTTTGTGTTTTAGTCGTTCACAGTAAAAATAATCGACTGATTCTTAGTATTAAAATTCCAGTCTATTGTTGTAATATGTTAGAGATTGTAATCTTTTGTCAATGGTGGTCGTATGTTTTCCAACAAAGTTAATAAAAATTTCTTTTATGTAAAAAAAAAAAAAAAAAGAGTTTACTTTTCTAGAATCGTTGAATTTTTCATATTAACTCGTGTACTTTCACCTCAACTTTATACTCAAAATCACATTATCCATCTTAAAACTTATTTGTTGCATGTTTAAATTAAAACGGATAATAGAATACTCTTACTTAAAAATAATATTTTGGGGTTATATGATGTTCGCCGTCCATAATAGTGACTATTTTAATTTTTTGCTCATTATTTCGACGTCCTTATTGATTTTGTCGCATTGCTTCCCGGATCGAGCCAGTTTAACGGGGAAATGAAAAATTAAAAAAAGAAAGAAAAAAAAACATTAATTGTGTGCTTCATTTGGAGGAAAGGAGAAAATCCACTCCCTTCATAGGGCCTTAACTTGGTTGGACAGTTAAGGGTACTTAGCATTAGCCCAACTATGGTAGCCCAAAAACCACTCCTCAGGCTAGAATCTCATTTCCGTTTTTTCTCCCTAGTTTTCCCCTAGTTTCACAGCCCTTGAGATGGAACTCGAACTAATATTTCTGACATTAGAAACGATGGTGAAAATTACCTCCAATCTACATAAGAAATTAATTTCTATGGCTTTCTTGTTTACTTCTGTAATATTGTAGTTCATTATCTTGAAATGCTTGTCACTTAAATTACTAAGTGAAGGGAAAATAGGCAAGGATGACTTAAGTACTGGTCTTCAACGACTACGTGATTTCTTTTTAGGTGTTAAATCATGGTTGAAAAACAATTCAATTTGCGTTTGTTTTTTCTATACACAAAATGTGATTGGAATATTTTTAAAAAGAAAGAAAAAAAACTCACAGATCTCTTTCATTGTATTGGGCCATGAGAAAAAAAATGCAAGGCTGCCGCTTGTTTATTTGTCGTTTTATTTTACTTTTTGTCTCATTTTACCTCTTAAACACAAATCCCAATACACTATCCAAACATCAATTTAATTTACCTTTTTAACTATTGTAAAGTTTAGTACCGATGGTCACTAAACTATTTTAAAGTTTTAAGTTTGGTCACTAAACTATTGTAAAATTTAGTAGCGGTGATTACTAAACTATTGTAAAGTTTTAAGTTTGGTCACTAAACTATTGTAAAGTTTTAAGTCTTGTCACTATACTATCCCACTTTCAAAAAAATAATCAATATACTATAATTCTTTCCAAAATTTGTCACTAAACTACATTTTAAATCTCCTCTCAAATCTAAATGAAAAACTAAAACAAAACGTTGTCCAAACATCAGCTAAAAGCTTACATGATAACAAATCCAGAATAAAATAAAACATCAAATCCAGCTTTATGCGACTTTATATGAACATGAATATGTAAGAGTTAGTTAACTTAATAAAACAATTAAAAAAAAATTGGTAGAAACTGGAAAGCAAAGCATTAGGTGGAACCTTTGCTTTCTTGTTGGATGCTTGGTCCATAAACCAACTTTAAAGCTATAAAATGCCAAGTACTCATTTCATGTATACTATAATATCTGCTTGGTTTGGTGGGAATGTAAGGAACTTGCCCCTCAGTTACCCTCTCTGGATATGGGTAGTTGAGATTGCACTTTGCAAGAGCAGGAAGAAATCATTTTTTTTTTTTCAGCTCTTATTCTTCTTTTTTGGGGACCTTGAAAATGAATATAAATCGAACCCACTTGCCCTTTTGTCCAAATGAAATTCCTCACGTTTCTAAACAATTGGGTTGGGTCCCTGAAAAATTCTGCTAATGCTCGATCATCAGGGGAGAATATAATAATAAAAATAGCATTGAAGGAAGAAATAGGAAATCTAAATTAATTTGCATTTATATGTGTATCACATCACTACTTGAACCATTTTCACTAATAAATTATTTGTATTTATTGTTATTTTTTTGATAAAGTTACATTCAGATTATGGTGTGCTCATCATAGAAAGTAGTTAAAAGAAAAATGGAAAAAAGATCTAGTTCTACTTTGGAGATCACATTTTTTTTTTTTTTTTTGGAAAAAAGAAGAAGCATTTGGTCGATATATTCTCTTGTCTTTGTAGTGGATCATGAAGTGAGCCTCCTTAAGTCATCAGTCGAGATTAATTTAATCAAACATAATTGATGCCGTCATGGGTTGGTAGGTAGTAATAATTATTTAATTTTAAGCGATGATTTCAAAATGACTTCTTAATAATTCTAGAAACTTAAATAGAGGTCACAACACACGTAAAAATAATACTCCCTCCGTCCCATAATTATTGTCCAGTTTTACTAAAATGAAAAATTTTATTTTTTGTCAAACTTAACTATATTTTACCTTAAATAACCGGATATACCCTTACATAAGTAATTGTTTAACCACTAAGATTTTATGGATAATGTTTTTTACTAAGGACAAATGTGTAACTTGATCCATAAAAAGTCAAATTGGACAATAATTTTGGGACAAAATTTTTTGGACAAAGTGGACAATAATTATGGGACGGAGGGAGTAAGAAATTAATGATACATACATACGTAGCCGATTACATTTTTATCACATATTTAATATTACTTCCAACCTTCGGTAATACTCTAATAATTCACTTTAAGATGAAGAAACTGCAGGTATTATTTTTCATTTAAATTTGTATTGAAAA